ACTAAAAATAAATGATTACTCAAACATGTGTGAATGAAACAAAACACGACTCCAGGTATGTTTTTGAGGTGTTAACAACATTATAACATAGCTAAAAGCTCACAAGAGTCAATTTTGTGTGATATAGGCTCTATAAAAGTAAATGTACAGGTCAAATTCATACTCTAATACAATAATAACAAGAATAATAAGAGCACATTTTATTTAATTAACCTTCCTATACACTCAGGGTCACCTTACAACAATACATGGACAAATACATTTCAATTAGAATTAAGTTAAAATATAAAGTAAAGTTAGAAGCATACACTTAAAAAGGATAGTGCATGGTCTGGTGGTACAGTGGAGTGAAAAGGCCAGTCTAAACAGATGGGTTTTGAGTTAGAGAAATCTATTTTTAACAGTCATATAAATTCGACTGCAGCCCCCCAATTCGTGCAAATAATAAGCCAGTAAGCAGATTGAAGTTCTCTTTTAATGAACCATATAAAAACAACTACTCCAAAAATTACAGAGATGGTTGAACATCACAGCGCACCAAAAACACGTGAATGATGAATTTTGAAGATCTTTAGTGACTGGTGTTTTAAAGCTGTATGTCTCCCTCTAGTGGTCACTATAAGTCACTGCAGCCTGAGTATGAATCATGTTTGAGGTATCTCTGACTCACGGCGCATACATGTACATAGCCAAAGTACAAGGCTTTGGTTTGACATTTTCCACACACGTCAATGAGAGATGAGAGTGGTTTTGTCGTAACAATACACTGTACCCTGAGCCCTACACTAATGTTAGCACTTCTGATCAAATTTTTGGTCGTGGAAATACTGTTCTGTTGTAGATCCGCCCCAGTGTAAGGAAGGATCTACTACTCAAGTAATTACTTAATTACAATGAAGGATAGACCATTAAATATATATATATATATATATATATATATATATATATATATATCTATATATATATATATATATAGGAAAAAAGGAAATGTTCAAATCATTTAATACTGTAAACAAAAAGCTTTTATAACCTGTAACTTACTGTGGGACATTTACTCAAGCAAACTGTAAACTATATTACTCAAGAAAAAGTATGCAGTCTGAAATTTAATGTGTTGTATTTTTTTTTTTTATTACAATTTCTTAGAAAAAAAAAAAAGAAAAAAAGTTGAATAAATACTTCCATCCCCATTTTAATTAGACTTAGACAAACACATCGTGTCCAGAGGCATACTATTTTCCAAACTGATTCAAACCATGTCCCATTTTCTTGGGAGTCTATTTTGGATAATCTTTTTGGAACAACTTCTTTCTTTGTTAGATATAAATCATATTAACACATGGGAAAGGAACAAAAGATGGTGCATTGTTGGATGATAATGATAAACCTTTGGAGACATCCCCAAAATGTGAATGTTGTAACATCAATTTCATGCTTTGTGTGTACTTTATCGTTTTGTTCTCTAGATTAAAAGTTTGGAAAGTGTAACCATCAAGTGTTCTGACCACCATAAGGTACATGTTGCCAAAATGATCTCACCAAAACCAAAACAATTTTGAAAGTCTAAAAAAAATTAGAAGGGGTTGAAAGGGTTTAGCAGCATCCAGCTGAAGTACACATGTTGTTTATTTCCTCAACAATAACAGATAATAGAAACAAGATTCATATGGAACTTGTTAGATCAATATTTTGGGTGTAACTAAACTGAATTCAAAGTGTGCAACGATTTCATGAAAAACACAACACACTTTAATTAGACTTAGACTGTAACTGTAAATCCACAAGGGAAATTACACAGTAGTTCACACGTCACGTTATATTAGTAACAAAAAGTAAAAAGTACAAAAGATAATAATAAATTCTAAATAAGTAGCAATAATAATAGCAAGAAACTGGTGTTAAATAAAATATAATTATATAAATGTATATGTACAAGTAAAAATAAAATAGAGTAATAAAAATATCTCAGTTACAAGGTTGTGAGAAAAACTGTAAATAGCCTGATTTAATAAAGCATGGACAGATACTTAATCATAATGAACACATTTATTAAGAATGATATGTGCAAAGATAGCCACGAATACTACAGCAAAGCCAAAGTAGTGCATTGTAATCTGCAGCAGTGAGAGAGATAAGAGTTTCCACAGCACATTTACATGAGGGAGCTGCCTGTGCATGTGTTACAGGCCCCAATGCTCTCACCTCAACTTCCTCAACCCCTCCAGCACCTGTCACCTCACGACCTCAGGAGATCTCTTCTTAAAATATAGCCTCTGAGATGATATATAAAAATAAATACTATGGGAGATCCAGATGTGTGGGAAGGAAAAACTCTGGTCTCGTAGGGCAAGTTCATGGGGTTGTATCCAGGACAACAGCTCTGCCTGCTCTTGGGCTGAGCCTGGGAATGATGAAATACTGGACAGAGTGTATGCGTATTTTTAAACTATAATCTATTCACATTATGCTTGTTTTGACTTTTCCCATTGATGTTGAACATTACTGAGGGGTGACTTTTTCCAGTATAGTTGTACCATTTATTTTAATAAGAAGCATGAAACTCTACACTCATTTTAAACCTGAACTCTTATAATATAATACATTTTTCTGCTAGATTTATTTATTTAAAGGTACTATGTTATGCACAGTTGATTAATGTGAGCTTTAAGCCATGTTATAATGTTGTTACCTCATCATAAACATACCTGGAGTTGTGTTTTGTTTCATTCACACATTTTTGAGTCTATCTCCAAAGCTCAAAATGCTCTGTTCCACCTTGTGATGTCATGAAGTTGTAGTTTTCAAATTAATAGCTACTTTTGATCCAAATGATCAAAATGATTCTAGAGAAGGTCTATGGAGTTTTGAAACACTGTGGAGTACTTCCTGTATTACCACACGACATCACAAGGTGTTTTCTGTTTGAGAGAAGAACTCTGCTTAAATATGCAGTTTTGTGTGTTAAACATGTGTGAATGAAACAAAATGTAACTCCAGGTATGTTTGTGATGAGCAAACAGCATTATACCATAGATCAGAATATAGTGTAATAGACAAAATCTTCACAGCCCCCTTTTCAAATACTTGGGAAGGTTGAGTGAAAACCACATTATAGAAGTGTATGTGTAATTGTGTTTTTCCCCAATGTGTTTTAGCTGATCATTAAAAGAATAACTGTCTTTTCTGATTTATTTTAACAGTAATAACAGCAAAGATAAGTCTGACGTTACTGAGACTGTTCGTTAACCCACTCACCTTTGTCCTGAAGCCACCCACAGGTTTGCCACAGGAAGTACCAGATTGTGATAACAGAATGACGTCAAAATAACAAAAATAAACACAGACAAAAGTCTGTTAGTCCCATAGACCAGGGATCTCCAACCTTTTGCATCCAGTGAGCTACCTTTACAAAATGAAAATGCCGGAGAGCCACTCATTTTATCGGTTGCAAGAATTTTAGTTGATATAAGACGGCAAGCCTTAGTGTTCTACAGTTAGGTGCCTATAAAACCTAAAACCATTATCTATTTATTAGAGCATAAAGTTCAAAATAACACATTTACAATGATAATCAATCAAATCTGAGTTATTCAGTACAATACATAGACTGCAGAAATTCCTTGGAGAGCTACTTGGAAGGGGGTGGAGAGCTACTGGTAGCTCGCGAGCTACAGGTTGGAGACCCCTGCCATAGACTGTAAATATAAATGAACATAGCTAACCCGCTAGCCGCTGTGTTTCAAATAGGAAGTGAGCATCTTCTGGCTCCACTGACTCTGGCTCCAATTTACATAAAAAAAATGTTACCCCTCTCTCTGTAACTGCTGCACTGAGCCTCATCATTTTGGTCTTAAAATGTTCATATTATCCACTCTACGTGATTTTAGTATTATTTAGCTATTTTGTCAGTTAATAAATTCCTATTCCTATATGGAACTCTGCTCCAAACTCGCTCCTATAATTGCTAGCCTCATGAGCTTCATTTGCCTGGAGCCAAATGCTATGGGTGACGTCACACTCCCTTAGTCCACTTCTTTATACAGTTCCTGGCAAAGCAATACAACCACTACTTTTTTCCTTTTAACAATTGTTTCGCTTTATCCAGATTGCATTTTACTCCATGGCTTTTAAATATAATAATAACAAGTTCTTATATGCGCCCACCATCCTAATACTATTCAAAGAATTCCAGGAGGGACCTTGGTCAACATTGTTTAATTTCAGTGGGCAGATATATGGCAAAAAGGCCCCATATAAGTTTGTAAATTGTTTGCAATTCAAATGAATGAGCCTGTCTTTGCTGCACCTAATTCTTTTATTCAAATTGTGAATTCTTTGGTAACAATGTCAGCCTGCATGAGTCTATGTGGCTATGCACATGTGAAGAATATAAGCTTTTAAAGTACCTGCATGTTAAACTTGCTAACTGTTATTCACTGAGTATGCAGTAGTATAGGAATGGTATGTTCTATGTGCCACAAGAAGGCAGAAGTTCGCCATGTTACTAGGTCATAAACAGCACTTATCTAAGTCACACTGACCTATAAATCTCATAGAGACACCAGTCCCAGCATCTCCAATTCCATCTCCCATTGTAAGAGCATTATTTCTGGCAGATCAGATTCTGCTGCCTCTGGTTTCAAGCCCACTGTTTTATGTAGAAGATGGCTTTCAAATGTCTGTGTTCTAACCAAACCTGTACAGCAACAACAAAGATATTTGAGAGGGATACCAGAGACAAGTCCTATGTAGGCTGTCATCATAATTACATAGGTGAACTGTCATAGTATACTAGCTTTACCTAACATAGAGTTATTTGTATGAAGTAGTTATTTGTTTAGCCTTCTTGGATTGTTCAAACCATCACCAGTTTATCCAACACCCGTAGGTCCACAATTTGGGAAACAGACTTAAACCACTAGTTTTGACAGACCTATGAGCTTCTTTGAATGATCTATTACACAACTATAGACCACTATAGACAGTGGTTCGTCAGCAGCAGAGCAGGAGCAGCCTCTCTCTCATTGGCTACTGGGGACACGTCAGCAGTCAATAAGTGAAACTCTGATATGTTACAGTCTTCCTCCTCTTCCGTGTGCGTGCGTTTTGACACTTTACAACTACTTTGGTAAGTCAGAGAAAGCAAAAACTTTGTACTTCAGCTTTATAACTTTACAATATAACCAAAGCTAAGTCCGACGCATATTAATCTAGGCGATTTGTCCTGTTAACTTCACAGGTGGCCAAGGGAAACAGCTGGAGTGATTTTGGGCCACTTTTCGGAACGGCACTCGGCGCTGTCCGGGGAGGCAGCCTTTACAAAGCGCCCTGACACTTTGGTCACGCGCAGTTGTATTGCCCTTTAGTTTTACGCACGAGCGGCGATGTAGCGGACGAGCTTGAAGCGAGGGCTGGCGCGGTAGAGGAGACTAGAGCCTGGACTGGACAGTCGTGTGAAGGTCGCTTTACTCGGTGAAGATGAGGTTCCGGTTGCTCAAGAAGAATCTTTTCGCGCTTTTGGGAGTTTCTTTAGTGATCGTCACTCTCCTGATCTCTACGCGCGTGTTGATGGTTACTGAAAATGACACTACGGAGACCAACAGCGTCGCACAGACCTTTGGGTCTGGTGACCCTGTGAAGTTTAACTATAACTCAGTACCAGATTTGACCAACTCTGTTTATAACGCCAACTACAGGCAGTACATCCTGAACGCAGAGCGCTTCCCCGGAGAGCCGCAGCTGGTTCTGGTGGTGCAAGTCCACAATAGACCCGAGTACCTCAAACTGCTCATAGAGTCATTGCAGAAGGCTGCAGAGGTGCACAGCTTCCTCCTTATCTTTAGCCATGACTATTTTTCAGAGGAAATAAACTCTATTGTGCAAGGCATTACTTTTTGCAAAGTACTGCAAATCTATTTCCCCTTCAGCACACAGCTCTATCCAAATGAGTTTCCTGGACAGGATCCACAGGACTGTCCCCGAGACATTTCCAAGGACAAAGCTGTGGCAACAGGATGTTTAAACGCACAACACCCAGACTCCTATGGCCACTACAGGGAGGCCTTCATCACACAAACCAAACACCACTGGTGGTGGAAGTTGCACTTTGTGTGGGAGCGCGTGCATGTGATGCAAGGATACAGTGGCTTTGTTGTCTTTTTAGAGGAGGACAACTACCTCTTACCGGACTTTTATCATTTCTATAAATCAGTGATTGAGTTGAGACAGAGGAGCTGCCCAGACTGTGACATGCTTGCCCTGGGGAATCATAATGGTTTTAATGAGTTCACCCAACAGTCCAACAAGGTGATGACCACTGGCTGGATGTCCACCAAACACAACATAGGCATGGGCATCTCCCGGGAGATGTACTACAAACTCATGGGCTGTAATGATGCTTACTGTTCCTATGACGACTATAACTGGGACTGGACCCTGCAGCACCTGTCTGGGACCTGTGTGTCCAAACCCATCAAAGTGCTGGTGGCTCAGGGCTCACGGGTCATGCACACAGGAGACTGTGGGCTGCACCAAAAGGATAACTGCAGACCAGAGTGGGCCATGCAGAGAGTGGAGGAAAGCCTGAAGCTGGCCAAGGATGGGCTGTACCCTGCCTCCCTCACTCTCACCACTGCAGAAGTGCCAGAGCACAAAGCCCACATGAAGAATGGAGGCTGGGGAGATGTTCGGGACCACAGTCTATGTAAAAACTACGCCAAACGCCTATAACTGATGTGCCATCTGAACTAGACCTTTTTAAATATCTTTGCTTTTAAATATCTTTCCATGAACCAGTCTTCCCAAATAGGCCAAATGTACTGTTCATAAAGAAAAAACATTTAATCACCAAAGCTGCACTGTTGCCAAAGACTTGTTTTCTTTTTTGAATTGTCTTTAAGCTCTTTATTGCTGCTCACATCAGGATTATGGCAGTTGTATGAGCCAAACAAATTATTTTGCACAAAAATGAAACCAAATGCAATTATTAGTGCTTAAACATGTCATTGTGGTGCCGTATCCAATCCACTTTATTTACTGTATAGCACATTTTTATAAGCAGACAGTTTCCAATGTGCTGCACACAGATAAAAACATAGTGTGGTATTTTCTAAGTTTGCATTTATTGTAAGTTGGCCTCTTTGTGTATGTGAACCTTTTATTTATCATTGTTTATGGTACCAAGTGTTGAAGTCAAATTTACAACATTTATGACATTGCAAGTTTGACTGTGAAATACCCATACTAATGTTTGCAATGGGGGATGTTTCTGACCATCTTTCTGTTCTGTTTCTTCATCACAACCACTGATCATATCATGCCATTTTGTCCTGCCCAATGTAGCACCCTCTTTAACATTGATTTTTTTCTCCTGATATTGACTTTTGAGAACTAGCAAACCTTTGGAGTCTGCTCAAAGGTCTGCTTCAAATCTACTGACTCACATGTAGTACATTTGGGGTATATATTTGGTTTGTAGTACTATAGCATATTTTATGAGCAGTGATTGACCTATTTTGACTTTAAGTGCCTTAGTAGATTTCAAAACATTTTAAAATAGTTTACATAGCCTAAACACACTGATACCACAGCCAGTAAGTCCACATGCAGTTTTTTTAAAAACTTGACATAGGCAGAAGTAAAATCAGTTAATAGGCTATTTTGTAAATTATGTACAGTAAGAAAATGTAATATCTTTTGTTATCATTACTAAAAATGGTTAGTAAATGTGAACGAGATCTTCCCTCTTTAATTAATTTGGGACATACTGTACTCTGATGTATAATGTTATATGATTGATTATTATTGATTATGTGTTGAAATTGAAATCAGTGACTTTTTTCAACCCAGGTGTCTGGAATCATCACTTGAAATGACCATTATGACTGTTGTTCACATATTATTGTTAAACGGGGAATAAAAGAGATTATATTTTTATTGTGCGTTATATGTTTACATTCATTGTTCGGAGTGATGTCATGCCGTAGGGGCCGTAAAAATAGAACAAAAGGGAATCTGACCCGAGACCTGAGGCATTTAAATAATATGCGTCACGTGATCATCACCCGCGCTTCTATTGGTCAGTTTCAGTCTAGTGTTTATTTCCGGAAGTAAGTTATTCTCAGTGGTGTCATAATTTCCATCAGGTTTATCACATCTTTGTGATTCCACGCTGTGATCAAAGGTAATGTCTGATTTCTAAAGATTTATATCAACATTTACCGTTATTAAAATTAAGTTGTGGTGTGTGTTTAGGTAGATACCTCGACGTGACCAGCGTTAGCCGTTAGCTCTCGCTATTATGGCATACGTAAAGGGCTTTGATCTACGAACAGCTCCTTCAGTTGTGATAAACCTTAACTATATTATAATCAGCTAATGACACCACTGTCTATGTGGGTCTGCCACAGTCCGAGCTCATCAATAACATGTTACTTCAGTGTGCTAGGTTAACAGTGATGCTAAGCATCTGTGTAGTCACAGTCGTAATGTAACGATGATAGCACTGATCAGATGTTACTGTTCATAGTTTCATATAACCACTGTGTAGATATGTTATTCATGTTTTATAATCATATGGCACTGTAATAACAGTTTGCTACCGTGTTACAATTTTAGGTGTGTCCGCAGCTACAGAATGGCACATTGGTTTCATAGAAACCCACTGAAGGCTACTGCGCCCGTCTCTTTCAACTACTACGGAGTAGCAGGGAGTCCAGCTGCCAATAAAATATGCAAGTGAGTGTTATTTGGAGATAGCCTTACTATCTGAATGAACTGTCTGTGACCATGACCATCAGGCGTAATACAGCTGGCATAGATCCAGCGCATTGTTAGAAAATAAAGAGCTTATTTTCTTGCCCCACAGTGATCTGAGGACCACCAGGGCCAGACTGCTGGACATGTTTACTGACATCACCTGCACCCCCGACATCATGAAAAATGCCACTGATGCGTACTTCTCACTCCTGCAAGGTGGGTGCCATCAGATTTTTCATCATCACAGTTTTCATCCAAATCAATTATGTACCTGTCCTCCATTTTCAATTATTTGAAATGTGCATGTAGTTACAAAGGGACTGTGGATGACATATCTGTCGATGAGTCACTCAAACCATGACTATGCATGATTTTGAGCCTTAACAAAGAGCCTCAACATTTTGCTTTGTTGGTACTAATAACACTAGTAATCTTAAACTTGCCATTAACAAGCTTTCTATTTTTGAATACTCACTTTGACACAACTTTAGGCTTTATCACGTCTCTGGATGGTAGCTCACAGGACAACAAGATGCGGTACATCCAGAACTTTAAATGGACCGACACCTTACAAGGAAACACACCAAGGCAAGGCACAACACTAATCTATGAAGCACCATTTTTTAAAATCGTGCTAGTAAAAAGGAGTATAACTACAGCGAAAAAGTACTGTAAAAGTATTTAAGAGTGTATTGTGTTTGGGATATTAGAGTGATATATTTTTACATGTTTCAAATATTTTAATAATTATTTATGTATTCACTTTTAATTTTCATATTTTTCTAGTGTGAATCACAGTTTAGGTTATAAGGGTATAGTTTATAATATTATAATTGTAATAAAACCAAATCAAACTAACCAAATGTTTCCCTACAGTGCTCAGCAGGACATGGTGTTTGAACTGGTCTCCATGGCTTTCAATGTTGCCCTCTGGTACACCAAGTTTGCTTCCAGACTAGCAGGAAAGGAAAAGTATGTTTTTTTTTCTTTTTCACATGAATATTTGGTTTAAGCAGATATGTGTAATAATGTGCAATATGTGTGTTTGACAGTATTACAGAGCCTGAAGCCAAAGATGTGCACCGGAGCCTGAAGGTGGCAGCTGGAATTTTCATAAATCTCAAGGTGATTTACATGACTCTCTCTTTCCACACCTTTTGTAATTTTTGTCAATGCAAATGTCTCAGCTACAGAAACACAGTCAATGCTGACCTAATTTGTCATAGAAATATGTTAAAGGTATAGAGACAATGCTCTCAAAGCATTTCACATAATAAACATTTTTACAATCTTATGTTTTAAATTTGATTGTATTACTTCTGACACATTTAAAACCACATTTAGTAGGGTTGGACCTGGTTTGTCCTGAGATGGGAGACTGTTGACTTAGCAAGTAGGGTAGCAGTTACTCTAGTAGTACTGCTGCTCTGTCCTCAGGCAAGACATTTCACCTAACTTGCCTAGCATGAATGTGGATTGTGCGTGAATGTTGGTGGTCAATGGCGCAGATTGCAGCCATTTTCAATTGATGGAACTGGCTGGAAGCACAGGAAATGTATCCTACTCCCTAACCCCAAAGGGAGGAGTTTTAGAATGAAGCTGCCCTGCCCTTGTTTACAGCTAAACCTCATTATGGGGCTTATGTCCCTTTTGTGTATTGGGTGTCTCACCTTCAGCATTGTTAAGTACATGATTAGCATATAGCATTTCCAGTGCTACAAGCCAGTACCAATTGAAAATGACTTCTGGATGGGAGCAGAAAAGACATCTTACAATGCTAACATCTTCTTCCCGCAAGCTGTTATAAGTTGAAACAGTGCACTTTGATCTTTGATGTGGCACCTTAATATTTTAGTTTGTGTATTTCAGTGTCAATATGTCGTCTGTAAAGATCTATATCTATAAGTCTATTGTTTATTCACGTGGTTGTTCTAATGTCTCCTTCATGGTGCACTGTGAGCTTTTCTCATATGTTTTTCCACTGTGGTTTCAACTACAAATGGCAAATAAACTAACCTAACCAAACAAACAAAAAGCAGAGTCCAAATAACCACAGATGAAACTCTCTAATTTGAATCACTCCTGGACAAATGAAGGACTACACTGTCTCATAACCCCTAGAGATAACATCTTCTTCTTATTCTTCTTCAGGAGCTGCACATCCCTCGTCTCATCACTCCAGCAGAGAAGGGCAGAGACCTGGAGCCTAGAGTTATGGATGCCTATATTATCCAGTGCCAGGCAGAAGCACAGGAAGGTACTCATCAAACAATAATACAGAATATAATCTGCCAAATCAGAGTATTAATTTTTTTATGTATCTTTTTGAATAGTGACAATTGCCAGAGCCATTGAGTTGAAACACAAGGCGACACTTATTGCAGCATTGGCTTATGAGACAGCCAACTTCTATCAAAAAGCTGGTAGGTAACATGTTTATTATTCAGTTACATACAGAATTACACAATTACATACAATAATGAGTCTAATAAAGGTGAATGTATCTGCAGATCACACACTGAACACTCTGGAGCCTGAATGTAGCAGCAAATGGAGGAAGTACCTACAGCTCAAGCAGCATTTCTACATGGCCTATGTGAGTTCAGACACAAACATAAACATAACATTATTCCCAAGTCTGTCAGGTTATTTAACTGATTTAGGATATATATAATTTCAAACATAGTATGCCCTATGCATACACCAAGAACAATTTACAAAATAAAATCATGAGGTAGCAGAGGTCCACTATTGTGGCACAAATTATACTATGGGGGCCAAAGTCTCCTCTATTATTGGGAAACTCTGACATACAACCCACAGTAACAGTTATAGTGACAAGGTGTAAAATGTTTTACTCAAGGATGCAATGAAGGGATTCAACATCTAACCTTTAGTTTGAATGGTAGACAATTCCAAAACACTTGTGTAACTTGTGTATACAATTCTAATTTACATTACAAAATGTTGAATACACTGTATATTGCTGTACCTCCAGGCTTACTGCTATCATGGACAGACACTCTTGGCTGGTGACAAATGTGGTGAGGCCATTCGATCCCTGCAGGAAGCAGAGAAATGTATGTATATCTCAAATGTGTAATGTGTATAAATAGTAGTGATATTATAACATAAAGAGGGGGTATTATGCAAAATGTAGTTTTTGGAGCTTTCTGCCATGTTATGTCTTTCATGCTATAGTGTTGTTCCCTCATCAAAAAACATAAATAAAAGCATGATACAAAGCAATGCAGTACAAAGCATTTTCAAAAAAATAAAATGTAACATGGTGATCTAAATATGTTATGCGTTAGCAATCAATAGCCCATAGAAATAAAATCCCGACTCTTTAACTGGAGTGTCCTGCACCAGCCCTTCTCCATGGAAGTTTTACTGCTATTCCTGGAACACTGTTAATTTGCATTTGCATTTATGTCATTAAAGGTGTCTTTCTTGTTCAAAAATACCTTGAAAAACATACAAATACATACTGTGAAACATTCTAGGCAAAGCAATAACCTCTCCATGGAAACCAGCTGGTAGCAAACTTTCCTCCTGAAATGTTATATTGGGTACCTTTTAAATAGGCCAGTCTTTTTGCATGTAGCTTTCAAATTTCAATTAAGATTTTTAAATTAGCTCCATTTCCTGTGTGTAATTGTTGCATTTGCATGTAGTGTGTCTTAACCTTAAAGGTCCTATATTACACAGAATTCACTCTTGTGAGCTTTTAGCCATGTTATAAAGCTAGTACCTCATCAAAACAACCCTGGATTTGTGTTTCTTTAACATATATTTCAAGTAATTCTAGATTATTAGTCTGTCTATTCCTCAACTCTCAAAATGCTCTGTTCAACCTTGTGATGTCATGAAGCAGTCATTTTAAAGTTAACAAGTTTTACCTTTTGCCCTGGCAAGAGCAGGGCTGAATGATTCTAGTGAAGGTGTATGGAGTTTAAAAACGTAGGGCCAGGGTTTGAGTGTGAAACATGTGTGAATGAAACAAAACACAACGCCAGGTATTGGCTTGTTAACATGCTTGTGTTCATGTGTTTAGGTTATGCTCGGGCTGAATCTCTGTGTAAAGAGTACCGTCAGACCAAAGGCCCTGGGACCACGGCTAAACCCTCTGAACAGCTGTTCTTCATCAAACTGGGAGGAGTCATCAAGAACACTCTGGAGAAGTGTCAAAGAGAGAATGGATTCATGTAAGTCAATCTCAATACATACCCCACTCATGTAAAACTTAAAGGCCCATGTTACACTATTTTCTAAGCTATGATATAATGTTGTTTCTTCATCAAAAACATACCTAGAGTTTTGTTTTGTTTCATTCACACAAACCCTGCATAAAAGGTAGCTGTTAACTTGGAAAGTACCACTACATGACATCACAATATGGAACAGAGCATTTTGAGCTTTGGAGATGTATATAGACTAGTAGCTAGCCTCAGAATATTTCACAGTATGGCATTAAACTTGTATCATGCACATACTCAATTATAGTACAGAATAAAATAAAAAAATATAAATAAAAGTATAAAAATATTCTGCCCAGACACTACAGATGAAAATGTGCTTTATTGTGTTTTATTCACAGCAATTTATTGTGCAATGTTCCTGTCAAATAAATAAATAAATAAATAAATACATACATACATACATACATACATACATACATACATTAATTTGTCACCTCTCTATAAATCTGATCGTTAACTTTACCCGGTGACATTGCCTACTTCTTTCCTGAGATATAGATAAGGGTAATGCCATACTTCAGAACTTTCGATGTAAAGCAATAACATTTCTATGAAGACAAGCAGGTTGCAGACCCTCCATTAGAATTGTGGTAAAGCGTGTCTAGAAATCACTTTAAACTCTTAATATAAAGTATGTTTTTTCTGTTATTTTGATATATTGGCCACTTCGATCTAAAGCAACATTTTATATAGTGGGGTGGAAAAATAATAGTTTATATTGCGGCAGTAGCTCAGTTGGTAGAGCATTCGCCCACTGATCTGAAGGTTGGCGGTTCGAATCCCGCTCTCGACATAAACATCACAGGTTGAGCGGTCAGATCCACTGACCCACAGGTTGGCTGGTGTGTTTCCAGCTCCCACAGATGAATGCTGCCGTTGTGTCCTTGGGCAAGACACTTAACCCACCTTGCCCACAGTGTCTGTGTACACTGGTGTATGAATGTGTGTGAATGGGTGAGTGGTTCCTTGTTGTAAAGCGCTTTGACCACCTTGAAGGTGGAAAAGCGCTATAGAAAAATGTGACCATGTGACCATATATTGTTGGCTTTTATTGCTTTCTGTTGCATATTTGGCTGATTCTGTGGAAAATTAAAAGGCTTTTGCAAAGACAATCATAGACAATAAATTCAAGGATTGATATAAAGTAGTTTTGTGCAGCTCAAAAGAAAAGGTTGAAGCCCACTGATAAAATTGGATCTGGCAACATAAACGATTGTGTGCACATGTCTCGTGATGTATATATACGGTATATATTTTTTCATACCTAAAAGGGGTTAAATGCATGTGAGTTATAATAAGTTGTAGTAGTAAAAACAGATCTACAATAACAGCAGAAAATGTTAAATACAGCATCAAAAACTGAAGTTGTAATTTATATGAACCTGATCGTGTGTCTCCCCGTTCCTAGTATTAATGTTTAAATGTTGTATTTGTTTGTCAGATACTTCCACAAGGTGCCAGCAGAGCCCCCCACGCTGGAGCTGAAGGCCAGTTATGGTTTGGCTGAGCCTGTTCCCTTTGAGCTGCCCCCTCTGAGCGAACAGTGCACTCCAGAGGTCTACGCCACGTTCGACCTGACGAGAGGCGCCAAGAACGACAAGGTAACTACCAAGAACTGTGTTTTGGGTTAAGTTTAGTTTAAGTGATATAAAACATGATGAGTGGGCTCTGTGTGCAGCAGCACGTTAGCTAGCTCACTGCGTTCACATAGAGACCACACCGAGATAAAAATGGACAGGAAGTAGTGACTTAGTGACTAACAGTGAGATTTCCGGGCGCTATTGTGTACAGAGCCTATTCTTTTTTTTCTTGTTTATGTATTTATTTTTGTTAAACTTGTGATGCAAAACATGGTCATACATTTTTGGATAGGATTTAGCTTTTGTCTTGTATAAGGGAAAGGCTTCATTCAGAAGAACAAAGAATGTCAGAACAGGTCCCATGTGTAGTTACAATGGACTATAATCATCCGCACATTTATCTCTACATGACAATAGTGACATCTGGTGGTAAAATTATGGTATTGGTGCTTGTGACGATTGTTTTTTTTTAAAGTTTGGACTCAATGTAATTTTTCTTTAGGTTTACCACTTTCTACATTTCTCTCAATTCTCACACATAGGCAGTGATCAAAGCCAAGGAGGGCTAATGGAAAACACTGACTTCTGGTGTTCATTACAAACAATTATTGTACATTATCACATTTAACCAATTTGTGAAACATTAAGTGCATACAAAAATAACATGTACAAGAATTAAGATTGTCCATATTTTCTAGTCCATTTTGAATATATTATATATATTTTATTGTCCTTCTTGAAACCTTCACCAGTTAAGTACCCCAAGTCTGAATAGTGCTTTAAAATACTGAATGCCTTTAAAGCTCCTTTTATATTGTTCTGTAGTTATATAACATCATTTGTTTTATTTTCTCCAGGCCAAACCTAAAGACGAGGAGGTGAAGCCTGTGAAGGAGCCGGACCTCAAGCCCCAGAAGGACACAGGCTGTTCCATCTCCTAAATATCCTCCCCTCTCTCCCCCTCCTCCGGCCCTCTCTCTCTCACCTGTGTGTACCACTACAGTCACGCCAGCCATCTTCCTATTTATAAACCACAGGAACATGAGCTTTGGCCACATATTCTGTTCTTACTCATGTATTTGATCAAAACTAGTATAATATGCTCTAATTCAAATTAAGTGACCACAAAACAAGGATGTAACAAGGCTTTGTTAATTTAATATAACAAAATTAAATACATATTACTTTGATATGGGTAAGCCTTAAGTATTGAAATAACAGTGCCTTGGTCTTTTTGGCCTTTCATTTGGCACTAGCACACAACTAAAAAATTAAGAAGTCTATTGTCAATTTAAAGGTGCACTATGTAACTTTTTGATAGAGGGTCCATCACCTGCATGTTTCTATGGATTCTATGTCAATACTCTGCCTGGAATGTTCCACAGCATGACATTAAACAACTCTACCTTATATTTATTGAATTACAAATGTCATTATAACTCAAAAATACCTAGAAAACCAGGCATTCTGACTATTAGTGGGAGTTTCCTCTCCACAGTTCTGACTTGTAACTTGGTCTGGTTTGGTCTCCATGATGACAGAAGGAGGTTTAATGCCATACTGTGAAATATTCCAGACAAAGCAATAACATCTCCATGGAGAAAAGCATTTCATCGGACCCTCCATCAGAAATGTTACACAATGCACCATTAACAAAATAACACCATAACCATGTGTTTATTTAGTATTTTAGATATGAAAACACTATATAATGTATCTATATAGGAGTAAGATTAGTCTAAACCAGTGTATTTTTGGTGGTAAGACTGAAAGTTTACTATTGTTAATTAAATCTCAAAGATGTAAAGCAGCAGTGACAGTTCTAGCTGTAGCAGTTTACAATTATTGCAACTATTCCACTCCACATGTATGTAGTTATGGCCCTGTTTCAACAAGAAGGACCAAAAACTCAAAGCACTTGGCCTAATGATACTTTGCAGTGATGGGTGTATTTCTACTCATTTGCTGTAGTTCCAACTAAATTAGCAGTTTCTGGTCTTTGAGTTAACTTCACACCCTCAGGAAATGTTGAAGATATCAGCTGTGTCAAGTGTCAATATTGACTAAAATTGGACTTGCATATATTTTTTTGTTCAGCACATTATAAGCAAAGATCATTATCTAATGATTGAAATGAAGTAAATTAGTATATACAGGAATATTACTCAACTAAAGCTTGAGTTGAAATTCTGAGTTTGTTGAGCCCACTTGGTAAAACAGGGCAAATGTGCAGAATTGTTTTGTATATAATATAATGTCACTGGTTTCACTTATATTCATTTAAAACAAAAATAGTAATCTTTAGCTTGTTTTTTTTTAATTTATTTTCTAATTGTTTTACCTATCTTTACATATTCTTGTAATTACATTTCTTAATCATGATTTTTACATGGCCTATTTTACTCTTTTACACACCTTCATCCAAAATCCCTTGCAGAACTCTTACCATAAGTATGTACTGTACATAAAAGCAATTGGAACACAAACATTCAAAGGGAGGACTTAAAAATATCCAAGCTGCATGTCTCCAAATTATAAGACTAATTGCTGGAAGCTTGTATAAACTGTATGATATGCATTGATTTCTGTCATTGTTCGTTAATCCTAAACACATTTGAACCCACTGTAACGCCTTTGCACTTTAAACTGGTCTGCATTATAGAGACTGTAGTGAGGATCTGCTAAATATTTACTCAAATATCATTTCTCTCATTATAAAATGTGGCAATCAGCGTTTTCCTTTGAATGCTTCTCCCCACGTTTTTGAATGATCTGTGTACATTGTCTTACATTATTCATCTATTAACGTCCTTCTTGTAAGATTGATTTTTGAAGGTATTAAATCCAGTGTAAAACTAAAATCTTGTCATGTGTATGAGTATCTTAGACCTGAAGATCCAGAAGGCAAAATACCTGGAACAATAGCCAAAAAAAGGTAGCTGTTTAAAAAGTTTGATGTTAACTTGAAAACTACAGCTTCATGACATCACAAGGTGGAACAGATCTTTTTGAGTTTTGGAGATGTACACAAACTAATAATCCAGGGTTGCTCAAACATGTGCTAATGAAACTAAACACAACTCCAGGTATGTTTTTGAGGAGACGTTAAGATATGTTATTAGTAATTAGTAATTTGTTTTTTGAACTACAGTGTAACAATGTACTGCTACCTGTTCATTTGCAAATACTGATAACGAAATAACTCTGTCTTCTCGGGGAGAGTGAGTCAGGTACTTTCCATCTCTGGCAATGAAAGACAGAGGTGTACTTTGATCTGTCCTATGTCATCTGACACAACAGGAAGAAGTTACATTCTCGACATCGCAGATAAGACCAGCCCTTTGCCGCTGTTAAACTACTTCCCCGTGAATTAGCAGTAGCACAGTTAGTTTACATTGTGTGTTTGACTTCTCCAATTTCAGTTCAACCCTCTGCATCCTGGAGAGCTCTACACAGTCCACCTAAACAACACGGGGGCATATTTCACCCTGTGAACCAATAGAAAACTGAAAATCAAGCTGAGCCAAAAGATCACCAAGAGGTAAGTGCTGCCACAATCCTTTTACAATTACTGAGTGAGCTTGAGAAGCTTATGTTAACCAGATTGCAAAACATTTTCAATAACACTTATTATAATTGCACAAAATGGACATGGACAAAAACGTTAATAACCAAATAGTTTATTAAGAATGAATCAGGCCTAGTAGTTATTTATTTAGAATGTTACCTCCTTAAAAACATTCCTAGAGTTGTGTTTTGTTTCATTTACATGTTTGAATAACCCTTTATTATTAGTCTGTCTACATTTCCAAAGCTCAAAATGATGTCATGAAGCTGTAGTTTTCTAGTTCACCTTTTGTCCAGAGTATGGCTGTTCCAGGGTTCAAATCATCCAAGTTATTCTAGTGAAGATGGAGTTTACAAACACAGTGGAGCACTTCCTGTATTACCACATGACATCACAAATATTTTCTAAAGAAATCAGGCTAAATAACGCAGGATTTGTGTGTCAAAGATGTGTAAGTGAAGCTAAACACAGCTCCAGAAAACATCATAACATAGATCATAAAATAGCATAATGTGGGCTCCTTACTATGCTAAAAGCTACATGCTAAAGTTACCTCCACAGTAGTTTGATAGATGCCAACAACTACGTCACTAAAGTAAACATTGGTTGATGCAGTTAAACAATATAGTCTTCGCCAGCTACTTTTATAACGAATTCTGCTACAATATGGTTCTTTGCCATTCTAATTGTCTAATTCTGTCTTTGCTATTTCTGACACGTAGCAGCCAAGAACCATGGAAGAAACCCAGTTCGGAGGTGTAGAGGTGTCCCAGGAAAGACGGGTCATTCATTTCACCAACGGAGAGACACTGGATTTAGACAGTGAGGAAGAAGAGGAAGAAGAGAGACCAGCATTTAGAGACAAAGAACACAGGGTAAACCTTAAAACCACAAAGCAGACTGTACCTATTTGCACAAGTGTTTACCACCAACTAAGCTACAGCACCTTACAGTTTTTTCAAATATTATTATTTTACCTAAATTATCTTAAAGGTGCATTGTGTAACTTTACTGATATAGGGTCTGTCAAATGCTTGTCTTCATGGAAATGTTATTGCTTGCTCTGGAATGTTTCACAATATGGCATTAAACCTTTCTATCTTCGTGAAGACCAAACTAAACCAAGATACAGGTCAGATCTATGGAGAGGTGACCCTGCTCACAGCCTGAATGCCTGTTTTTCTTTAATTTTGAGCTATAAAACCACCTGTAATTGAATAAATGTAAGTTTAGAGGTAAGGTAGAGATGTTTAATGAAATACTGCAGAACATTCCAATCAGAGCAAACCAAAAAGTGACATAGTGCACCTTTAGTCTTGTTTTTCTGGCTTTATATTGTGTACGGAGACTTACTGTTGTATGTAAAGAACTTTGGGCAACTGTGATGGTTTTTAAATGTGCTATACAAATACATTTTCGATTAACTTGACAACTTTCAAACAACACGTCACATGCTTCTTCTGTTTTTGTCAGGGGAGGTTTTCATTAAAGAATCTGGTTCTGCGAGTTGGACGGCTGTCACTGTTCAGTAAGTAGAGGGCATGTCAAAAGTTTCTGTACGGCTTACATTAATATATTTAACTACCAGGATTAAACTGAGGGGCACTATGTCATTTTTCTGGTGGAGGGTCAGTCACCTGCTTGTCTTCATTGAGCTGTTATTACTTTGCCTGGCATGTTCTGTAGTAGGGCATTGTTTATCTTAGTTATCTCCATGGAGACAAGCAGGCCATCTGTGGAGAGGCGTCCGGCACGCACACTGAGAATTCATGACCAATTAAAATTCCCACCAGAAAAGATACACCGATAAGGCAGAGCTAAACCATAGACTGTATATATAAAGGGACATATCTAACCCTCTAGCCACTGCATTCCACATAGGAGCTGACCATGTGTGTGCTTCCGGCTCCACTGACTCCTGCTCCAATTGACTTTACATTGAAACATTGTCGGCAATCTCTCTGTAACTGCTGCAGTGAGCCTCGTTATTTTGGTCTTAAAATGTTCATATTAATCCACTCTACATGATGCTGGTGTTTCGCTATTTTGTTCGTAAATAACTTCCTATTTCTAATATGGAACTTGCTCTTATAACCACTAGCCTTGTGAGCTTCATTTGACTGGAGCTGAACACTATGGGTGATGTCACACTCCCTTAATCCACTTCTTTATACAGTCTATCACAGTATCTTTTTTTTGTTTTTAATAATGTAATAAGAGTTTAGTGCTAACATATGTGTGTGTATCTTTATCTAGCTTGTGACTTCCTGGGTGAGAAACTGGCCGCAGTACTTGGGCTGAAAGATGCCAAATATCAGTACGCCATAGATCAGCACCAACGGCAAAAGGGGGTAAAGTCACAGATTTATATTTATACATTTTGATTTAAAGCTGCATTATGTAATATTTCTGATCCGCTGCCTGTTTCCACTCTATGTGGCACATTCCAGGCTGTGTAATAACTCCATAGTCTCCATGGAGATAATCAGGTGGACCTTCCCTCAGAAAAGTTACCTAGTGCATGTTTAATTAAAAATGTTTTTCATTGCCTAAACTCAAGCACCTCTAAATGAATGTTCACTCTAGAATGACCTTTTTACTTGTTTAGTATGTTCCAGTGTAATGATCTCTTATTTAAAGAAGCTACAGGCAGAGACAGAGAAGCTTTGGTGATTTGCCAGTCAAATTTAAAGCTTTAATATGATTAAGGCAAATGAATGACTTTTTCCAGAAGTATTTACGAAGGACGTGAATCAGGCCTGTTTTTGCATCACAATAGTTACTCATGTTAATCCATTACCCTTTATAGTTATAGTATATTACGGTTATAGCAGTAGTAGTCTATAGAAAATGTGATAATAATTCCCCTGGTTGTATGGTCCTGTTTGCAGATGCTTAGCAGTGAACCCACAGAGCTAGGGACCACTACTCTGTCTCCTGAAGGCAACACAACTCATTATGGAGCGACTGAAGACAATGGACAAATATACAGTAAAGCTCCTCACATGGACAGAGGGCAACTCAACAGCGGGTACCAGGCAGAAGAGATTAACCAGATAGCAATGGACAATTGACGCTATGGACTTTGAGTTCACATGGACTGGATAAGTTTGGTACAGTCATAATTTATTTTTCCTATTTCCACAAGGGGTATTAGTAATTTCTTTGGAACATGGACACACTGTAAAGGGGTGAGGGTGATGTTCTACAGACATCATCTTTGTTTACTATTTAAAGGTCCTATATTATGCAAAATGGACTGTTGGGAACTGTAAGCCATGTCATAATGCTGTTATCTCATCAAAAACATACCTGAAGTTGTGTTTTGTTTCATTCCACCTTGTGATGTCATGAAGCTGTTATTTTCAAGATCACCAATCTTATGGGACATTTACCTTTGCCTTTCTCTAAACATTTGCAGGGTTTTTCATCAATCATCAATCATCCATCACTGAAAGCTAAACCCTGAAGTATTACTCTGTTGTTTTGTTTGAATAAAATAAGATTAGCAATTTGAACATTTTGCTGTGTGCTCCTCCTCTGTGTCCTAGCTGAACCGCAGCCACTTATCACTGTTTAATGGACTACTAAATATCTGCATTGATTCTAGATGTTAATGATTCATAAATACTAGCCTACAATAATAATAAAAGGTAGGCCTGAATAATGCTTCATTTGTCATTTCAGATAGGCTAATTTTGTAAAAAAAACAAAAAAAAAAAAACCCCCAAAAAACCTACACAAATATTATATGGACATATTTTTTAATTAGTTTAATGCAATAATGGTCAAATTAAAAAAGGCAGATGAGGAAAGACTGTCAACCAGCCAATTAGGACGTTAACCAGTCAGGAGATCAGCCAATCTGGGGTCAGAAGATGGGGTTCAAAGGGGAGGGTTGAGTCCAGGATGATGCCCAGGTGCGAGAAGTGGCGACATACACACTGACGTCCTCTCCGCGTCTGGGTATAAACAAGCCTGCTCACAGTCAGCCGGTCAGGACATCACCCAATTAGGAAATCAGCTACCCATCAAGTCCTTTGTAAAATCCCTCAGTCGTCCAGGTAATTGGCAAAAGTTTTTTTGACTGGATACATTTCGCAGATCATGGACTTTTTTGTCCAGCTGATAACCAATCAGGTCATCAGGCAATCCTGGAGATTAGCCAGGGATTTTTTTTTCTAATTTTTAATTTTATTTTTCATCAAATCTATTATTACGCCAGACTATTGATCGTCATATGGGACTATTTTCTCATATATCAGTCTGCCAAGTTTTCTATCAGGAAATACGACTCGCTGCTGCTGCTCAGACATAAATCCGTAGCACTACTAGTCGTCTTAGTTGTAGTAGTCGTCTTAGTTGTAGTAGTAGTAGTCGTCTTAGTTGTAGTCGTAGTCATCTTAGTAGTAATAGTAGTCATCTTAGTAGTTGTAGTAATTGTCGTCTTAGTCGTAGTAGTAGTCTTAGTTGTCTTAGTCATAGTAGTCATCTTAGACGTAGTAGTAGTAGTCGTCTTAGTCATAGTAGTCATCTTAGACATAGTAGTCGTCATCTTAGTAGTAGTCGTCTTAGTAGTAGTAGTCGTCTTAGTTCTAGAAGTAGTAGTCATCTTAGTCGTAGTCGTCTTAGTAGTAGTAGTAGTCATCTTAGTAGTCGTAGTAGTTGTCGTCTTAGTCGTAGTAGTAGTCTTAGTTGTCTTAGTCGTAGTAGTCGTCTTAGACGTAGTAGTAGTAGTCATCTTAGTCATAGTAGTCATCTTAGACGTAGTAGTCGTCTTAGATGTAGTAGTAGTAGTCATCTTAGTCATAGTAGTCATCTTAGACGTAGTAGTCGTCTTAGACGTAGTAGTAGTAGTCATCTTACTCATAGTAGTCATCTTAGACGTAGTAGTCGTCTTAGACGTAGTAGTAGTAGTCATCTTACTCGTAGTCATCTTAGACGTAGTAGTCGTCATCTTAGTAGTAGTCGTCTTAGTAGTAGTAGTCATCTTAGTTGTAGTAGTCGTAGTCGTCTTAGACGTAGTAGTTGTCATCTTCGCAGTAGTAGTCGTCTTAGTAGTAGTAGTCGTCTTAGTTGCAGTAGTAGTAGTCGTCTTAGTCGTAGTAGTAGCCTTAGTTGTAGTAGTAGTAGTCGTCTTAGTCGTAGTAGTAGTCTTAGTTGTAGTAGTAGTAGTCGTCTTAGTCGTAGTAGTAGTCTTAGTCGTAGTAGTCGTCTTAGTCGTAGTAGTAGTCGTCTTAGATGTAGTAGTTATCTCAGTAGTAGTAGTTGTCTTAGTCGTAGTAGTAGTAGTCGTCTTTGTAGTAGTAGTCGTTGTCTTAGTAATAGTAGTCATAGTCTTAGTAGTCATAGTAGTAGTAGTAGTCTTAGTAGTAGTCGTAAGTAATGTTTGTTTCACACCAATTTTATGCAATAATAAAGTCTGTAATAAATGTTTAAATAGGATACGATATGAAGCCAAATTTTGTAACAGTTAAAGGTCTTACCATGGCGAGGCAAGGCTCCGTCAGCCACTGCTTAAACATAGGGTGACCAAACGTCCGTTTTTCCCCGGACATGTCCGTATTTTGCGTCCTGTCCTGGGCGTCCGTTTTTTTTTATAAAGTGATGCAAATGTCCGGGTTTTCAGTACCGTTCATTTGGGGGCAAGTGTGAGTCCATGTGCACAGGTTGTGAGGTGAGAGTACAGTCGTCCCTCGTTTATCGCGGGGTTACGTTCTAAAAATAACCCGCGATAGGTGTTTAACTTTATATTTTACAATTATTATATCTGTTTTAAGACTGTAAAACCCCTCAGCACAAACTTTATGCACTTTTCTCACACAGGACAGTTACAACCCTTTTTACTTCCTTCTTAAAACTTATTGCTGCTGTCGTCATGTTATTTTCCTCCTTCTTTATGTAACGAACTGAAGATTCATTTATTCCATAATGGAGCCAACAGCGCAGAGTCCCGCACGGATCCATTTGTGGAGACCCCCAGTACAACACCGCACCCGCCAGTACAGGACCGCACCTGCCCGTTAATCAGAGATTATATCAAACTTTTGCGCTGCCTACGCCACAGACTGAACCAAGACTAAACCAGGACTAACTCAGGACTGATTCCAGCACTGAAGAGGAGGACTAATCCACGACTGAACTAGGACTAAAACAGGACTAAACCAGGACTGAAACAGGACACCGTCAGGGCGGGCTCGGAGGTGACCGCAGGAGAAAGGACCGACTCAGCTCCGTACCTCACGCTCGGCGTTCCCTCTCTTAAATCCAAGATTAGTCCTGGTTTAGACCTGGTTTAGTCCTGACCCACCCGCCTGACCCACTTCTTCTTTGCACGATGTCGTTGTTGGCTTGGTCCTTGCTAGTGAATGAGCAAATGTTAACATAGCAGTAGTAGGTGTAGTAATAGTAGTGGTAGTAGTAGTTGTAGTTGTAGAGGCCAGTCGTAGTAGTAGTAACCCAATCCAATCCAAAACATTTTGTGCAAAATGTAACAAGTTCGTGACTTCCCCCTGTTTGAGTTGTGGTCGGTCTCAGTGATAAACAAGGCTAATTTCACACCAAATACACGTGAAACAGTGACATACTCAGACATTTCAGCAAATGAAGCAGTTGTGTTGAGGATTTGTGGTTTGCAGTAAAAATGCACGAGGAACACAGTTTTGCAGCCTACTCTGCTAAGAAACTAGTTCACTCTGACGTCTTTCCACGAATGCAGTTCTAGAACAAACATGATCAGAGGTTCTATCATCATTGTGATTCAGGTTTATATTCAAATTAACTTACCTTTTCTGACCTTTTGTGTTTGAACAAAATTCACCATGATTTCTTCATCAAAATCACTACATTTGACCATTTTAAAAGTTCCTTTGACATATTTTCTGAAACTTTTGCACACTTTAAGACAAAACACTTCAGTACACCCCCCCCCCCCCACACACCACACACACATATATATATATATATATATATATATATATATATATATATATATATATATATACATATATATATATATATATATATATATATATATATATACAAAAACTAATAATACATAAATAAATAATCCTTTAAAAAATATTAAAAATTCTTATTTCAGAAAATGTTATATGTTCCTCAGTGAAAACACCAGTCCCTCAGAATGCACAGACCTCCAGACCTCGGTGCTGCATTTGTTTTCAATATAATCTATTGACAACATTCTGCATTTTGAAACAAAAAGATCAGAGTTTTGATTATAGATTAATTTGATGACCATAATGTATTAAAGATACTTGAATTAGAGGTGGTAGTTTAATAACAGCCTAGTAATCCAAATCCATTCTGTTTTTGTGCAGAAACAAGTTCATTACCCTTCTCTGTTCGATTGCTAGGAACCTAATCGTACTATCTAATTGGTCAGGCCTGTCATCATGGTGATGCAAAGTTGTATTGTATTCTAAACCATAAAATAATGTTTTTTTTGTTTTGTTTGTTTTTAGGTTGTTGTAAGACTACAGAAGTGTACAAGTGAGTGAGACATGCTTTTTATCATTTCATATTCATAGTAAATGTGATTATTTTGAATTCTTGCGTGTTTTTCTTAATATTCGCAGTCGATTGAGGCAAAAAGGAAATGTAGAACTCAAAAGTATCGACGAGGATGGGATTCGAACCCACGCGTGCAGAGCACAATGGATTAGCAGTCCATCGCCTTAACCACTCGGCCACCTCGTCGCGTAATAATACAGGGGTGTGCTCTGCCTTCTTCTACATAAAGAATACGGATGCTACACGACGGTATGAGAAGTAAATAACGTTTTGGATATTTTAGATGAGCAAGTACTTCTTAATCGCGTACCTAAAACTCACTGTCTTGGTCTGCGTGTATGTAAGGGAAGTAGTTCCGTCCACCACAGCTTTTAAAAAGTCATTGCGCGAGCGTCGGTCTTTCGGTGGACTGGAGGCACAGAGCCCATCTTAACCTGTGGCACGTGCAAATATGATCACTGTCTCAAATATTAACTGCACAAGATGCGGAAAAGTAAAAGTACCGGAAATTTGTTTGTCTTAATTTACCTTTGTTCGCGAGTATCCAGCACAGTGGAGCAGTTAGCAGAAGTCTATTGCTATTCACAACTGGCAATAAAAAAAGTCCTGAATCCTATGTTATGATCGGATGGATTGCCAGTTTCTATTCTTTTTTTCACACATTGCTATTAAAAGTCTGGAAGAATCAGATTTAAAACGGATTATATTCATTTACAAAACAAAACAAAAAACAAAAACATAAGTGTATGTGACACCTCAGCTTTCTATTTTGCTAAATTCTTATTTTTCATCACCCACCGCTTTATCAAAAACGATAATTTGTGTTTTTTAACGATATTTGTGTTATATCGCTAAAACCACTTGGCGGCGCTTTAGACCACAGCAGCGTAACTCAACGTCTTCTTGAGTGGTGGGGGAAACCATACTAATAATGTTTGTCTCCAGGAAAACAGATTAACTGAATGCCATACTGTGGAACATTACAGCCAAAGCAATAACATTTAATGAGAGACACAGGTGGCAGACCCTCCACAGTATAAATTTGTATTTTTTTTCTTTTTTTATATGTGGAATTCCAGTAACATAAGACATACATTGCCATAACTGTGTAGTCCCTTTAAAAACTCTCTTCACTGCCGTTACACTTTTACTGATGCAGCAAAAAGAGTCAAAGTCCGGCCTTTCTCATAATAAAGCACAGTAGTTTGAAGGTCTGTGAAGGTCCATAATAATAATCTACATTCACTCTGCTCTCTACATTTTCATTAGAATGGGCATTTGGAGAATACTGTTGGCTGCAGCCCTGGTGGCTTCAGTATATACCGTAAGTATGTGAGGTGGCATTATTATTATTATACATGTATACTGTTATAAATTAGATAACTGTGTTTTGTTTACAGATACCAGTTTCTCAGGAAGTGCGCGGTAAGACAAAAACTGAGAAACTATACAATCTATGCAAAGTGTAATACTTGAATCAAACAGTGTCAAGAATTCTCTGTGTCTGAAATCATGGCAATGCATAATGGTACTTGATTGTACAACTTTCAAATTTAATTTAGTGAGAAAAAAACTAACAAACAAACAAACAACAAAACAACGAAACAAATTTAAAAAAAAAGCTAATTATCCTTATAAATGCAGCACAAACAACAAAAATAAAGATGTTTTAATCCTATGCCCTATCCTATTTTTAACACTATACAATTATTCAACTCAATGTAAAAGTATTCTGAATATTAATAATACATTACTCTCTTATCATGTGTTGGAATACTTTACAAAATACATTTTTATGCAGGTTACTCAGTTTTCTTGCAACCTGTACTACTACTACTACTACTACTACTACTACTACTACTACTACTACTACTACTACTACTACTACTACTACTACTACTACCTATTACTACTATTGTTTTGTTGATGAATTGCAATTGAATCTGTTTGTATTGTTACAGAGGTATATCCAAATGGGGAAGATGAGAATCCCATTTTGAATAAAGGTGAGAATACCTCATTTTATTCACCATTAAAAAGTATAATTATTACTATCTTAAACTTTATTATTTGTGTTTATTTGTGATTCTGTGCAGGCTCAAACATCAACCTGTTTGAAGGAGATATTTTCATCCCTGTAAGTTCAACAAACCATGATATGATTTTAATTACAACATCATAGTTTTATCTGTTTATTTGTTTTTTATTGTGCAGGAAGGAAGAAATGCTTTGATTGACAAAAGATACAGATGGAAGTTTCCAATCCCGTACATCTTGGGCGATGATTTGGGTACAACATATTATTATTTGATGAGATTACATGATCAGTGACAGATCATTTCCAAAACTGTAGCTCTAACGGAGTGTTCTTAGTTTTCTATGGTCAGTAAAGGTGAACAAAAAACATGAGAAATTTAAGGTAAAAGTGTCATAGGCCTATATAAGAATCATAATCATAAAGTTTTATTGCCATTCACAATTCACAAACTAAGAACTTGCTTCAGCAATATGGTGTAAGATTAGAGATTAGAGTGAATACAGAGTAAATACTAAAATAGATCAGTTATTGTTGATGTAACACAAGTAACACATAACACTCAAAGGTTTTGCTTGATTGTTTTACATTTTAATTAATTTTTTTATTTTACAAAATCTTGTGTCCCAGATCTCAATGCCAAGGGCTGTGTCCACCACGCCTTTGAAATGTATCGCCTGAAGTCCTGTGTTGACTTCAAACCGTACGAGGGAGAGCAAACCTACATCAAGTTTGAGAAGAAAGGAGGGTATGGACCACTTTTTAGCTGAAATGTATTAAAGGTGCACTCTCTAACATTTCTGGTGAATGGTCTGGTCTTCCACCTGCTTTTCCTTTCAAGGATATTCTGTTTATTCAGTTGGTGTTTTATGGCATTAAACTATCTCCATGGACACAAGCAACTGGCCTGACCAAACCTAATAAAAGGTCAATGGTCTCATTTATAAAACTTTAATGGAATGCTTATTTAAAATGTACGTTGGAGCAAGCATTAAAACACCTGTGATTGAATACATAATGCATGATAAAAAAAGTTTCATGTACTTACTTACTGTGGAATGAACAAAGCATTGGCATTTTCATGGAGACAAACAGGTTGCGACTAATCAGAAAATTCACATTGTGCATCTGTAATTCATTGATTGTTCAGTTTTAATTTAATTTTTTAAACTTAACTAAGACAGATCTTAACTTGTACGTACATACAAATTGGATGTAGTATATATCAGGACAACACTGGGCTTTTTAAAACTTTTTAAATGATTTTGATTTTGTTGTATTCATCAACACCATCCATTCATTTTCTTCTGCTTATCTGGGGCTGGGTCGCGGGGGCAGCAGTCTAAGCAGGGAGGCCCAGACTTCCTTCACCCCGGACACTTTTTCCAGCTCCTCCGAGGGGACCCCAAGATGTTCCCAGGCCACCTGAGAGACATTGTCCCTCCAGCATGTCCTGAGTCTTCCTCAGGGCTTCCTTCCAGTGGGACATGTCCAGAACATCTCCCGAGGGAAGCACCCAGGAAGCAATCTGATCAGATGCCCCAGCCACTTCTGCTGGCTCCTCTCAATGTGGAGAAGCAGAAGCTCTACTCCGAGCTCCTCCCATCTGACTGAGCTCTTCACCCTATCTCTAAGAGAGCGCCCAGTCATTCTGCGGAGGAAACGTATTTCAGCTGCTTGTATCCGCAGTCTTGTCATTTCGGTCATTACCCAAAGCTCATGACCATAGGTGAGAGTAGAAATGTAGATTGAGTGGTAAATTGAGAGTTTTGTCTTTCAGCTCAGCTCCGTTTCACCACAACAGTTCGATACACTGACCGCATCACTGCAGACGCTGCACCGATCCATGCATCTATATCAACATATAAAAAAGAAAACTGAAGTCTGAGAGCCAGTACTGGACAATGACTGACTTGTTTTGCTGTTGCTGGCAGGTGCTTCTCTAGTGTGGGGGACCAGCAGAACGGTCAGATCCTCTCTCTGGGGGCTGGCTGTGACCATAAGGCCATAGTAGAACACGAGCTGCTTCATGCGCTAGGGTTCTACCACGAGCAGTCACGCACCGATCGTGACGATTATGTGGACATCTGGCTTGATCAAGTCACAGACGGTACACCCATATCTTACAGTCCAGATAGGAAAATAGAAGTTACAGACATTTCAAAACATAACTTTAAGCTTTTGAGTATTTTAAATTTTGGCAGTCCAGTCTCCCACCTTGTCTGTTTTGTGTAATGATCATAGCAGAGAGTATTTTTGTATTAGTATTAACTGAGGAAAGAAGCCAATGCTTTTACTAAAAATAATGCATGAGAAATATGTCATAATATAGAAAGCGCAATAAATAGAAGGATTTTCCTTTGATTTTAGGAAAGTTATTCAGAATTAGTATTCAGTGTTCTTGCTACATGCATTCAGTTACTTCTCAACACTGATTATGACAATGAGCTGTTCTTTCTCACAGGACTTCAACATAACTTTAACAAATACAATGACGATTTCATCACCGACCAGAACACTCCGTATGATTATGAGTCTGTAATGCACTACCGCCCCTTCTCCTTCAACAAGAATGAGTCCATCCCCACCATCACAACCAAAATCCCAGAGTTTTATTACGTCATAGGACAGTACCGGGATTTCAGCGAACTGGACACGCGCAGACTCAACCGAATGTACAACTGCTGTAAGTGGCTGTTTCTATTTTGGTTCTTCTGGTCCCAGTCCCACACATATTTAAAGGGCCCATATTGCTCAGTTTTCAAATCTATGTTATAATGTTTCCTCATCAAAAATATACCTGGAGTTTTGTTTAGTTTCATTCACACGTTTAACACACAAACTCTGCATATTTAGGCTCTGACTTCTTTCAAACTGGAAACACTCTGTGCCACCTTGTGATGGCATGTGGTAATACAGGAAGTTCTACACTGTGTTTGTAAACTCACTAAAATCATTTGGATGATTTCAGACCTAGAATTGCCAATCTGTACCAAACAGAGGGTAAAAGATAGCCATTAACTTGAAAACTTCATGACAACACAAGGTGGAACAGGGCATTTAAACTTTAGAGATGTGGACAGACTAATAATGCCGGATTACTCAAACACATGTGAATGAAACAAAATGCAACTCCAGGTATGTTTTTGAAAATTTCTATATTACACAAAACTGACTCTTGTGAACTTAAAGTAATAATTAGTAATACTTTGAAATCCATCCGTGTGTCCTGCAGCTGGCCCTTTGACTCTGCTGGACCAGTGCTCCTTTGAGTTTGCAAACATCTGTGGAATGATCCAGAGCTCCACTGATGATGCAGACTGGATCCACACCCAAAGCATAGCGGGGCACGAGGACCACACCCTGCTGGGACAATGCAGAGGTTAAGACAGATATTATAGGTTTCTTCATATAATGCAATGTCTCCAAAAATCTAAAACATTAATTCAGCCTTGGTTTGCTCCTAAATCATGGAATATGTAACTTTTTCTAAAGTGGGGTTCTCATCTGCTTGTCTTCATGTGGATGTTTACTTTGTTTTTGGAATTTTCTATATATGGCATTTAATCTGTATGGAGACAAGCAAATGACACCATAGGACAGAGTTACAGGTCAGATCAGTGGAGAGGCGAGCCCGAATACATACTTTTCAAGGTAATACATGCAATATAAATGAACACCATACTGAATACTGAATACTGTGACACATTCCAGGTAAAGCAACATCTCTATAGAGACAAGAAGGTACCAGACCTTACACCAATATTTAAAGTTACATAGTGTTAGTTAAGATGTCCTCTTTGGTATACTTGATTACTCATCTCGACTCTTCCAGTCATTCAAAACTATTATTGTCTGTAATAAAATACAATACTGTATTTTTAGATGCTGGTTACTACATGTACTTCAGTACTAACACTGGAAAGGACCAGGAGTCTGCCCTGCTGGAGTCTCGGACCTTGTACCCCAAAAGGAGCTTCCAGTGTCTGCAGTTTTTCTATAAGATGACGGGCAGCCTCCAGGACCGACTGGTGGTCTGGGTCAAAATGGATGATGGTACGGGAACAGTCAGAAAAATGAAGAAAATACACACTTTTACAGGTGAGTACCAGACTGTGTACACTATAGGACTATAAGGAAGAGCTTTGCATCAAGGGAAACAACACTCATTTGACTACTGAGACATATTCAAATTCAGTTGTTTCAGGCACTTACTAATGTACTTACCAGAGTCAACATTTGGTCAGATAACAAAATCCATAAGCCTGAAGTGTTGAAAATGGAGAGGAAGTTTATGAAGAATTTTGCAGATTTAAAATTTTAACTTAAAATGTACAGGTTATAAAAAATGATGGATAAATAAAGTATAGCAGTTAAATGTTCTTGGTAAGTGAAGGCAAAATGGCTACGGTTTCCAATCCTTCTCTCCCACTGTTTTACCTGTTGATATAATCACAACATCCTTCTCTTACCTGAATAACAATTGCCTTATGAAGACAAATACATGGTTTATGTTTTATATAGATGTTACTGTAAAATAAAAATGAAATGAAAATAAAATAAATTAAATTGCTATTCCAGGAGAGGCTTGTGTCCCTTCACACCCCCCCGGTGCCACCCCTGCCCTCATATTGGTTTGTCTAAAAATAATTATCTGTGTTTCTTGTGTGTACAGGCGTATCAGACTCTGCCTGGAAGATCGCTCATGTCCCTCTGGAGGTGGACATGAAATTCCGTTATGCGTTCCAGGGTGTGCGTGGTAACACCTCCTCATCAGCAGGGGGCCTCTTCCTCGACGACATCAGCCTTTCCGAGATGCGCTGTCCGAACGCTGTGTGGACCATCTCAAACTTCTCCAGAATCATGGAAACGGCAAATCGCGGGGATGCCATGGACAGTCCCATCTTCTACAGTCCAGAGGGGTACGCGTATGGGGTACGTGTTATACCCCTGTCCGAATTCACGGACTACAATGGGAACTACACTGCGCTGTACTTCTTCATAGCCAGTGGGATTAATGATGTGGCGATGAAGTGGCCCGCAGTGAACCGTCAAGCAACTCTAATAGTGATGGACCAAGATCCCGATATCAAACTGAGGATGTCTACAGCTAGGAGTCTAACTACAGACTTCACTAGTATGTCATATTTGTATCTTAAAAACCCTATATTACACAAAATGGAGTCTTGTGAACTTTTGTCTGTCTACATCTCCAAATGTTCTGTTCCACCTTATGATGTTATGAAGCACTAGTTTTCAAGTTAACATGTACCTTCCAGGACTGAACTCATTCTGGTGATTCTAGAGAAGGTGTATGGAGTTTAGAAACACAGTAGAGCACATCATGTGTTCCCACATGACGTCACAAGGTGGAACAGAGTGTTTTCTATTTGAGAGAAGAGCCTAAATATGCAGGGTTTGTGTGTTAAAGATATTTGAATGAAACAAAACACAAATCCAGGTATGTTTTTGATGAGGCATCATGTTATGTTATGGGCACACAAATCTAATACTTAGTTCTCAGAAGATGCACTCTTAAGTGTCAGTTGATATTCTTCTCCAAAATTTATACTTTGCAGCTGATGTCATCCCATTGCCTGGGGGTGTGAAGTGAACTGGAGGCACTGCTCTGTTTGAAGCTCTCTTACATTAGACAAGTTAGACTTTAATCTGAGCATTGTTTTACCACAATTAGACCATGTCTCCCTCAAATAACATTAACAGCATTAACAATTTTTCTGTTAGTCAATTTCACCTTTTTGTTGAAGATCAAACTCCTAAACAGAACCATAAGTGCTTGTATTGATCACAGGCACCAGAAAATTTGCACTTTAAATCCATTTTGTATTTTTTCATGAGTTTTCAAACTACGCTGGCTAATGTGTGCATTAAGACCCCCGTGTTGATAATTTATTATCTGAATGACTACATAATGAACCAGAAGAAGTTGTAATATTACATGTATATTAATGTTTCTCCTCTTACACAGTTGAAAATGGGAAGTACTTGTGGGACAACCCCTCTAAAGTGGGGACCTATGACCCCTCCTGTGGATGTTACAAAAGCCAGGTCCGGGGCTGGAGGAACTTTGTCAAACACTTTGACCTCCGCAGACGCAGCTACCTGAAGAACGATGACCTCATCATCTTCATCGACTTTGAAGGTTAGTAATCTCAACTGAGTTAAAGCAGAACTATAAAGCAGCTATTTAACAACTTTTATGACTAGTCCTTCTGTTTGGTTGTGTAAAAAAAACAAAACAGAAAAACCTTGTGTTTTGCTCGTGATTAAAATATATGAGATGACTTTAGATAACCTTAAGTTTTACTATGTCCACAGATATCTCGTCATTGATCAAGACAGAAGTGCCAGTCAAACCAGCAGAGTGAAGAAAATGGCCAAAAATAACACAAACAAAGAAATCATAAGATGCTTGACCAACATCACAAGTTTGTGTTATTGAAGGACAATGAAGATGCAAGCAACAGTGTAGTTTTGCTATGGATAATACATTTTCTTGGTTAAAATGTTTTTAATATTAGTAAATAAAGCAGTACAAAAACAAGGTATGGTGCATTTTCCAGTGCTTATTTGTTGTATGTTTTGCTTTCATAGCAAATTTTGTTCAGTTCATTTCTGATCAGTGCCCTCTCTTATCAGCTATTACTGCCAAGATAAGAAGTGTTCCACATAAACTGATAAGAGAGTGCATGATAACTATATTAGACTTTGAAAAGGCATTTGTAATAAGTCTTATGGTTAATTATAAATCTGTGTTAATATGTCAAGCTTATGCTGAGATGCATCAGTTTAAAATGTTTCAAAAGATGACAGATGTGTAGAGTACACTGCTACAATAATTAATCTATAAAAATCTAAAGACAAAGGAGTGAGAACTGAATATGTGGCAGCATGCTTTATATGTTGGTGGAAAGTACACTACCTGCATATCTCTATGGAGACAAGCAGATAACAATACCAGGCCAAGTTACAGGTCAGATCTGTGGAGAGACAGCCCTGCTCACAGTGGAAATACTAGTACATGTATTTTCATCATAAACCCCCACAATAAAACTGATACTAAATAGATACTCTTAATTCAATACTGAGGAGGATTCCAAAACATTTGCCATCTCCAGGGAGACAAAAAGGTGACAAACCCTCAAAAAAAAAAAAAAAAAAAGTTAGCTTCAAAGTTTTGGAAACCAGATGTAGGTCCATTTTCTGTGTACATTTTACAAACTAAGAATTATGTACAAATTATTGCAGCCTGTATCCTCACTAACATCAAATCAAGTGTGTAAAATACTATTACAAGACTAGCTTTGTTTATCTACACACCACCTAAATAAACACTGGCAAACAAATCTAATGGACTTCAAGGATGACACTTTACTTCAGTGATTATTGTCCAACACAGTCATAAAGCCTTGAGCATGTGTTAATATCTGTTACACATTAAAAGTCATGGAAGAGGTCAAAGTTCTTGCAGTCTTTAAGGGCCTGTTTACAGTCACACCAGATTCATGTTTGTGAGCGAATATCAACATGAAGACCGCACTTTTCCTCTTTATTTTTATCTTTTTCAAGGTACAGCAATTTTCTCTTGTTAATTTATTCTCAAGCTAATTAAAGAATCATATATATATACTACTCTTTGTATATTTTGTCTGTCTCAGGTACAAGGATTTCCCACGCTATCAGGTTAGCTATGGTCACTAAATACTTAATTCCAATTTACTGTCGTGGTGTTGAGCGTGCTAAAGCTAAATTGCTAATATAAATTTTCCTATAGATGAAGATGCTGATGCAGGAGAACTTAGGGATGACATACTTGAAATCAATAAAGGTAAATAATTGTTTTTGTTTGTTTCTTTTTTTTTTTTTTTTTTAAGCTAATTTGCTACAACTTTTGTCTTCTCAGGCTTAAACCATTTGAATGAGGGAGATATAGCTGGTAATGTGAGTAGCCTATTACATCTGGTCATTTTGTGTATGTTTATTTTGAATGGGCTTAATTATAATTTCACAATATTTCTGCAGCATCACAGGAATGCACTGGTGGATGAAAGCATGAGATGGAAATTTCCCATTCCCTACATTCTGACAGATTCTTTAGGTAGGTTATCACTTAACAATTTTATGACTATTACAAATCAGTACATCAAGTTAATACTGAATGCTTATTTTTAATTTCTTGTCTGAAGTCACTTAAAATAAAAACAAAAACAAAACAGAAGCCTGTAATGCAATTTTAAAAACAAGGTTAAAACATGTTAATTATGCACTAATTTGTTTAATTTTCCTGCCTATACACTTTTTGTGCAATCCTGGATAGTCAGCCAAGGCAGTTACACACATTACTAAAATATTTTTTATAATAATGTGACATTATTTTACTTTTAGTGTCTAGAACAGTCCTGCATACAACTAAAGCAGGCTTCAAAATGACCCCATTTATTCTTGTGTAAATAAAAAAAAGTTATATTTCAGACTTGAATGCCAAAGGTGTGATCCTGCAGGCCTTTGAGGAGTACAGGCTGCGCTCTTGTGTGGATTTCAAACCGTATGGAGGAGAGAGAACCTACATCTCCTTCACCAAACAGAACGGGTGAGGAGCATTAAGCTAACCTGTCTCACACCAGACTGATGTGTGTGTCACTCTGTGTAGAACTCAGATCTCTCTGAACTGAGTTCTGCACATCATCAATCAGGGATGGGTCTTGCTGAAAGTGATCGGAAAATGAATCTGTTGGTCGAAAATGTTTGAATCTGTTTGGTCGAAGCGTCAAAACAATGGAGCAAACTTTTGCTTTTCTTTCATCCAACTGAGAGAAAAGCACAGACATCGTTCCTGTCCACAAATGCACAATGCAAATGTTGATGTTGCTATGTCTGTTTTGGTTTGTTTGAGTGCTTCACCTTCACATCACCTGCTGGGCCCTATTGCACCAGCTGGCACAAGCCAAGATGGATTCTTGGAAATAGTATGTGGATTAAATTAGTAACTTCACACAGTCATATCACAGTGAACAAAAATATAATGACCATTGGAATAAAGGGCACCATGACAGTTTTCTGGTGGAGTGTCTGACACTTCTTTGTCTCTGTGGAAATGTTATTGCTTTTAGCTGCTTCCATGATATGGCCTGAAGCTCATCTACTGTATCTCCATAGAGACAAACAAGTGACACCATCAGGTCAAGTTATAGGTAAAAATAAAAGAGACTCAAATACAATAAAAGGCATGGATAAAATAATACTTTAGAAAACAACTGGGCTACATAAAAAGACAAAATTTATGTATAAGTAGAACAACAGTGCAAGAATATGAGTGCAAACAGGTAAAGTGTGAGTCTCCCCTGCCCCTCCCTCAGGTGCTGGTCATATGTGGGGGATTTTAAAACGGGTCAAGACTTATCCATCGGGGCGGGCTGTGACACTAAAGCCATTGTGGAACATGAGCTGCTTCACGCCTTGGGCTTCTACCATGAACAGTCACGCTCTGACAGGGATGACTACGTCAAGATCTGGTGGGACCAAATACAAGAAGGTGGGCTACTCGAAAATACATCTATTATATTACACAGGGCCAAAAAAAGACAGTTTTGCAAGGTTATCTAGGTCAGCAGCTTTAAAATACATGCCATTTTTGCATAAATAGGTCTTTTAAACTGTTCAGAGAGAATTGTTGGTGATATTTTGAGTATGTAATATCTGTCAGAACACATAAAGCATAAATAAACATACATAACAAGCGCTTAACTGCTGTGGTTCTTAAAGTGGATTACTAAGATAATTAAGATGCTCAATGATAAAAATATATTTGGGTCATCAGGCATCAATTTCATTTTGCTCTGGGTGTCCCAGATTGCTCCCGACCTGAAAAGTTTTGACCCCCTGCATTACTCTACCCCAACTCAAATAGTTACCTCCGCCAAGGAGGTTATGTTTTTGCCGGCGTTTGTCTGTTTGTTTGTTTGTTTGTCTTTTAGCAACATAACTCAAAAAGTTATGGAGCAATTTTGATGAAATTTTCAAGATTTGTTGGAAATGTGAAAAGGAAGAACTGATTTCATTTTGGGGGTGATCCGGAAGAAATCCTGGATTCTGGATCACTTTGAAATTTTAGTTAACATTGTGGTAAATGGGGCCAAAAATTTTGTTTCTCAATATCTCCGTTAATTATTGACCAAACCCCATGAAATTTGACTCAGGGATGGACAATGGGATCCTCTTTCATATTCCAAAGGCTGATCCGAATCTGATCCAGAAGACTGATTTTATCGCAATTTATATAAAAAATGGGGGTAGTCCTTGGCGGAGGTCTGCGCTCTCTGAGTGCTTTTCTAGTTTCAATATATTTTTTGTGTATTATACTATAGACTGTATATATAAATGGACATAGCTAATTCACTAGCTGCCACATTGTTACGGCCCCAGGCCTTCAGTTCTGGCTTGTTTTACATTTGTTAATTTATTTTGCTGGCTGTCCTGATTCCTACTGTGGGAGCCCTGGTCCGTGATTGGTGGGGCACATCTACACCTGGCCAATTCTGCCTCACCTCCAGCCTCATACCCCTGCTAATCTTAGTGGCCAGTCTGCCATTTTGTGTCTCTTTCCTGTGTGTCTGTGTGTCTCTTTCCTGTCAGTCACTTGTTTATACTAGTACGTGTCTGACATTTTTGGTTGTATTGAGACACTTGTTTTGTTCAGTTCTGTTTTGTGCCTTTTTTAATTTGTCACTCAGTTCTGTTTGTGGGTTATGTGGTTTTACTTTGGGGCACTTGTGTTTTAGTTTTGTTGTGTGTCTCTTAGTTCAATCAGTTGTTTTTGTGTAAGCCTGCGTGACCCGTTTTGTTGGTACAAAAAATGTATGTTAACCCTGTTTTGTTTGTTTTGTTTTTTAAATTTATCTTTTACATTCTTGTTAATTAAACATTACTTAATTTATTCCTCTTGGTTCTTTTGTTACTTCTCCTGTCCCTAGCAGAGCTAGGTCGTAACACACATTCCAAATTGAAAGTGAGCATGGTGGCGCTTCAGGCTCTATCGACTCCAACTGCAATGACATTTCTGTACATTGAATATTTTTCACCCCTCTCTCTGTAACTGCTGCAGTGAGCGCCGTAATTTTGGTCTTAAAATGTTCGTATTACCCCACTCTACATGATCCTGGTGTTTTCATTTCGGCATTTTATCCTTAAGTAATTCCTTTTCCTAAAATGCAACTCAGCTCCAAATTTGCTCCTATAACTGCTGGCCTTCATCTGGCTGAACCTGAACGCTATGGGTGACGTCACACTCACTTTGTCCCCTTTTTTATACAGTCTATGGTTATGCTATGGCACATGTGTTGTATTTTACTGATATGAAAATGAATATGGTTCTTATAGGAAAGGAGAATAACTTTAAAAAATACGAAGACTACTACATCACGGACTTGAACACAGCGTATGATTACGAGTCCATCATGCACTACAGGCCCCTGTCATTTAACAAGAATGCGTCCATCCCAACCATCACCACCACCATCCCCGAGTTCAACAACGTCATTGGACAGCGCTTTGACTTCAGTGCTGTCGACATCACCAGACTCAACCGCATGTACGACTGTGGTGAGGACTGATATCATCTAAACAAGTGATAGTTATCAGTAAACCTCCACTGGATAACATTTCAACCTAAAATAAGATAACCTAAGCAAGCAATTATGTTCACTTCAAATAAATATATCATATTTAATATATTATATTTAATATAATGTTCAACTTAATATTTATTGAAATAATGATTATTATTGCTATTCATTTGAATTTTACATATTTATTGTATGAGACACTAGTGTCCCACAAACTATAGTGAATGCAAAAGCCTATGTTATCATTGGATAATGATTCTTGTGCAAAAGTAGTAACTTTCGTCTTTACCTTAAGAAGTAATAACTGCCGTCAGTTTCTTCTAAAAGTTCACACTTAACAGTGATTGGGTGCATGTCTGTGCATGTCTGCCACTCATTCTGGCTGACCAATAAGTAGAGAAAGTAGATGTCACAGGGTTAAAATACAATTCATTTAGATCACCAAGTTTAAAGCTCCTGCAGATATAATTCCTTAGTGCCTTAATGGTAAGAGCCCAGGTTGACTAATTGATTCATTAACTGATTTATACATATTGTCTTTTGCAGCAAACTCTCACACTCTGTTGGACCAGTGCTCCTTTGAACTGATAAACATCTGTGGAATGATCCAGAATGAGGCTGACAATGGTGACTGGGTGCACACCCTGAGCACCACCACAGACCCAGACCACACCTTGGGTGGCCACTGCAAAGGTAACAGTAGGGGGTGGTAGAAAGAGATGTAACAATAGGCACACAGCTAAACTCCTCCCCCAAACTCATTCTTGGTGATACACAGGCACGGGTATGTATTGTGTACCTTACCTAAGGTACCTTACATTATTATCAAGACATTCTATCTCTATGAGGTGTTCACCTCTACCCTGACACCAAAAGAAAATGTTTAAGATTTGTAAAAAAATAAAATAAAATTATAAATCTCAGGCCAAGATGGTGGCAAGAAAAAGGAGAGGCTGAGGTGATATAAGGTTCTGCTGCTGTGATGCTTAAAATAAGATATCTTAATTTTGTCTAGATTCTGGTTATTATATGAAGTTTGATAAGTCGTCTGGAGCGGCTGGGAGCAGTGCTTTGCTGGAGTCTCGGATTCTCTATCCCAAACGGTCAGAGCAGTGTCTGCAGTTCTTCTACAAGATGACAGGGGCCGCAAGAGACGCACTGGTGCTGTGGGTGCGCATGGATGATGGAACAGGCAGTGTCACCAGCCTCAAGAAGGTTCACACCTTCTCAGGTATTTGTTAACCATATTATATTGTTGTTAACTCATCATAAACATACCTGGAGTTGTATTTTGTTTCATTCATGCTTGCTTCATTAATCCATTAATCCAAATTGTCTTCTCAAAAATGCTCTGTTTGCATATTGCCCATTTAGTGGCACCATAAATAAATCTATGCGCTTCTCCTGTTTACCAGCCCATAAACTATCACCAAACTCATTCTGCTGTCAAAGTGTGTTCACAATGAATGCAGGGCTCTATTAGCATAGCAGTCACGATAAGGACCTCAGTTATTTAGTTTCCCATTGTTCCTTCCCATTGCAGATAGAAGAAGGCGTTCCAGCACCTAAATGTCTCATTGGAAATGGAGGTGAAATTTAGGAAGTATATTTTCCAAATGTTGTTGAGTACCCGAATGATCCTAGGAGCTATGTTGCCCGGGGCTTTATGCCCCTGGTAGGGTCTCCCATGGCAAACAGGTTCTAGGTGATGGGGCAGACTAAGAGCAGTTCATAGAACCCATATGAACAGTGTAATATCGAGGACCGTGACGTCGCCCGGTATGGTGCAGCCGGGACCCCACCCTGGAGCCAGGCCTGGGGTTGGGGCTCGAATGCGAGCGCCTGGTGGCCGGCCCTTTGCCCATGGGGCCTGGCCGGGCTCAGCCCGAAAGGACGACGTGGGTCCACCCTCCTGTGGGCTCACCACCCGCAGAGGGGTTCATAGGGGTCGGGTGCATAGAGGACTGGGCGGCGGTCGGGGACGGGTGTCCCGACGGCCTGGTCCGCACACACAGCATCTGGCTGTGGCGACGTGGAATGTCACCTCGCTGGGGGGGAAGGAGCCCGAGCTTGTGCGGGAGGTTGAGAGATACCGACTAGATATAGTCGGGCTCACTTCTACGCACAGCTTGGGCTCTGGTAACCAACTCCTTGAAGGGGGTTGGACCCTCCATTTCTCTGGCGTTGCCCACGGGGAGCGGTGGCGAGCTGGTGTGGGCTTGCTTATAGCCCCACAGCTCAGCCGCCACGTGTTGGAGTTCACCCCTGTGAACGAGAGGGTCGTGTCCCTGCGCCTTCGGGTCGGGGACAGGTCTCTCACTGTGGTGTCGGCCTACAGGGCCGAACAGCAGTGTAGAGTACCCGGCCTTCTTGGAGTCCTTGGGAGGGGTACTGGACAGTGCACCGACTGGGGACTTCGTTGTTCTACTGGGGGACTTCAACGCCCACGTGGGCAACGCCAGTGACACCTGGAGAGGGGTGATCGGGAGGAACGGCCTCCCCGATCTGAACCCGAGCGGTGTTTTGTTATTGGACTTCTGTGCTAGTCACAGTTTGTCCATAACGAACACCATGTTCGAGCACAAGGGTGTCCATAAATGCACGTGGCACCAGGACACCCTAGGTCGGAGGTTGATGATCGACTTTGTAGTTGTGTCATCTGACCTCCGGCCGCGTGTCTTGGACACTCGGGTGAAGATAGGGGCTGAGCTGTCAACCGATCACCACCTGGTTGTGAGTTGGATCCGCTGGCAGAGGAGAAACCCGGAGGGACCTGGCAGGCCCAAGCGTATTGTGAGGGTCTGTTGGGAACGTCTGGCAGAGCCCTCTGTCAGGGGGATCTTCAACTCACACCTCCGGGAGGACTTCTCCCAGATTCCGGGGGAGGCTGGAGACATGGAGTCCGAGTGGGCTATGTTCTCAGCCTCCATTGCCAATGCAGCCGCTCGTAGCTGTGGGTGTAAGGTCTGTGGTGCCTGTCGCAGCGGCAATCCCCGAACCCGGTGGTGGACACCGGAAGTAAGGGATGCCGTCAGGCTGAAGAAGGAGTCCTATCGGGCCTTGTTGGCTCATGGGACTCCTGAGGCAGCTGATAGGTACCGGCGGGCCAAGCGTGCTGCAGCCCGTGCGGTCGCAGAGGCAAAAACTCGGAGCTGGGAGGAGTTCGGGGAGGCCATGGAGGAGGACTATCGGACGGTCCTCAAAGAAATTCTGGCAAACCGTCCGGCGCCTCAGGAGGGAGAAGCAGTTCTTCACCAACACTGTTTACAGTGCGGGGGGAGAGCTGTTGACCTCAACTGGGGATGTTGTCCGGCGGTGGAAGGAGTACTTTGAGGATCTCCTCAATCCCACCGTCACGTCTTCCGAGGAGGAAGCAGAGGCTGGAGACTCAGAGGTGGACTCATCCATCACCCTGGCCGAAGTCACTGAGGTGGTTGGCAAGCTCCTTGGTGGCAAGGCTCCGGGGGTGGATGAGATCCGTCCTGAGTACCTTAAGTCTCTGGATGTTGTGGGGCTGTCTTGGTTGACACGCCTCTGCAACATCGCGTGGCGGTTGGGGACAGTACCTCTGGACTGGCAAACCGGGGTGGTGGTCCCTCTGTATAAGAAGGGGGACCGGAGGGTGTGTTCCAATTACAGGGGAATCACACTCCTCAGCCTCCCCGGTAAGGTCTATGCCAGAGTACTGGAGAGGAGAATCCGGCCGATAGTCGAACCTTGGATCCAGGAGGAGCAGTGTGGTTTTCGTCCTGGCCGTGGAACACTGGACCAGCTCTACACTCTCCATCGGGTGCTCGAGGGTTCATGGGAGTTTGCCCAACCAGTCCACATGTGCTTTGTGGACTTGGAGAAGGCATTCGACCGTGTCCCTTGTGGTGTCCTGTGGGGGGTGCTCTGGAAGTATGGGGTCCGGGGCCCTTTGCTAAGGGCTGTCCAGTCCCTGTATGACCGGAGCAGGAGCTGTGTTCGCATTGCCGGCAGTAAATCAGACCTGTTCCCAGTGCATGTTGGACTCCGCCAGGGCTGCCCTTTGTCACCGCTTCTGTTCATTGTGTTTATGGACAGAATTTCTAGGCGCAGTCAGGGGTCGGAGGGGGTCCGGTTTGGGGACCACAGGATCTCATCTCTGCTGTTCGCAGATGATGTTGTCCTGATGGCTCCATCAAACCAGGACCTGCAATGTGCACTGGGGCGGTTTGCAGCCAAGTGTGAAGCGGCTGGGATGAAGATCAGCTCCTCCAAATCCGAGGCCATGGTCCTTGACCGGAAAAATGTGGCTTGCCCTCTCCGGGTGGGTGGAGAGTCCTTGCCTCAAGTGGAGGAGTTCAAGTATCTCGGGGTCTTGTTCACGAGTGAGGGGAGGATGGAGCATGAGATTGACAGGCGGATCGGTGCAGCGTCTGCAGTGATGCGGTCGCTGTATCGGACCGTTGTGGTGAAGAGGGAGCTGAGTCGAAAGGCGAAGCTCTCGATTTACCGGTCAATCTACGTTCCTACCCTCACCTATGGTCATGAGCTTTGGGTAATGACCGAAAGGACAAGATCGCGGATACAAGTGGTCGAAATGAGTTTCCTCCGCAGGGTGGCTGGGCGCTCCCTTAGAGATCGGGTGAGGAGCTCAGTCACACGGGAGGAGCTCGGAGTAGAGCCTCTGCTCCTCCACGTTGAGAGGAGCCAGTTGAGGTGGCTCGGGCATCTGTTTCAGATGCCTCCTGGACGCCTCCCTCGGGAGGTGTTCTGGGCATGTCCCACTGGGAGGAGGCCACGGGGAAGACCCAGGACACACTGGAGGGACTATGTCTCTCGGCTGGCCTGGGAACGTCTCGGGATTCCCCTGGAAGAGCTGGAGGAAGTGTGTGTGGAGAGGGAAATCTGGGAGGCCCTCCTCAGACTGTTGCCCCCGAGACCCGACCTTGGATAAGCGGAAGAAAATGGATGGATGGATTTTCCAAATGTAGACATTATTTCCATAAGTAATGTTAAAAATTATTATTTAAAGGGAATTGAGCCCACAAGAAAACATAATATGTAAACAGTAGCGACTTTATTCCACAATAATAAAGCATCAAAAATCATTACATTCAATAAAAGATGAATGAATAAGTTGACAAAAAGTTTATACAGTTTTGATGCATCCTGGTTTAATATTTACTGGTATTTGATCAGTTTCACTAATGTGCTTGTTGTTTGTACCAGATGCTGACAGTGACTGGAAAATAGCTCACGTCCCTCTCAAAGTAAAACAGAAGTTCCGTTACGTCTTCCAGGGAGTCCGCGGCACTGAAACTTCAACTGGTGCCATTTTTATTGATGACATCACTCTCACTGAGACCATCTGTCCGAGTGCTGTGTGGCAGATCAAGAACTTTAAGAATCTAACGGAAACCATTCCTGTTGGCGGCAGTTTGAGGAGCAGCTGCTTCTACAACCCAGAGGGATATGGTTTTGGTCTCTCTATGTACCCCAGGTCTGCGAAAAATCCAGACTACATGGGCTTGTTCTTTCACCTTTGCAGTGGGGAGAATGATGCAGTGCTGGAGTGGCCAGTTAAAAACAGACAGGTGACAGTGGTCGCCATGGACCAGGATCCAGATGTGAGACTGAGGATGTCATCTACGCGAAGTTACACTACAGGTCTCATATGACTATATATTTTATTTATTAAAAGAATATACAGATAGATAGAGATACAGACAGATAGATAGATAGATAGTTGGATAGATAGATAGCTAGATAGATAGTATACAGTGCATTTATATGAAAGGATCAGAGGAGACTTTTCCAGAGGTGGTTAGCTAACAGAAACAGATGAGAAGTAGGAAATCAAAGACCATGTGTCCCTGGTACTTCTTAACATAATAGTTGTAGAGTGGTAAAAAGAGGAGGGCTTCCCATTTCTGCTTGGCTCATCACACCAGTTTAATCCAGTCAGATTCTGTCACTCTTCTTCTTCTATCCTCTGTACAGACTCAGAACCTCGTTGGAACCGTCCCTCTGCCTCCTCGGGGGCCACACTGGACCCCTCCTGTAACTGTTACCGTGGGCCCAGCTTTGGCTGGTCCACGTTCATATCCCACCAACACCTGCTCCGGCGCAACTTCCTCAAGAACGGCGACCTCATCCTCACCGCCAACTTCGACGGTATCACACTTTTATTCCTTTTAAGGTTCTGGGTAACTTTTCTGGTGGAGGGCCTACTTCTTGTCTCCTTGAGTGGAATGTTCCACTGTTATGGCATTAAACCCATCTATCTAAATGGAGACAAGCTGGAGGCCAACTTACAAGTCAGATCTGTATAGAGGTGACCCTGTTTACAGTAAGAATTTATGTTTCACAAGGCATTTTAGCAATAAAACACCTATAATTAAATAAGCAATCTACCGTAATTTCTGGACTATAAGCCACTACTTTTTTCTCACAGTTTGAACCCTGCGGCTAATAAAATGAGGCAGCTAATATATGGACAGATTGTTTGTTTGGCACATTGTCCATTCATATATACGGTTTGTGGTTTGGTAACACAGCAGATACGTGCACCCTGAGTGCAGAAAACGCCACTGTCTGTGAGTTTAACACATGGATTTAGGGTTAACATGAAGTTGCTACACTAGCTAGTGATATTGTCAGCACACTCAAATAGTTTATCACTGTGTGATAAAATAAGTTATGCTGCTAAATGAACATTAGTGAGGGGGGATACAGCTTACCCGTATGCATAAATGACGAGAAGAAATGTCTCAAACTTCAGTAGCCAGACATCCACTCATACCTGATTGATAGAGCTAACCCTGCCCCCGGGAAAGTCTGAAATCTGCTGAAATCCTCCAAGACACTGACATGATACAGACAGGACAGTGGCTCTTTCTGCAGGAGTCATGCGTGGTAGAGCGTGGGGAGAGACGGGGTGATGCGTTGGGAAGAAGCTTGTTTGATTGTGTTTTGAACAGTTATTTTGCGCTTCATACACACACCCTCCTCATGGAAAACACACAAAGAAATGCAGATGATGCAGCTTTTAAGTTAACGGCGATTGATGTGGCTGTGGAAGAAGGAAACAGAGCTGCTGAATGTGAGCTTGGCATCAATGAGTTGATGGTGAGATTTTGGCAACGACAGCGTGACGAACTGACTCAATGCAAAAAGATGACAAAATCTTTCAGAGGCGATAAAAGCAGATGGCCCTTGATAACGTTCTTGAAGACATGGACACCTGCGGCTTATATTAAGGTGTGGCCTATATATGTACAATTTAAAAATTTTATACAAAATTTAGTTGATGCAGCTTATATTCAGGTTCACTCTATAGTCCAGAAAATATGGTAGTTAAGTCTAATGTCATGCTGTTTAAAGGTGCATTGTGCAACTTTTCTGTCAGAGGGTCTGTCACCTGCTTGTCTCCATGGAGATGCTTTGTCTGGAATGTTCCATGGTATGATATTAAAACATCTATCTAGCATTTATTCATTACAAGTGTTTCTATTGCTCAAAAATACAATAATTCTGTCTGTGAATAGGATTGCTTCTCCACATATCTGACTTGTAATGTGGCCTATAGTTGTTTCTGTTGAGATAGATAGGTTTAATCTCTACTGTGGAACATTCTAGACAAAGCAAAAACATCTCCATGAAGACAAGCAGGTGACGGGCCCTCCACCAGAAAAGTTCCTCAATGCACCTTTAACATTCCAGGTAAAGCAATAATATCTCCATGGTTTCAAGCAGGTGACAGACCCTCCACCAGAAAAGTTACATTGTGTACCTTTAAGACTACGTGTTATTATTTATTTAAATCCAAAATGAATGAATAAATGACATTATTTTTCAGACTTGACTCACCTGATAAAGACAGAGGTCCCAGTCAAACCTATTGTCTCCAGTGAGGCAGTCCCCAAGGAGGAGCCGGTCCGATTGGGTGGTCCAAAGCCCAGAGAGGCCCGAGCTGTCACCGCCTGTCACCCGGAGCTCTGTCTAAATGGAGGGGTTTGTGTAGAGATTGAGGACGTCGCCTCCTGCAGGTCAAAAAGCTTCACTACAAACAGTTACAGACATACATTCAATTCTGTAGTGATAGGGCAAAAAACATTAAAGCCATAGAATGTCACTTTTTTCATTATGGATGTTTTTATTGCACTGAAAAATATAGAAAAAAAAGGAACAAATGTATGTCCATGGTATGCCGTAAACAGTCTATCTCCAAGGAATCATGCATTTGACATTTGACGCATAAAGTCACTTCGTAGGATGGTTTATTTATCCCTAATTGCACAGTGCAAAAAAAAAAATTATATACATTTTTCACCAAAAGTCCATGTTTTTGTTAGAGAAAATGCATTTGTATTGTATAACATATTGACCCTTCTGTATGCATTCTGGTACTGTTTCATATGTTAGCTCCAGCACATTTTCAATGGGAGAATTAGTGTTAGGCTCCAAACATCACAAACTATGAAAAACCAGGGCATGTGTACGACCAGAGCCTATACCTTGAAAAAGTGTTTTTTTAATTTCAGTGTTTTTTTTTCTAGTTAAATAAAATAAAAATATGTCTTAAAACTCACTAGAGTTAATTTTGGGCAATATATTAAGTTAGTGATTAATGCCAAAAATATGCAGGCCATAATAATTTGATGGGAAAATCCTCCATACTTTAGTGAACGTTATAAACTGGAACTCAATATTGACGTAGTATTTCAAATCAGTACCAGGATGTGTGCGCAGACCACCGTACAAATTATCAAGTATATTGAAATACAAGTTGCACAAGACACTAAACACAAGATGTAAATACTTTGAATAGCAAATATTTGATGGCTAATTCGTTCACTTTACAAACAATTTAAATGTTGTAAATTATGTTTTTTTTTAGGTGTGCCTCAACTCAGAGCACCTTCTACACGGGCGACAGATGTGAGCGTCTGAACATACACAGGGGCATTCTGGGAGCTCTGGTCGCAGGAGTGGTTGGGACCATCATCCTAACCGCCGCCATCTTTACTGTTGTGAAGAGAACTTAGTACCAAACTGTATTCAGTCAACCACATGAGGGATTCAAATACATAAAGTAAACACCAGATGAAAATATATATACATTATACATATAATGTGTTTAATTCAATGAAAATGAATTACTTGGTGATAAAAAAACAAAACAAAACTTATTTGTAATTTTCTAGTATCAAAATCATCCAGTGACTTTCTTCTAATATAGTATATAATTCAAAACTTACACAAGACTTTCATGATTAATAAAAAAAAAAAACAAATAAAAAAACAACTGAAGTGATAACTTGAGTCATTTTTATTACAGATAATAAACATGTTTTACACAGCAGCACATATAGATACAGTCATCTGTCTACAAATAGGAGAATAAATAAATAAATATAGTTTAAACTAACTATCTTTTCACATTAAACATTTTTATCTTTGTCAAACCAACTCAACAAGCATTCTAAGCTATGTACCTCTTACAGATACTACATCAACTTGTTTTAAATTATTGCTTCTTCTAAACCCACTCTTCTCCAACTTTTAATGAACCTTCTATAGCTGTCTGTGTAGTGTCTATAGTGTCTGTAAGGATGTCATTTTTTCTCTCAGAATCTAACTCTAAAAGCTTAAATGACCATAACTGTCATTTAATAATAAGATAATTGTGAGCAATACCAGTTAACTTAAACATGGAGATAAACTGTAAAAGCCACACTGCGGAACATTTCGGGTAACGTGCCCCTACTGTACAGGAGCTTATAAACTGTCACACATCTCTGATAAAAAACAACAATACCAAACATGATCCTAATGTGCAAACACACACATGCAATGCTACTAGAATAATAATGTAAATATAGTATAATAAATAAAATACATAAAGTCAAACTGTGACTTAAACCAAAAGAGCAGTTTTTTGAAGTCGTATTGGGTGAAATATTCCGCAGAAGGGCTTTAAAAAATTATTATTCTCAAATAATTATTATGTCTCAGACATAAATTTCAGAATCACAAGTTTGCTACTGTTTGTTATTGCTAGAATCACTGCTGGGGTCACTTGAGTTTTGTTGCTTCTCTTTTCCTCCTTCTCAGTCTGCAGGATATAATCAACATATTGAGTCTTGTTATTTTAAAGCTATATCAATTAACATGACATTTAACATTTAACTGTCTGTGAAATGAAATGCTCAAGCTGTGCGCATAACATTGTGTAGGCTCGACTCTGGGGTTGGTAAGAGTACTGACCTGATCTCACTTGTCCTTTGTGTACATGGTGGAGGTGAGATTCTTGGTGCTGTCACTTGAGCCCCCTTTGCCCTGAGAAGAGATAGATAGGCACTTAATGTGTATTTATTAGTATTTAATTGTGTTGTATTACAGTATTTTCAATTAAAATATGAAATATTATTTATAGAAATATGAGGGGACTTACAAACACAATCCTAGTCAGCTCATCTTTGACCTAAAATAGGATGTTTAAAATTAATAATTATTCAAATTTTCAAATTTGACAGTATATCTAGGAAAGCCACATACCTTCTTCTCTGACAAGAACCCGGTAAACAATACAAAAAGGCCCTGAACATAAGAAAGAATAGTACTTTTTTTTATTATGAATTATTACTTTACATAAGTGTCTCTATTCATTGTTTAAAGGTGCAGTATATAACTTTTCAGGTGATGTTTTTCTGGTTTCCTGCTTTTCTCCATGGCGCTTACACTTAAACACTTAACTGTAGTATATAATAAATTATAACTGTAGTTTATTGCATTTTAAAAACATGCATTCTTACTGTGTGAAGAGATGCCTCTCCACTAATCTAAACTTGACTTTATGGTATTACCTCCTTGTCTCCCTGTAGATAGATTTGTTTAATACAGTACTGTGAAACATTCCACGGATACTATGGCATCTCCATGGAGACAAGCAGGTCACATATCCTCCACCAGAAAAGTTACACAAACCACCTTTTCACAGCAGTTGAAGTCAATCATTAGACATTATTTTGCATTTTGACATAACCCAGTAGACAGCCACTAATTTCCATATAAGGCTGAGCTGCATTATGGGTCGTCTTGAAGCATAATTTGTCCACAAAAAACTATTCAAATGTGCATTGAAGGACATTAAAGGCCAGTTTGCTCTGTGCAGATATCTGGTTGAAGATGTACAGAAGTCTTTGTACACCTTCAACCAGTAGAGGCTATTTGCACAGGGCAAATTGGCCTCTACAGACAAGAACAACCAAAGCACTTATGATTAACCTACCTGGAAGGAATTGACGATGGTGAAGGTGTAGTTGAAAAAGGGATAGGCAGGGTTGGATGTATTGAACACGACCAGACAGAAACCAATGGACCATGTCACACCGAACACTGGAGCCAGCACTAGTATGACTTTAATGATGCTTTTGGCTGTGTCCTTCTCATCTGCTTTGCTGCTGTCATTTTTGGAAGACTTGAGCAGGGTCACGATCACAACACCCATGGAGAAGATATTGGACAGGAGAATGGTTCCAATGGGCAGAAGAAAAGCGTGCAAAGAGCCCACTAGGAGGCGCTCATAGGTCAGCCAGCACGTGTCCTTGTTATGGTAGGGCTTGCCAGTGTACCTGTAGTAAATGTAACTGGATCCCACCATTACAATAGGGAACATGTAGCCAACGAGGCTGGAAAAGAACATGAAGACTTTTTTCCGAAGAGGATTGAAGACGAAGATTAGCTGGTGGACGAGCATGGCGCTTAGACACAACATCCAGCAAAATTTAACCGTGAAGAAAAGGTGCTTGCAAATGGTCAAGACCAGACACATATCGTCGGACAGACCTGGCGGATCGACCGAGGCAAGGAAGCATATGTCCGCGAGCAATAAGAAGAACGCGATATTAACCATGCAAGTATGCCGGTAGTGAGATAATTTAGTTTTAACCACGGCGGACCACACCAAATACTCGATGATGAGGAAGATGATAAGAGATACGATGGATACTGCCAGTCCCACATAGGTTATCACATCAAGAATAGGATTCGAGACATCACCACGAGCCATCAGCACGGAAAACGATGTAAGATGAGAACACTCGCAAAACACGCCGCTTTTGTTACCCTCGCTGACTACTTTGCACCCCATATCATCCCAATCTTTCATCTTGGTGTCCCAGAAAACGCAATATGGTACTTGGTTTTCGCCAGGAGTTGCAGTGAAAGCCATTTTGATTTGAATGCTGGAGTCGCTGTTGTTTTCCAGAGTGGTTGATACCAAAAGCTCGGTGACGGACGACTTCTTATAGGTGTTTTTCAGTTTATGCATAAGATTTTTAACGGCAACTGTTTTCATAATACCGCTGGACTTGTTCAGGTTGACGTTGACTCCAAAAACGTTAACGCTGCAGTCGTCTCCCATGCAGTATTTCAGATCCAAGTTGGGCGTGTTGTAGTCGGTATTGTTGTTTGACATGTTCACACCAATATTTTGCACCAGCCCCTCCAAAGATTGAAGGTAATTGGCAGACATGTTGTGGAGAAGGCTGGTATTAACTTTAGTCCAGGTCTTGTTCAACATGTTGCTAGCAGCATTGACAAAAGACTGGAATAGAACATAAAGATGCATATCAGATTACAATGCCTTTTTTTTTTTCTTTTTTTTTAAACTAAAGCTATCTGCAATATTATCCCAGCTATTTCACAACTGTCCATACTCTTCATATGTCAAAGCCTGTTGTTGATCCTTAAAGGGCCCATATTATGCAATTTTTTTAATCTATGTAATAATGTTTCCTCATCAAAAACATACCTGGAGTTGTGTTTTGTTTTATTCACACATGTTTAACACACAAACCTGCATATTTAGGCTAAGTGCTTCTCTCAAACAGAAAACACGCATGTGGTAATACAGGAAGTGCATCATTGTGTATTTAAACTCCACACACCTTCACTAGAATCATTTCAGCCCTACTACTGCCAGTCTCTACTGAACTAAAGGTAAAAGGAACCTATCTTGGAAACTATCCCTACTTGACATCACAAGGTGGAGCTGAGCATTTTAAGCTTTAGAGATGTAGACTAATAAGAAAGGATTACTCAAACATGTGTGAATGAAACAAAACACAACTCCAGGTATGTTTTTGATGAAGTAACAGCAGTATGACATGACTTAACTCTCACAACAGTAATTTTTTTTGTAATATAGGGCCTTTATCAAGGACACTCCAAGCCCTTGATATTGAGAGCATATTATATTTGTACCCATTTTTCCCCCTCATACCAAATTTGTCTTGTCCCAACACAGATATATTCTATATAAGCAGCTCTTGTGGTCAAATAAGTCTGATGTGTGCTGTCTGCATCTAATTATGTAGAATGCAATGTATTGTCTTTATTGTTGTGAATCAGGGTGTGTGTTAAGCTTCAGAATGCATAAGGTAACTGAGTAATTACTTTGGACCACTACAAACTGTTTAAAAATAGCAAATTCAATTTTTCATGTTTTAAGACAGTAAAGGTCAGGTACAGCATCTTTAAATGGGACTCTCTTAGTGTAAGACGTGTTGCAGGTGTACTGTGTATACTAAATAAAGAACAACTTCTTACAGGGAGGACTTTCTCTCCCAAGGGAATATTTTTGGATGCCTGTGCCATCATGTCCATCACATTAATGGATGCTGAGAGGTCTGCTATGTTGTCTCCATCTCCACCACTAGATAATGTGTTGTTGTCAAGACCACTGAATATGTCCAGAGCGACATCTTCTGTTGCACCCAAGCCTTTCAGAAAACTCTGGAAAAGTGAGAAAGAAAAATCATCCTGCATTCACACTGAGGTACATACATGGCTTAAGACTTATAAGGGTGAAACTTTTCTGCTGGGTCCATCACCAGCTTTTCTCCATGGAGATGTTATTGGCTTGCCTGGAATGTTCTATGGTATGACATAAACATATCTATCCAAAATGTATTCAGTACAGATGTTTCTATTGCTCCAAATTATAATAATTCTCTCTGTGGATCAGTTTAACTCTCCACATATCTGACCTGTAATGAAGCCTATAGTTTTCTACCATGGAACATTCTAGACAAAGCCATTACATCTCCATGGACACAAGCGGATAGCGGACCCTCCACAAGAAATGTTACACAGTGCAGCTTTAAGTGCCTTAAGAGCTTCCCGAGCAAATTCTGAAATCATCACCACCAAATAGAAAGAACCAGGTTTCGAAATTATGTCATTAGGTAATATTTTAGTGGGTGGTGTTCTGTGTCTTAAAGGTGCATTGTCTAACTTGCAACTTTAGGATCTTGCACTTTAGGGTCTGTCAAATACTTTTCTGCATGGAGATGTTATTGCTTTGTCTGGAATGTTTCACAGTATGGTATTAAACCTTTCTAAAACCACACCAAGTTAAAGGTCAGGTCTGTGGTGAGGCAACCCCACTCACATTCTGAATGCCTGTATTTTTGAGGTATAAAACCACATATAACAAGCAGGTGATGGACCCCCACCAAAAAAAAAGGTTGAGTAATACTGGTTTAGGAATCTAGAAGAACCCTCACGTCTGCTGCATTGGAGATTTTGTTGAGCTCCTGGTTGACACAGGAGTCAAAAACTGTATCCCACATTGTGCCCATACAGGTGCGCGTCTTGAAGCCCACTCTGCCTGCTGAGCAAGTGTTATTTACTGCTGTGTCCCCTGCTGGTGTCTTGGGCCAAAAGACTCCATCTACTGTTTCATTTTTACAAAACTTTGCCCCACCTAGAAAACACAATACAATATGACAGAGAACTTAAAATTATGTGTAGCATTTTTTAAAGTTCCTATATTAAACAAAATTGACTCTCATGAGCTTTAAGTGTGTTATAGTGTTGTTACCTCAAAATAATACGAGTTGTTTTGTTTCATTCACACATGTTTAAGTGACACTGTATTATTAGTCTGTCTACATCTACAAAGCTCAAAATGCTTCAAAATGATGTTCCACCTTGTGATGTTATGTAGTTATAGTTTTCAAAGTAAAAGCTCCCTTTTACCTTTAGTTCAGTTGAGATTGGCAATTCCAAGGCTGAAATGATCAAAATGATTGTAGTGAACATGTATGGAGTTTAACAATACAGTGGAGCACTTCCTGTATTACCACATGACATCACAAGGTGGAACAGAGTGTTTTCTGTTTGAGGAAGAACACAGCCTAAATATGCAGGGTTTGTGTGTCAAACATGTGTGAATGAAACAAAACACAACTCCTCATATGGTTTTGATGAGGAATCAACATGAAAACATAAATCAGAAAATAGCGTAATGTGGGCTCTTTAATATGGGTCTTTTCATTACTGTATATTAATTTAGTCCTTGATCTAACATGACTTAACTGTAATTTGACGATCACTATGACACAAACACATAAGCATGTAGAGGGCTTGCTTACCGTAGATGACAGGGATAGTCACTGTGGCTGACTTTGTTTGGTTGATGTCATTTTTAAAAGTCACAGTGACAGTTTGTGCGTTCGAAACCGGCGTACAGAGGATCTTTATGATGAAAGTATATTTGGAGTTTTTGTCTACATCTGAAACACAAAGAATTAATTCTTAAAGTTTTGGATTATTTAATATATTTGACATTTCCTGTACAATAAACGAGAATAACTGAGGAGTAGGGTTCTCAAAATAGTATATACTACAACACTAAAGCCAGTATCAAAACTATAAATTAGTTTGAACACATGTTCATACTGGAAAAAATAATACATTTAAGCTTTCAGTTTTAGAATGATATCCATATCTGTATATAAAGTATACAACCCTAGTAGTAGTAGTATTCAAGGTGCACTGTGTAAATTTTCTCGTTTATGGTCTGCCATCTGCTTGTCTCCATGGAGATGTTACTGTTTTGCATTGATTATTCTACAGTATGGAAATAAACTTGGTAATTACAATGGACACAGGGTAACACTCATATTTATGGAGAAGCAAGAAGCACATGTTAAGAATTCATGCTATAAAACACCTGTAATTGAGCAAATTCAAGGGATATATGTTAAATGCCCTAGAGTGGAACATTCCAGGCAAAGAAATTAAATCTCTATGGAGACAAGGAAGTGGTGACCATCTGCATTAGAAGTTATACAAAGCACCTTTTAAAGAAAATGCTATTACTAGTTGAAGATTACATCTATTTTGTAATCTAATGTAATTATACCATTTTAATCTCAGGGCTTTTATTTAGTATGAGAACTGAATTGAAATATTAACATTGTGACTTCTGTAGAGACAAAGCTGGATGGTTGAAATGAGATGAATAAAACAGCACAACTTACCTACAGGTTGGACCTTTGCCCCATTTGTGTTGTATTTCCAGGTGAAGTCGTAAGTATTGTTTGTCTTCAGTACGGTGGCAGTGACATTCACATTAATAGAGTCTGTCTCTGCCTTGTTTGAGCAGTCTCCTGTGATGGGGTTTGTGGTGAGTAAGATGGAGTCTGGGAGTCTGGCCACGCTCAGGTAAGCTTTGGCTGTGTGACGCACTGAGCCCTTGGTAAATCCGCATTCATAGGTCCCTGCAAAGTGAACAGTTACATACAGTTATTTTATACATTAATTTATTTATTTAAAGGTCCTATATTACACATAATTGACTCCTGTGAGCTTTAAGCCATGTTAGAATGCTGTCACCTCCTCAAAAACATATCCAGAGATGTGTTTTGTTTCATTCTCACATGTTGGAATAATCCTGCATTATTAGTCTGTTGACATCTCCAAAGCTTAAAATGCTCCGTTCCACCTTGTGGTGTCATGAAGAGATGGCTCTCAAGTTAACAGCTACCTTTTACCTTTAGTTCAGTAGAAATTGGCAATTCCAGGGCTGAAATGAATGATCCAAATGATTCTAGTGAAGGAGAGTGGAGTTTAAAACCACAGTGCACGCCCTGTATTACCACGTGACATCACAAGGTGAGACAGAGTGCTTTCTGTATGCAGGATTTATGAGTGAAAAATGTGTGAATGAAATAAAACACAAATGTTTTTAATGAGAAAACCACATTATAACAGATCAGAAAATAGTGTAATATGGGCCCTTTAATGGTACGTAGTTTGATGGAAGAACTATATCATAGCTATCATACTGTATCATACCTCTTTCACTCTCACTGTTAATATATAAAGAAATACGAATAAAAATGTAACAATTAATCTAAATTCAAGCCTATTGTTGTAGTTCATTTTGCATCTGATAGATTTTTCGGCATTTTGTCAAAGCAGCTCTTAATAAATTGTGCAGATCGCAAGAATTGTGTGCATACTGTGAATAAAAAAAACAAAACAAGATAATAAAAACAAAGGTATTTACAAATAATACAAATGTTAACATAAAAATAGCACTGAACAAAGACTTCATTTATAATGAAGAAATGGTATATTATGAATGAACAGGCTTAGTAACAACTCAGTTCATACCCTAACCCCTTATACTAAGCCTGAGTAGCCAAAGTATTTAGTAATTGTGAATTAAGTCATTGTCCAGGCTTTATTGAGGCTAATTAAAGTGCAGTTATTATTGATACTTTGCAGTGACCTCATACTGGGGGTGTTCTACATGCATCTCTATACATGCATCTCGAATCTCAGACTTCCGGTCATTGCGCAATGCATACTGGGAAGGAGTTTCCGAAAAAGTGAGCATCAAACCGCCATGTTTGTCTATTGTCAAAGCCGATCTTTTCAAGTCTTTTGAATCATATCGCTTTTGTTTCTAGTTCTGATATTGTCATATTTTAGTTATGGGATTCGGACATCGTAATTGTCTGGTTGCTCCTAACAGCGGAAAACGGCTCGAGAAATGTGTTTGTGAACTTCATAACTGCAAAAGGGAGTCAGATCTGTGTGACTGCAAACCTCTGTTCAAACTGTTTTCCTTCCTAACAGAATTAAAAAATAGTGAAAGGTGAAGATGATGGGCAGTATTGATACACTGGAAAGATGAACAAGGTAACCTTTGACTGCCTATATCATCTCGAGTTTGCAGCGAACATTTTGTATGTGGAGCCATCAAAGCAAATCCCCGATACCTCGCTCCACCTTGGTTACGAATTTAAAAAGTCAATGCCAAAGCGAAAGGCACCAGCTGTTTGCCAAGAAATGCCGTCCACTGCAAAGCAACCAAGACGTGATGATGTCTAGCCACAAGAACAAGAAAGTGCGAGCTTAGTCTGTTTGTCTTCTGCACCTCTTGCTTAACAAACTGGATCCCGCTTTGATGGTGCTCCACATACAAAATGTTCTCTGCAAACTCGGGATGATTTAGGCAGTCAAAGGTTTCCTTTTTTGTCCCTCCTGTGTAACAATCCTGACCATCGTCTTCACCTTTCACTATTTTTCAATTCTGTTGGGAAGGGAAACAGTTAGAATGGAGTTTTGCAGTCACACAGATCTGATTCCCTTTTGCATTTATGGAGTCTGCAAACTTCCGAAGCCCATATCTCGAGCCGTTTTCTGCTGTTAGGACATCCAACAACCACACAGTTACGATGTACTAAAACTAAATCTCAGAACTAAAATATGACAATATCAAAACCAGAAACAAAAGCGACATGGTTCAAAAAACTAGAAAAGATTGGCTTTGTCAATAGACACATCCCACTGGGAAAACAAACATGGCGGTTTGATGCTCACTTTTTCAGAAGCTCCTTCCCAATATGCATTGTGCAATGACTGGAAGTCTGAGATTCATGATGCATATATTGGGGGAATCATATTCACCAGTTACCATGGTGACATAATGAATATACATAATAGCAAACACAAAGACAGATTTTAAGATTGTCTGAAAACTCAAGAAAAAATGGATTGGAACAAAACATTTTCAGGAGCCTTTGATCAATACGAGAGTTCATGGTCCTGTTTAGGTGTTTGATTTCAGTATAAAGGTGCCAGCTAGCTTGTGATTGTAATTTGACATGAGAAAAACGTATTTATCCACAAATAAGCAAAATAAACAAATAATCTTACTTGTTGACAGTTCTATCTGGTCATATTGAGTAAAATAAAATTCAGATTAAGTCTAACTTGAATAACACAAGTTCTAACAGAGCAGTGCTTACAGTTAGCATCACACCTGCAGGTTACATTGATGACATCAGCTGCAAAGTATCAATAAAGTGGTACCCATCTGTGCACTTGCCTTCCCAGACGCCCGTCACTGCCTTCAGGGTGACTGCCACACACGAGGGGTTGGCCAGGTTCTTACAAGCATGGTCCAGCATCACCACACTGCCATTGTTCAGCTCAAAGCGTTCGTACGTGGTGCTCATGTTCCAGCCGGCTTTGTCTGTCATCTCATCAAAAGTGCATTTCAGGATTGGACTTGACTGGTAGCACACTTTATACTGAGGGGATTCAATAGTCACCAGGCCTGTTTGACAATGACACACAGTTAGAGGTCATACATTACACAAAATGGATTCTTGTGAGCTTTAAGTCATGTTATAATGCTGATAGCTCAACAAAAACACATCTGGAGTTGTGTTTTGTTTCATTCATACATGTTTGAATAATCTTGGGTTATTAGTCTGTCTACAATAATGCTCTGTTCCACTTTGTGATGTCATGAAGTGGTAATTTTCAAGTTAACAGCTACCCTTGTTTTCCTTTTGTTCAGGAGAGATGGGAAATTCCTGGGATGAAATTATCCACATGATTTTAGTAAAGGTGTATGGAGTTTAAAAACAGAATGTAGCACTTCTTGTATTACCACATGTTTTCAGTTTGAAAGAAGAACTCTGTTTTAAACATGTGTGAATGAAACAAACACAACTCCAGGTATGTTTTTGATTAGGAAATATTATAATATTGATCAGAAAAAAGCATAATATGGGCCCTATGAAGCATTTTTTATCAACACATCAAATAATGGCTAAACCTTCTTTTACATCTTGATATGAGCAGGCATGTTATGGTAAAGCCCCACTGCGTAACTTCTGAGTCAGAAAATACACTAAAAGTCTAGGCCTGTCACGAAAACTTATTTTGAAGTGTGATATATTGCTATAGAGACATAAAAAACATTTTTGAAAGACAGTCATTAAAAGGCTCCCCATTTTGCACAGAAAATGTACACACGATAAATATTGAGCCCCAAAATATATTGTCCCAGCTTTCATATATTGCATGATAATTACATATAATATATAAGTAGTATACAGTATTTAACGTGACCTATATTGCTATGAAAAATTTAGAAAATAATTAAGAAATATGCTGTAAGCAGAGTTGTTTGTTTTTGCACTGAAATAATAAAATGCTAAAATACAATACCACCAATAATAGTAATACTCAAACAACCTATCTGATAATCATGTGGAGTGGAAACTTCATTTGCAAATAAAATTTCTAAAACACAAATATAATTGAAAGCTAAAGCCAAATTTGCATGGAAGGCCTTGAATAACACTCTTTTGGTTTCACATAAAAAAACAAAAAAAAAAACAGAATAAAAGCTCAACAAGCCACTCAATGAGCAATTCACTGTTTTTGAAATCTATATCCACACTCAGACTTACAATATAAACATATGGCTTTACAGGACGCACAAGACCCTATTGTTTCCTCTTAGACTACGTTCAGACTGCAGGGTTTAATGCTCAATTCAGATTTTTTTGTGAAATCTGATGTTTTTGTGAGGTCCTTCACGTTTCCAATTAAATGCGACTTGTATGTGAACTACAGTGTGAACATTAAACAGCCCAAAAGTGTCCCGCATGTGCACTGGAGGACACGATGACGTCAGCCGTTCAGACTGAAGTCGCATGTCAAAAGATCGGATATATGTCGGTTTTAGGACCACATATCCAAGTGGCCTGGGTCGCATTTGAAAAAAATCGGATCTGTGTCGTTCAGACTGTCAGTCTGAATGTAGCCGTTCAGACTGCAGCCTGAAGTGACCCAAATTTGATTTTTTAGCCTTATGTGACCTGTATCTGATCTTTTAATGACAGTCTGAACAACAGAGATCCGATTTTTTCAAATGTGACCCAGTCCACTTGGATATGTGCTCCTAAAACCGATACATATCCGATCTTTGGACATGCCACTTCAGTCTGAATGGCCAAAGTGCATTCATCCGACCTACACGTTATCAACAAGCCACAAACGTCACTATTCTGCGCTGAAGTAGGCGAAAATTGTTAATGAACTCCGTGTCACTGAAGCGAAGCACATCGTCACTCACCACTCTTGGCTACGTCTGCGCATCCACACGTTCCTTTCCACGGATGTTTTCTGTCACTGCCCCACAAAATGCCATGACCAAAAACCTCATCCTTCTCCTTCTCAATCTCCTCCTTAAACAAGTAAGTTGTACATGTTCTGGCTCCGGTATGAGAGAAACTTTAAAATCACCAGGTGCTCAATGCTTGCATCCATATTTGGACAACTTCCATTAACACAGAGCACGCTCACTGCGGTTGACGTCATCGTGTCCTCCAGTTCACATGCGGGACACTTTTGGACTGTTTAAAGTTCACACTGGAGTCACATACAAGTCGCATTTAATTGGAAATGTGAACGACCTCACAAAAACATCGGATTTCACAAAAAAATCCGAATTGAGCGTTAAGCCGTGCTGTCTGAACGTAGCCATAGTTGTATTTTGTTGTCTGTTCCACCTTGTGATGTCATCTGGTAATAGAGGAAATGCTCTTCACTAGAATCATTTGAACTATTTCAAATCTAGAATTGCCAATCTCTACTGAACAAAAGTAGGTGTTAACTTGAAAACTACCACTTCATGACATCACAAAGTGGAGCAGAGCATTTTGAGCGACTAATAATAAAGGGTTACTCAAACATGAGTGAATGAAACAAAACAAAAACTCCACATACATTTTTGATGAGACAACAACATTATAACATAACTCAAGACACAACGGGTTCCAGGCACTCCAAAACAGTAGAAAAAGTTAACACATCGCACGAGGAAATATATAACAAAAGGCCTTTATTTGAATGGCCAAAGCCAACATGTTTCGACCTTAACTGGTCTTCATCAGGGCTTGAAGACCAGTTAAGGTCGAAACATGTTGGCTTTGGCCATTCAAATAAAGGCCTTTTAATTATATTTTTCCTCGTGCGATGTGTTAACTTTTTCTACTGTTTTGGAGTGCCTGGAACCCGTTGTGTCTTGAGTCTTGATCCTTTTTTCCAAGAGCACCCTCTATTTGCTCCTACTGATTGGAACACCTGCAGCAAACAGCCACATTTTTGTTCTTTCAACATGGTTTAACATGAAAGCTCACAAGAGTACTTTCAAGTGACAACAATCATGGCTTTGTGATTGAATTATGCCACTACCTTTGGAAGATATTATGGAAAAAAAAATTATATATATATATATATATATATATATATATATATATATATATATATATATATATATATATATATATACGTATATATATATATATATATATATATATATATATATATTATACGACGTATTTCAAAAGGTATCATTTTTAGTTTTAAATAGGCTAATTTCTCATCTTTCTGAAACCCATGGATTAAAAGGCCTGTAACTGATTTTGAACCATGAGTCAGGAGCATGTTTTAGCTTGAACTGCTAATCCCGCCCACTTTAATCAGCTATGTGGGTTAGTGCCAGGCAGTTGATTTTGATCCAATAATGTACAGAACAAAAACTGGTATTTCCGGAAATAAATTTGACTACAAAAAGAAAACAAAACAAACAACATGTACTGTGTACCATATACTGTAATGAAGACAACATGCAGGCATATATATTAAATAAAGAAACAAATGGATGGACTGACCAGTAGTGTCCACACGTATGTATGCTGCCAGGATGGTCTGCAGCTCATTAATGATGGTCTGTAGTCGGGATGTAGCAAATTTAACACTGAGTCCAACTTCAAACTCGACCAGCATACCAGATAAGCTGAGAATCATAGAGGCATTACTTTTAGTGCCTATCCACATGACAATATGTTTACGTAGGTCAAAACGGTGAAGTTTGTATTCGTAATTTGGGTAATCAAACTGTTGGCTTTTGAGACCAAGTTATTCTAATAATTTTCATCCAAACCTTATGGCTAAAAATGAAAACTTATGTTTAACTTTTGCAAAACACAACAACTATATTTCTGGGATACATAAATTACCTTAAAGTTTAAAAAACTGTTATGAGATATGAGTTTTAAAATATTATTATCATTATTTACAGTGCCACATACAAGTGTGGCAAATGTGTTACATCATTTTCACTCAGTGCTCCGTTGTCATCTGGATGTGAATATTTATTGATCCGACACGTGTGTGGATGCAATTTTGTTTCAACTCGCAAAAAAAATAAAATAAATAAAAATCCAGGAGCTTTTGTCATGTGGACATAGCCTAAAAGGTGCACTATGTAACCTTTATGATTCAGGATCTACCACTTGCTTGCCTCCATGGAGATCATAGACTGTATAAAAGAAGTGGACTAAGCAAGTGTCACCCATAGCGTTCAATGCCACCTAAATGAGGCTTGCGATGGTAACGGTTACAGGAGCGAATCTGGAGCCAGACTCTATGTTATGAATAGGATTTTTTTGATGGACAAAATTGCCAAAAAAAAAAAAAAAAATCAGGATCATGTAGAGTAGGTTAATATGAACATTTTAAGACCAAAATGACGATGCTCACTGCAGCAGTTACAGAGAGAGGGGCGACAAGATCCAAATGTAAGTCAATTGGAGCCAGGGTCAGAAATAGCTGGAAGAGCCTCCTGGCAAACTTCTTATTTGGCATGTGGTGGCTAGTGCATTAGCTATGTCCACTCATATATGGTCTATGATAGAGATGTTATTATTTTACCTGAAATTTGACATTAAACCTAGACATTTATTATTGCTAAAACATGCATTCTTCCTGTGAGATGGGTCATATTTCCACAGATCTGACCTGTAACTTGGCCTGGTGGCTTCACCTACTTACTTTCACAGAGAAGGACAATTTCAGCACCAAAGCATCTCCACTGACACAAGTAGGTGGTGTACCCTCCACCAGAAAAGTTACATTGTGGCACCTTTAAACCATATCATTTTTTATGTGTTGTAAAAATGAAATAAATACTTAAATAAATGTGTCTTTACCTCAGTCCTGTAAAGTTCATTGACTCAAAGCCATTCAATTTTTCAAATTCAGTTTTAGCCTTGGGAAAAGTGAGAGCAGATGTGAGTATGAACAGTACAGTCGATTTACATTCAGGGTGAGGGGTCTTACTATGGTTTCATCTGCGGTAACCCAAGCACGCGTGTTCATCGTCACCGAGCCGTTGACGTAAACTGCAACAGATAAGACCATAGAAATCAGTATTCATTTGTTATTGGTAATAGATTAAAGTGTGTATGACAGATTTTGATCATTCTCTAAATTTGGTTGGAAAAGCACCTGTGGTAAATATAAATTATAATTTTATACCAATCAGGAAGTAATTTGTTAAGGACAGTTGAAAAATATGAAAATTTGAGGAAGTGGAGACTCCTGTTTTAGAGAGTTTTATATTGATGGCGTTGCAGTGGAAGACTTCTATCTAACTGTTCAACACAATTTACACACAAGAAACACATTTTTCTGATAACTGAATAAACACATTTTTTTCTAATTCCCTAGTGTGATGTCATAATTTCCAACCAAGAAGTACCATTTTAAACCTAAAAATGGCCAAAGTGGGAAAAGAATAATTGTCTTTTGCTAAATCTTAAATATAATGACCTTAAGTGTGTTTTCTTAAAATGAGTAGTCTTACCTGTCATAGGCACATTAAAGCTCTAATAACTGTCTGATACTTACCTGGTATTTTGGGGATGCAGAGGGGGCTGATGTAGGACACATTCTGGTAACAGGTGGTCTCACGACAGCAGTTATAGTTGTAACACACCTCGTTGCTCCAGATATATCCAGTGGAACAGTTACAAGAGGTCTCCACTCCAACAATCAGGCATTCTGAAAGATATAATGAGAAGTTAAAGGCGCCATATTATGCTATTTTCTGATTAATCTGATATTTTTTCCTCATCAAAAACATATCCGGGATTATGTTTTGTCTCATTCACACATATTTAACACAAACCCTGCATATTTGGGCTGAGTTCTTCTCACAAACAAAATCACACCACCTTATGTAATACAGGAAGTGCTCCATTGCATAGGTGGGGACTTGCAAGTCGTGACTCGGACTTGAGTCAGACTTGAGTCACTATTTTTAGGACTTGAGACTTTATTTGATAAAATGGACTAAGACTTAGGACTCGACTTGGAGTTGAAGGTCAGTGACTTGGGACTTGACTCAGACTTGAGGCCTGTGACTTGAGAAGCACTTTTAAATATGAATTCTTTCAATTCTAAGCATAATGATTCACACTAAGATCTTGTCAAAACATTTAAAAAGGAAAAATTTACATTTCAGCAACTCTTATATACTCTATAAATACTCATATGATTTTTTTTTTAAGTACAATTTAGTTTAAAAGTCATATAAATTGCAAAAATCTAAGCTATATTTGGTACTTTGGTTTAAAGACTTGAAATGACTTGAAGCTCATATCAGACAACTTGGACTTGACTTGGACTTGACTTTTACTTGCCTGTATCTGACTTGGGACTTGACTTGGACTTGAGGTCAAAGACTTCAGACTTACTTGAGACTTGCAAAAAAATGACTTTGTCCCACCTCTGCTCCACTGTGTTTTTAAACTCCATACATGTTCACTAGAATTATTTGGATAATTTCAGCCCAGAATAATAATATCTATTGAATATCTATTGGTAATTTCCATTGAATTAAATGTAAAAGGTAGCTGTTAAGTTGAAAATTACCACTACATGACGTCACAAGGTGGAACAAAGCATTTTGAGCTTTGGAGATAGAGCTATAATAGATTTATACAGATATAATAAGAAGTAAGGGTTACTCAAAAGTGTGAATGAAACAAAACACAACTGCGCGTATGTTTTTGATGAGTTAACAACATCATAACATGGCTTAAAGCTCACAAGAGTCAATTTCGCGTAATATACTGTTGATTTGGTATAACAACCTCAGTAAGTGTTGTCCTATAATACATTTTCAGATTGAATTTACTATGATACTATGGATGAGGTTCATCACTTTTTAGACAATAATGATAATGTAATTTTTAAACACAAAATCTTAGTATTTTTTAATATGAAAGTTGTAACAATGTTTTCGGGCTCAATATGTCTCTCCTGTCTCTGCATCTGATTCAGAACACAGCAGCTCATCTTTTCACTGATTTTAACAGACATCAACACACCACCCCAGTTTTAGTTTCCCTTCTCTAGTTACCTGTGCATTTTAGAATGATTAGATGATTTGAGTAAATGTCAGCTGACAAGTAAAAAGATCTACCAGTGAAATGTTTTGTACTTGAAATATGAAAATACATCTTGCTACACTTAAGATAAAAAAACAATAACTCTTTGCACTTAAAAATAAGAAATAAAATCTAATGTTGCTTGAATTAAAAGGGCAGCTTTTCTGGTGGAGTGTCCATCAAATGTTTTTCTCCATTATGTTATTGTTTTGTCTGGAATGTTTCACAGTATGGTATTAAACCATGGAGACCAAACCAGACCGAGTTACAGGTCAGATCTGTGGAGAGGCAACCCCGCCCACAGTCAGAATGCCTGTTTTTCTAGGTATTTTTGAGCTATAAAATCACCTGTAATTAAGGTCATACTATACATACACCAGGAAGAGCAAATACATATCCATAGAAACAAGCAGGTGACCCTCCACTAGAAAAGTAACACAATGCACCTTTAAGAAAAACACCATTATTCCATTGGTAGATCATTTTACTTGTCAGGTTGAATCCACTCAAATAAAGTAAAATGTTAACTGAAGTGATTTTAACTTAGCTAGACATTGCTTTTTGCAGTGTAGATTTCAGAATTTTAAACTGTTGGAATGATCTGCCCGAGAAGCTAAGGCTTGCAACATCAGTATCATCTTTTAAATCACTTCTTTAAAGATGCACTGTGCAACTTTTCTGATGGAGGGTCTGGTACCTATTTGTCTCAGTGGAAATGTTATTGCTTTGCCTGGAGTGTTCCATACTATTAATTAATTAAACATATCAATTAAGTATTTATTCATTATGGGTTTTTCTATTGCTCAAAAATACAATGATTCCTTCTGTGAACTGGAGCGACTTAGCCAAGCTGGTGCCACCTAGTGCCTCCACTCAATTTCTTTTCTCTCCAGCAACTAGGTCAGGAATCAGGAATCGGAATACACTACACAGTTTGCAAGAACACCAGAAGTGTGAATCCAGGCACCAGCCAATCAGCAAAGAGCCATACATTCTGTGTTGGCAACGATTCCCAAGATCGAGGATTTAAAACTGAAACAAAGAGAATGTTTGGTGAATTTTATCAGGGGGAAAAACGTTATTGCCCTTCTTCCTACGGGATTTGGGAAAAGTTTAATATACCAGTTAGTCCCATTAGCGGCGCATTACATCCGTCATGACCAAATAGCAAAGATTGGTTAAATAAAAAAAAGTACCCGCCTGCCGTCCAGTGAACAAATTCTAATGCTGTGAGGTTTGAAGTTTCTACAAAATGAAACCGGCTGATGAATCAGACTAGGAGCGACTCTCCACAGATCTGAACTGGAATATAGCATAGTGCTGCAACCTGCTTGTCTCCTTTGTGATTAACAGGCTTAATTTATATGATGGAACATTCTAGACAAAGCAATAACATTTCCATGGAGACAGGCAGGTAGCGGACCCTCCACAAGAAATGTTATGCAGTGCACGTTTAAAACTCATTTTATTGCTTGGCCTTCCTTTAACTACTTTTGAATTTATTATTTATTTATTTATTTATTTATTTATTTATTATTTATTAAATGAATCGTTTGATCCTATTTTTCACTGTCTGACTGTCTGACTCACTGTCTGTTTTTGAATGCTTTTTCTATTCTTGTTCTTTGCTGACAGCACTTGTAAACCTTGTTCTTAAAAGTGTTTAAAAAGTAAAGTAAAAATAAAGAACAGACATTCTAGTTAAATAACCACATTTAACCACAGAGTTCATGTAAATATATTCTCTGTATCTGAGCTTTTTTTAAACACACTGGGCCCATCTGATCTCGTCCCATTTCCATTTTTACTTTGTTTTCACTTTGCATGTGACGCCTGTTTTTGTTTGATTTTACATCTTGAATCTGACAGTCTGTATGCTTCTCCAGGCCTTTTAACACTGCTATCAGTTTGGTTTGTTCTAATAGTAAAGCTTGAAGAAATAGGCTAGTTAAGTAAATGAAAATTCAGGTGTATTGGCATTTACTCTCTTTTGCTTGCTTGAGCAGGTCAGATTTGGTGACTGCCCATTTACGAGAGCTCTCAAAACTGATGGCCAAATATATCACCATGTTTAAACAAATGACATTATTATATTAACTTAAAATGGACTGTTTGAAATGAATTGTATGTATGGTGAGTGTATAGTGAGTGTGCTAGTGTTACATGTACTTTTGTGTGACTGTTGCTGTAAATTTCTCTATCCTGTACATTATTTGACATCAACCTGCATATATCATCCAGTTTTCTAATATGTACTGTCCTTTTACAATTAAATAGAATAAGAAATTATAATAATGTGGAGAATCATTAAGAATAAATGTTAGGTTTATCCGATATGCAGACGTTCTTGCTCCACTAGCAGAAATGATTGCTTGAAAAAAGAAAGTATTATATAAAAGGTTCACTATGCTTTTTTGAAGGAGGGTGTGCTACCTGTTTGTCTCCATGGAGATGTCATTACTTTGCCTGGAATGTTACAGTATGATATTACAACATACATTTTTACTGTGAGCGCGACCGCCTCTAGAGATGTGACCTCTAATCTGCCTCTCCATGGAGATAAACTTAATGCCATACTGTGGGGCATTCTAGGCGTAGCTATAACATCTTCATGGAAACAAACAGCCCACATCCCTCCATCAGAAAAGTTACATAGTGCACCTTTAAAATTGTTAAGGTTCACACTTGTGCAATTACCACATCAGAATTAGGATTACTTGAAACTAAACCCAAAACTAAATCTGGATTAGACCAGGACTAGAAGAGGACAAACTGAGTCTACATTTGGTCTCAAACTGGACTAAATCCAAAATGGACATGTGAATACACCTTTAAAGTCCATGACAGATTGATATATTTTGTGAATTATTACTTGGGTTGGTGAGATAGTACCCATATAAAGTAAGTCTTCATCGTAATTTTACATCAGTTAAGTGGCAGAGTCTTGGGAGCTTTAAGGAGTTGTGTTCTGTTTCATTCACATGTTTGAATAATCCTTTATTATTAGTCTGTCTACATTTCCAAACCTCAAAATGCTCCGTTCCACCTTGTGATATCACAGTAGTAGTTTTCAATTTAGCATCTCACTCTTACCTTTAGTTCAGCAGAGATTGGCAATTCCAGGGCTAAAATCATCCAAATGATTCTAGTGAAGGTGTATGAAGTTTAAAACCACATTAGAGCACTTCCTGTATTACCGCATGACATCACAAGGTGGGACAGAGTGTTTTTGGTTTGAGAGAAAAACTCTAAAAACTAAATAGGCAGGGTTTTTCTTGTTAAACATGTGTGAATGAAACAAAACACAACTCTAGAGATCAGAAAATAGTGCAATGTGGGCTCTTTAAGCAGTCAAAACACTTTTATGATGACTTGAAATGAAGCTGCAGTATGCTTGTACATGTGATTGTGTTATATTGTCCCACCTGCCACGCTCTCAGTGTCGATGAAGGTCACTTCATGTGAATTTTGAGCCGAGTCTATCACAGTGATGGTAGTGATGTTTTTTAGGATCTCCAAAATGGTAGTCACCTCCAAAGTGACATTACTCTCCACCATCAACTCCGCCAGGTAAATGTCCTCTAAGAGTAAACAGCAGTAAGAATACAGAAAAATTCACATAGCTGTATTTGATCCACAGAAAACAATGCATATGAATAGTACAATAACAAATACAGATGTCTCCATTTCAAAAACTTGATGAAAGTTTTTTCTACTTCTCTTTGTTACCGTCTTCTACAGGTATTATCAGTGACAATAATATATAATGGATTTTATCAAGAAGGGATGGACATTTGGGGGTCCCGGGGCAAGTAGCCTCACATGGGCCCCCCTCAAATATAAATTAACAAGAAGAGGGTCCCGGGACAACAGACCCCTTTGTGGCTTCTGTCAACTCCCCTGGATAGAATAGCAGTAAAATGCATTTGGCTTTTGAAAATATTATTATACTAAACATGAACAACCACTCTGCGACACAGTAGCTACAAAACATGAACTTACCTGCTGAAGCATGTTGCGAGCTTAGGATCTGTCACAAACAAACAAACAAACAAAAGTCAATACATATTTAGAACAAATTAATCAAAATCATGATTATAGTTTTACCTCTGAATAGAAGTAACAAGCCCCAATGAGAAATATGTATCCTTTGGCCCACATTGTTCCTGTGACAGACAAACATAGCATATTAAAAACTGCAGTATTGTGTATAACAGTACTGTCTTTTGGGTTACTTCAGTAAAGCATGTAATTCATTGCTTTGGGATCTCTAGCTCTAGACATTACTGCATCTGAACAACTGTACAGTCTGGTCATAATGAAATAAAACTGTATTTCTCAACCTTTTTTGTCACAGCACCCTTTTTTGGTTGGAAAATAATGTATGAAAGCTTAACAAATCATGTGTTTTAGAAAAAGAAAGTGATGCAGCAAAATATTGTCTACTCACATAACTTAAAGTAGCTACCATTAATGGCATGCAAATGATCGTACACCAGATGGGGTCACGAGGCGGTATTTCTTATTAATTACCAAAAAAAAACAAAAAAAACTTAAAAAATAAAAATGAACTAACTAAATAAATAAATATTGAACTTAATCATTTGACTTTGTGGCTAAATCCATGAACATATTTTTTAAACATTAATTTTCATGTTCACAACACAGCACTACTTTAGAATTAATACAACACAAAACCACCACAATATACTTACAGACAACATATCTTTACGCGCCATTATATAGTAACAAGGAGTTCAGAAAAAAAATCGAAGTCACTAAAGTACACCAAAGCCATTACCAGATAATTCTTATCCAAATGTACAGGAAACAGGCCTGAGGCAGGACTGTGATTTTCATTAATTAGACAGGATAATCTGTCTCTGTTGGCACGAGACTCATTTCATTATCACTGTACCGTGATTTGACCCAATCTAGAATTCTCTAACTTAAAGGACTATAGCATAAGCTATCCTTTATATTCTTTTAGGGTTTATCCAGGACCAAATCAGGACAAGCACTTTTGCTTCACAACAAGACGGTCCCCAGTTTGATTCCCAGGTCCTTTCTGTGTTGAGTTAGCATGTTCTGGCTGTGTCATCAACAAAAATCTGCACAACAGATAAAACCCTCCAGCTAAAGCATTCATGGCCAATATGGATACTGTGAAGGATGGGTGAAATCCAATCCGCATTAATCTTTATACACCTTAAACTTCTAAAACGGAACTAGAAAGTAACCCAGAATGTGATAACTGATGGATACAAAATTACATGCAATTCAAGAATTACAAAACAAAGGTAAAAATAAGGTGACTGAAGGGTTCTAGATAAAATGAGTAATAAGTGTGTTATTAATGCAAATATATTTAAATAAAAAAAAAAAAAAAAAAAAAAAAATCCACTTCCCTATAAGATCAAAGGTCTTTTGGCATGTTTCCAAGAGCTATATACATATAAACCATACCAACTTTAAAAGAATTTGAATGGATTTTCTCTGTTTATTAGTTTGCCTCTTGTACCCATCTTGGCTCAGAAAGAGAATCTAGGACAGGTCAAATGCAGAGGTCATATTAGCAAAGATAATAAGAATGAACAACTTTTTCAATGGGTTTCATTATTTACATTGCATGATGCTTATCTCCTCTAAGCGGGAGCTTGTTTGCATGATTTGCATGTACACAGGCAACACGAAGGGGCCTGGTGGTTTTCTTCTGCTTTTCTAACAGAGTCAAGCTGCTGTGGCTTGGATTAAACTAACCAGTTTATTTTTATTTCATAATACTGCTTTAACTACTGGATTAGTAAGGAAATAGTTTTGGATGTGTTGATATCCGGTGGTCTCAGAATGATTAGAAATCAGGTCTGTTGTCATAGCAATTAACAATCAAAAACAAATATTATATTTTATGAATAGGAAAAAGTTTTCAAAAAGTTATATAACATATGTCCATATGTTTCCAAATGTGTTATGAATGAACATTACAATTCAGTGAGATAACTGATTATCTGTGTGCATTAAAAAAGAATGAAATGAAGGCACTGGTTTTTGTAATGATGTATTTTTGTCTCCAGAGATATGAAAAGAAAATATTTCAGCAAGAACAATGAAAGGACTTATCACTATTCTGTGATAAGTCTTAACACTATTCTGAAGTAAGCTATTTTAAATTCCTAGTTGAAACTCGGTTCAGTTTAGATTCTGGCTTTAGACTTTATTGATCCAAGATAAAAAAAATACTTGTTCAATTCATCATTGACAATAGATATGTTGACGGTCAAAACAGTTACTGTTTAAGAATCACAGTTTGCCTTATAAGCAGATCAAAAGAATTAAAAAAGTTCCATTCAAAGTTAATTTTGTCACAGATGTAAACAGCCAAAGACTCTTCAGTAAGTTACATGTATTCAACTTTTGTTACAAGTCGTGTACAAAATTAGATGAAAATAAATATTAAAGGTTACAAGATAAAAATCTTACCTGTAATATTAGCTCAGCAGAGAAACTAGAGGCATGTAGTGTAGATTCACCTAAAATGCACCCGTCTGCTGCTCAGGAGGAGATGTAAGCCTGTCTGATGCTGTGTTCATGTGTGTGTGAGTGTCTCTGTTTAGCCATACAAGGTATATTTGCATTCAGGACATATCAGTATGCCTCCAGATCTGTGGCTCTGAGCTTTCAACTTTCCATGAACATTTGTTTACCAAATCCTGCATCTCCTTCAGGAGGTCGAGTTCACTTCCAGACTATGTCTTGTGGACTCCCCTCATTACATAAGTGACAGTGGTTTTAATGGAAGGATTAAAAGGGCTGTCAGGTTTCACATTACTGTAAAGTTGCAATGCCATGGTAGCTGAGTAGCTACTCTCGCCTTAAACAAGAAGGTCCAGGCCTTGACTCAAGGTCAGATGGGGCCTAGGCCCTGGGTTTGATTATTGCATTGCACTGAAAAAGTGTTGCTTAAATCCTAAAAAAACAACCAACCAAACAAACAAACAACCAAACAAACAAAAAACCCTCTGTCAACCTTTTCAACTCTTATGTACTACTTGTTCTGTTAAGTGAGAAACAAAATATTTACTTCAGAATTACTAAAATTTCTCATAGGATTGTGTTGGGACAAAATGCAGTTGTGAGGTTAACCACAACTTAACTATGGATGATTTATTATTTTAGAGTTACTTAAATATAATATTAATAATTATTACTAAAATATATTGTGTTCAAACACATTTGTAAAGAATAAATACCACTGTACACTATTTTGTTCATTATGGCTAAAGTTTGCATGTTCTACCCATGTCAGGGTTGTGGTTAGATTAGGTTGTGTCATACTTTTGTTTGCTTTGTTTTGTGTAGTTTTACGGTGGAGAATACGCCATCTGTTTGCCTCCTTAAAGATGTTATTGCTTTGCCTTGAATGTCCCATTGACATTAAATCATTTTTTTTTTTTATTATTGGTGTTTTATGGCTCTCAAATATCTTGAAAAACATACAGTTCACCTATTGATTCTTTGCAGCTGATGGCCTTGTTTGCTAATGTTTGAATTGTGTCACCACAGTAACTGATGAATTGATTTCACTCTACATAAACACGTAGAACACCCCCAGCCTGCTGTCACTGCAAAGTCATTCAAAATCAATGAATTCTTGCCTCCATGCAAAGTTTAATATCATACTGTGAAACATTCCAGCTAAAGCAATAACTTTTTATGGAGACAAACAGGTGATATCCTCAACTATAAAAGTCTTGCTCTGTACCTTTAGAATTGGAAATAAAAACGAGACAGAAAATTCAGAAAAAACAGATTGTCTGTTAAGTCAGTCAGACAGTTAAATCAGCACAAGTTTCAATTATAAAGTATCTGAGTAAACTTGTTTACAGAGCCAACTTATCCTTCCATCTTTTGTAACCAATTTGATTAGCAAAGTCAACCAAGACCAAGAGGTTTTGCATCTGCTTTGTGGACATTTTCTTATTTCAGTGACTCGCTGATTTGTGCGAAATGGAAAAAAACTGCAATGGCAAAAAAGACATCAACACTTTGAACAACTCTGTAATCATTCTTGTTCCAAAAATAATATTTACCAGACTTTTAATAAATTTTTGAGATAGGAGTAATTATCACATTATTATTACTGTTGTATTAGCAAAGATTGTACAAATGGAGATTTTAAATAATAAAAATGAAAATAAGGAAAATCAAATGACTTTAGATAATCCAATGTGGAAGTATCTGCTTATAGGATGGTCAGGATGGTCGCCATAGCAATAACTAATTCAAAACAAAATGATACATGTTTCCAATGGCCAATCGCCCACATCAGGAGAAGCTACCAAAATACTATTGTCAAACATGGAGGACACATGATGTTCCTGTTGTATTGTATTACTGAATATGTGTGCATGTGTGTGTGTGTGTGTGTGTGTGTGTGTGTGTGTGTGTGTGTGCGCGCGCGTGTGTGTGTAGGTGTATACGCAGATGGATCTCTTCATTCATGTAAATAAGGTATGGATATTTGCAGTGACATCATACTGGGTGTGCTCTTACTACTTTAACGTACACAGAAATAATTCTTTGACAAATAAAAATTCAAGAAAACACCTTTATTTTGTTGAAATAATGTTTAAAATATGTGAAAAATGTGATGATTTGGACAGAATTCTCCCTATTGTCATGTCACTTCTTATTTTTGAACATTTCTTATTAAATTCTTGATTAGTGTAAAACTATAATTTATATTTACAACAGGTATTATCCCACCAAATTCAGCAAAAAATTTAGACTAATAAAACTCTGTCTTACACACATTGCTTTGTTTAACAGTATGGTATTAAACATTTCTACCTTCATGGAGGCCAACTCAGACCAAGTTACAGGTCAGATCTGTGGAGAGGTGGCCCCGCTCACAGTCAGAATGCCTGTTTTTCTAGGTATTTTTGAGCTATAACAACCACCTGTAACTTAAACCACCTGTAACTTAATAAATGTAAGACACAGAAGAGCTGTTTAAAGTCATATTGTGGAACATTACACACACAGCAATGTCATGTTCATAGAAACAAGCAGTTGACGGATCCTTCACCAGAAAAACACAATGCACCTTTGAAACAGCTTTGTAATCCGTATAGAACTTATTTGCTGTCAGGTCCATGCAAATTAATACCATGGTAACTTCCAGAATAAGTTGAATATTTTTAAGATATTGTCAAAAGCAAATGAATGAATGATGGAAAATAGGACAAACTATATGACAAAACTATATAGAGCAGCTTAAAGATACAAGCTGGTTTGTCTTTGTAAGATATCGAATAATGGCCTTAATGCAAACAGGGAGGTATTTCCGTGACATGTAAATCTGTCACTACAGCCACTCAAGACCTGTTAACAATGTTTATTTATTTATAATGGCATCAAATCAAACAGCTCCAAAAAAGAATAAAATAGAAAATAGAGAACTACTTGTTTTCTCAATAAAATAAGCTTGAAATTAAAGATTTATGTCAGTTATTCTTCTGAAATTTGTTTATTTGTCCATAGTGAAACTGTGAACTCATTCTAAAATCCATCTCAAAATCCCTGCATGTCTGGCTTGCGAGTTGCAGTCTTTCATAACAGTAAAATTCTGAGTATTTATCAACATGGTTCATAGAGACAACAATGCCTAAGCAGGTACTTTGGTTAATCTAACCTGCCATCTAGTGGTTTTCATACAAAACAAACAAATAAATAAATAAATACAATGACAAATAATATAAAGTATAGTTTATTTTATTGTGTGTGAAGTATACTGTCATAGGATACAAAAGTATAAGTTTATCTGAACTGTTTAGTCTCTGGTTTATGGGCAGAAGCTTCACCTAAAAAGTGCTCACTGTACCAGGCTCACACTAAAAATAATAACATAAAGCATTTTTGTACACTTTTACAACATAAAATTTACACTATACATTTTACACATACAACATAAGACATATAAATATATATAAATACTATAAAAAAATAAAAATGTAAGAGACTTGGTGTAGTGTAGAGTAAAAAAAAAAATTTAACCTGGTTTCAAATTATAATAACAGTAATTATTTAGTCCATCCATTGTTGAATCATACATAAATATTTCCGCCCTAGTATTAAAGGTGCATTAGGCATCTTTTCTGGTGGAGTTTCCGTCAGTTGCTTGTTTCCATGGAGATGTTATTGCTTTGCCTGGATGTTTCATGGTATGACACATCTACTGAGCATTAATTAATTACTGGTGTTTCTATTGCTCAAGAAGTCATTCTCTTTGTGACTAGGGTTGCCTGTCCACATTCCACAGATCTGACCTGTAATCTCAGCCATGGACCATTTTAGACAAGGCAATAACGTCTCCATGAAGATAAGCAGGTGGCGGACCCTCCACTAGAAAAGTTACACACTGTACCTTTAACTGAAATTTGTCATAATCAAATATACAATTATTAAAGTGCATTATTTTTCCACACAAACTTTGTTCAGAAGGAGAAATCCATGACCATAGAGTTGACTGCTATTTCCCTATTGTCAAGGTCATGCTGTGTTTTGTCTAGAGAGATGAGTAGAAAAGGTGTTACAGCCAATACACGCCTAGTATTACATTATAGGTGCTAATTACACCCATTTGACTGAACAGCTTTCCCCAAACAAAACAAAAGACTGGTCCCCATGGGTGACACTTTGAATTACTCCCTCAATGCTTGGTAAGTAAACAGCACAGATTTCACACTTTTAATTGAAGATTCCTAAGAGAGTTAATGAAAAAATAAACTGACAACTTATAGTTATCCAACAAAATCCTCCAAATGTACTATCTAATGTAAAGTGCATATTTGACATCTTATCTCAGAATACAGGGCATTTCACTGAAAATTAAACTGGCATCACACTGACCAGTTGTATGCTCAAAATCTGTAACAAAATCACAAATATGTTTAAAGGACCCATATTATGCAAGTTTCTGATCTATGTTATAATGTAGTTCTCATCAAAATCATTCCTGGAGTTGTGTTTTGTTTAATTCACACAAACACTGCATATTTCAGTTTAGTTCTTCTCTCAAACAGAAAACTGTTCCACCTTGTGATGTCATGTAGTACTGTACTGTGTTTTTAGTTACACCTTCACTTGCCAATCTCTGCTGAACAAAAGGGAAAAGTTAGCTGTTAACTTGAAAACTACCACATGACATAACAAGGTGGAACAGAACATTTTGAGCTTTGGAGATGTAGACAGAATAAAGGATTACCGTATTTTTCGGACTATAAGTCGCACTTTTTTTCATGGTTTGAGTGTTTCTTTTTTCACACTGACAGGAGCGAGAGGGCACTCTAGACTTTGTGCCAGTATCTGCTATTCCTATTACTCCTGTTCCACTGTCACTTGGAGCCCTACTGTGCATGTCTCCTGCAGAAAGATCCTCTGTCCTACTGCAAGTAGTGAAATATTCAGCTGAAAACGGTAATCGAGGAGCAGGAAGAAAGTTTGGAGTGAGCGAGAAACTTGTGAAGGACTGACAGAACGCGGGGTTGGAAAACACAGCTTCACGGCAACCGGGAGGTTCCGCCATGCAACTTTCCTGGAAGTCATTGGATGGATCGACAAAGCCTGGACTTTAGTGACAACTGAAACCATCCTGTTGGGATTCAGAAAGGTCAGAATAATTCTAACTGGAACTGATGCTGAGTCTGACGACAGCTACACAGAAGAGGAAGTGGCACTCTCTTTGCCTCCGAAGGTCACGAAGTTGCTCAGAAGTGACAAGGAGGATGAAGAATTCAATGGATTTAGTGATTTGGAGTGAGATGGAGAGTTTGGTAAACATACCACACGCCCATTCAACCTGTTGTTCTCTATTCTATTGTTATTACTATAACTTGCCTTTTAAGATGAAATGTCAGTTTCTGGTCTCTGATTTTATAAAATAAATTTCCCCCAAAAAGTGCAATTTATACTCCAGAGTGACTTATATACGGTACTCATACATGTGTGATTGAAACAAAACACAACTCCTGGTATGTTTTTGATGAAGTAATAGCATTATGAAATGGCTAAAATCACAAGAGTAACTTGTGTGTAATATAGGACTTTTAAACTTCCATTTCACTGTAAAAACTATTGCATTAAGTGATCCATTAAGTATTAGTAACTGAAGAATCCGCATTTGATGATATATTGTAACCATCTGAGAAAGAAAACAACCAAAATCAATATACGATTATCTGCATTATCAAAAAAAAGAAAAGAAAAAAGCATTATTTTGTATTACTGTACCTCTCCACCTTCGCAACCCGGCCAGTACACCTGACGATGAAGTCTGTCCTCCAGTTGTGCTCTGAAATCATAACACAACCATGAAACAGCAGTAAATAAGAAAACTCTGCTTGTTTGAAAACTGGACTGTACAATGATTTTTCTTACCCTTGTTGCTCCAGAACTTGAAGATTTTGAAATTTCTTGACGCACCTTTAAAATAACAAAAACATGAATGATTACATCAGTGTGAACATAGCTGCAATGAAATGAAATAAAAATGAAATAACTTTACTAAGATGGATACCTTGCTGTCCAGAAGAGTTCCAAAAAGCAAGACAAAGAAACCCTTAAAAACAATCATTTATAAAGTAAGTACATTATATTAAAAAGATTTGAGCCTGCATAACTACACAAATATTTGACTGCCTATTGAGTATCAACACATTCTAGGAGTTTATTATCTGTTGATACTTTGCAGCTGATGTCACCAACATGTGTGAAGCTAACTGAAAGCACTACTCTGTCTGAAGCTCTGTTACTCAAGTAAGACTTAATCTGAGCTTTGTTTTAGCACAGTCTGACCAGAAAGAGCTCACTTGGCTGGAACTACAGGTGAGATGATTTGTGTTCTTAAATCATTCTTTCACATGGAAAATTACAGTCAGAAGGTAGCTAGCTTTAGCCAACACATAGTCACTCTCACTGAAAATTTATCACAGGTTCCTAAAATTGTGCTGTTTTAATCAATTTCTCCAGTTCTCGGACTATCTTAAACCATTTTTGGCAGTTTTTGTTAATGTGTGAATTGTGTCATCAAGGTAACTGTTGAACATTCTGCCATATACATACATGTAGAATACCCCCAGCATAATATCACTGTAAAGTGTCATCTAAGTGTAACTTCATGATGCAGAATTATCATTATCAGTGGTATGGCCTTTGGTTGTTATGAAGCAACAAGAGGTACAACAAAGTTTCAGAAATTTTTGCAGATTTAAAGATGCACCACGTAACCTTTCTGGGTGATGGCACCACCATGCAAAGTAACATCTCCATGGAGACAAGCAGATGGTAGATCCCCTATCAGATAAGTTACATAGTGCAGCTTTAAAAAATATTTTTGTTTTCAGGCATTACACAATTAAAAGGTACACATTTACACAACGCTTTTGCAACTGCTTGGAACTCCACAGGACTTGATTGTTGATTGATTGTTGGTGGACACTGCCTTATATCTGACTAACTACACTGAAACTACTCTAACACACTAAACTAACACACCTTCTTATTTACAGTTTCTGTTTGTTGTTAAGTGTGATATGACTCAGGCACAGTTCACACTTGTGCAGTTCAATAGACCTAGCTGAGAAACAGAAACTGTAAACAAGTAGTTCAGTTGACAGAAAAGATTTTATTTTGCTATGATTCAAATGACTCTAATAAACTTCAGTACAGTTACCTGAAGGGAATTGAAGAATGCAAATGAGACGTGAACTCCAAATTTAGAGTTGTCATCCTTGATATCCACCATTGTTGCTACTCCGAGACACCAGGTTAACCCGAAAAAAGGAGTTAGGAATGCTAGGCAGCGGATAATCACCATGAAGACATGCTTTTCTTCTGCGTTTGCTCCATTTGCTGCTGTCCTTCTTCGAATTATTTTATAGATGACCACACACAAGATGAAGAAGTTTATCACAACAATTGTCAGTGCTGGGATCACAAAGGCCAGTAGCGCCTTTGACTCATTCCAATTGAGCCAGCAGAAATTGTTTAACTGTATGTAATGTTTCTGTCCAGCAGTGGACGCTACAGTCACCACAGCGATAATAATTGGCGCTCCATATCCAATGGAAAAACCAATAGCCAACATGGTTCCTTTTCTCATCCCACTATCAAAAACACTGATGGTGCGGTAGAACAGCAATAGTCCTGACACCAGCATCCAAAAGAATAAGGCCAGGTAAAATAGATGAATGAAAAATGTGGCTGCCGTGCAGGAAGGTTCGTGTTTTCTTTCAGAAATCCCGGCTCCAATCATGAACCAGATATTGGCACAAAGCAGAGAAACAGCAATGTTGACAATGGTAACATGACGCATGTAGGACACTCTTGGTTTGCGAACCTTTTTCCACACAACAGCTTCAATGATGAGGCATATTATCAGGGAAGCAATCGATATTGCAACTCCAATGTACGTTATGATCTCCAAGTCTTTTTGTTGTTTCTTAGAAAAGTTAGCGTAAGGAGACATAAGTATGGAGAATGATGTTAAGTGATTGCATTGACAGGTTACAGTGTCCTTAGTGTCATTAACCACAATGCAGCCCTCATTATCCCATCCACCTGTGTCATTGAAGAGTGCGAAGTTCCAGAAAACACATTGAGGGCTGAACAAAGAGCTGTTGCGGAGGTCAAAGGTGAAAGACACATTTTTAACTCCAACTGATTGGACAAGAACAACTTTAGCATTGATGGATAAGTTGGATGTCATCATTTGGTTGACTGGAGGTACTACATTGTGTAAGGATTCAAACGTCAACACTGTAATTGTATTGTTTTGTAGCCCAGATTGTGGTATTTCTATTTGCACTGAGTTATCATATTCCTCTTGGAAAGTGTTGCTGAAGACAGTTTTGTTAAACAAGATGAAATCTGTTACAATATTACCAAATCGATCCACAAATTTCTTTGAATAATCTTCAAGATTTTTCAAAAATGTAGAGCTGGCTGCAATATGACTATTCACTGTTGCTTTTGAACTTCTTGTCAAATTTTTATATGTTCTATTGTTAAGTCTATCCCATGATTTTTTTGCTGCGTCCACAGTTAAAATGCTCGAAGTGTTTAAGATATCCTGAAGAAACAAGAGACAACTGTGTTATACACAGATTCCGTTTCAGTTTGCAATATTGCACAATATGTTCACTGCATGAGGAGAGAAAACAAATCATTATTTACCTCCATTGGTCCTTGTGTAATTTCTTTGCTTATGTCTGCCAACCTTTTCATGACTATCACAATGGTTTCGATTGTTGCAGCTGATTCTGTGACATTCTTTTCTAATTCATTTGTGACTTCGTTGAGCTCATTCAGGATTTCAGGAACTGCACCGGGGTCCCTCAGTGCCTGATAATAAAACATCATGAGAAACACACAATGGCTCAGGGAGGACAGCAGAAAACCTATTACGGGAATATTGTTTGAATCAGTCTCTAGACCAGTGGTTCCCAAAGTGGGATCTACCTAAAATCAGCATTGGCAGGGGTGGTCTGAGACCACAGGCACAGAATGGGGGCTGTATTTCTGTAACTTGAAAATACACCATGTAACTTTTCTATTGGAGAGTCGGGTCCCATCGTTTTGCCTATTGCCTGCCTTATGGCATTAAACATATCTATCTCCATGACGACAATTGCGTATCCGACCAGGCCACGTTACACGTCAGATCTGAACAGAGGCGTTGCAGTAAAACACCTGTAAATGAATGAATGCATAGATAGATGGGTTTAATGCCAAACTGTGGAACATAGGATAAGAAATACCCTCCCCAGTGGAAACAACAGGTAGCCCACTCCTCACCAGAAAACTTACAGAGAGCACTTTTAACACACTGCTTTCATGGAGTGAGTGGCACAATGTGAACCGACTGTCCAAAGTACCTATTACTTTTGAATATAGTTGATGTTTTAGTGTAAATAGCTGACCTCTGTCTGATTCAGCAGTTCCTGGATTTTTTCGAGCACACAGAAGTCCTCCACTTCCCAATTTCTGTTTAAACATGTGGCCACTTTCTTTCCGACTTTTCCCTCTTCACAGGATCCTTCAACTTGGTCCCCTTCATTTCCAAGGCCCCAGGTGTCACTTGTACATTGAAAACCTGTAGAAGAGTATGAGTCAGCCATTTAAATCCATCACAGTCTGTGATGATGAGGTATAATTTAACATACCTTCTTCTGTTTTAAAAGTTAATGTTACTTGTTTGTTATACTGTGGATAGTCTGCTGCTTCACAAGTGTCTGTAAAGATCTGCGGGCAGCTGGTGACTCTATCGGTCTCTCTACTGATTTTACCATAGTCTGAAATAAAAATCAAATTTATGGTTAATCAACTATCTTTTAAAAGAACAATAATTTGTTTTTGATATACAATTAGAATGCTTGGGGCTGATGAGATATTCTGAGAATTTTAAAAGGCTGTAAATTTCTTTCCATGTATTTGAGTAAAATTTGCCCAAATACAGAAAAGAAGCTCTTGGAGTAAAAATAAGACCGAAACAAGGCTGCATCTAATTATAACGTGTTTTATTGTTGGATAATCAGGAACAGTACTGTTAGCATGCTAGTTGTTAGCTTTCATGTACTCTGGAGTCTGAAAGTTGAGAAACACACTTATAAAGTCATCAAGGTGAATAATTCGCTCAGAATGCATAATGTAAGTGAAGAATAATTTTGGACTTCTGTAAACTTGTAAAACAAATTCAGCTTTGCATGTTTTTGAGACCATAAAAATCAGGTACACTACCTAAGACAAACATACACTGTAGAGGGTGGCAAAACTGGTTATTTACTGTCATACTGAAGGGTCAGGATTAAAATTTAGTAAGTAAAATCATAGTCCAGATTCCATGTGTAATTTTCCATAAACACACTTTTACCTACCATCCTAATTAATGCCATTGCCATATAGTTACAATGTTATTACAAGGTTATTACTGTGCTGTAGAGTAATTGTACCTGTTAAGTTTTGACCCCTCCATCGGAGTTTATAGAAATCCCGAACAGTGCTTTGAACAGAGCACTCAATGACTTGAGAGTAGCCCACTGTGCACGTTTTACTTTGTGACACTGGGCTTAAAGTAATGACTGGCAGCTCCATAAAAGTCAGTCTTCCTGATTTTTGTCTGAATATGTTGTTTCCACTGGTGAGTCTGCACTCGTAATATCCTGAAAAAAGATTTGATGAAAGTGAATTAGCATGAAAATACCAAACTGCACAGTATGAATTCAAGCTACAATAGAGTGACTGATGTTATTCATAATTTATGCTTTATGTGCATATGTTATTATTAAGGAATTAAAATATAGTAATCCAGACAACATCTCCCTCTCACCCTCACTGTGAAGAAGGCCTACTTGATAAGCAATAGCTAAAGGTTCTGTATTACACAAAATTAACTCTTGTGAGCTTTAATCCATGTTATAATGTTGTTATAACCTCATCTACAACATCTGGAGTTGTGTTTTATTTCATTCACAACCCTCTGTCCATATCTCCAAACCCTGTGATGTCATGTGGTGCTAGTTTTCAAGTTAACAGCTACCTTTTACCTTTTGTTAAATAGAGATAGGCAATTCCATAGCTGAAATCATCCATATGATTGTACTGAAGGTGTATGGAGTTTAAAAACACAGTGGAGCACTTCCTGTATTGCCATATGACATTACAAGCTGTAATGGAGTGTTTTCTGTTTGAGAGAAGTCACTCAGCCTAAATATGAAGGGTTTGTGTGTTAAACATGTGTAAATGAAACAAAACACAACTCCAGGTATGTTTGTGATGAGGAAACAACATTATAACTCATAAAAAAATAAAATAAAATAAAAGAAACATAATAAAAATAAAATAACAGAATTGAGGAAAAGGTGGGTAGAGAGCAAAAGAACAGGATTACCTCAGAGTAAATTCCTTTTACCTTTCTTCCCTTTAGGACTGTCAAATCTACCCTTGAAACATTTACTACCTATGGCTACTCTTGGATGAATGAGGAATTATATCAACGTTGTTCTACACAGATGTAGGCCTACTGTTGATACTGTGCAGTGACATCATGCTGGGGGGGGTCTACATGTATCTCTATAGTAGAATGTTATAACAGTAGTTACCATGGTGACACAATGAACACATTACCAAACACTGCCAAATATGTTTTAAGATATAACAATACAAAACAGATGTAAACAAGACATTTTCATGAGCCTATGAGCAATACGAGCATTCATGGTCCTGTTTATTAATTTGATTTTCAGCAAAAAGGTGAGAGGGACTAACTGAAAAACTGTTGGCTGATGCGAGCTAGCTTGCAACTGTTATTTGTTATCTTAATTCCAAGTCAGACTTTCTGGTCAGATTGTGTTAAAATGAAACTCAGATTAAAGTCTAACAGAGTCTTAGACAGAGCAGAGCCTACAGTTAGCATCACAGCCCCAGTATGTTGATGACTTCAGCTGCCAAGTATGCTATCAATGAAATTAGGAAATTAAATTGAATGTTGTGTTTTGAGTAGTTTACTTTTTTTTCTCATTTTAAATCACACTATATTCTATTTTTTTAACCAAGCCAGCAATAGCTTGGTTTGAGTTTTCATTGTCTATAATTGAAAAAATTAAACATATTTATATTTTTAGAAAGAATAATTTTCTAACCCACAGTACTACTCTTACCTATGTTTGTGCGAAAAAAATTCAGAATTGTCAGCACTGACTTTCCATCAGCATTGTTAACTCCAGTAGTGATTTCAACACCATCTTTGAACCATGACGCTGTCCAATTGCTGCTGAAAATCTCTCCGGATGGATCACACTCTATTTTAGCCTCAGTGCCAAAAAGTACTGGCTTTTTCAGAAAATCCAAACTGACCCCTGAGAAATATCCAAAATATTACATAATTTCTTAAAAAAATGTTATGCTAAATATTGTGAAAAATCGACTTACCATCAGTGATGACTTTGTATTGTTTTACAATTTCACTCACGATGTCTTGCTGTACTGTTTCTATGGCCTCTGGAGGTGAAGTGGCACTAATATTGCTCTCGACTATTGTACTTCCAGGTCTGTCAAGTAAAAAAATATCAACACGATTAACTTTTTTTGTTAAAATGATCTGATGATGATATGTAATGTATGTATGGTTTTGTAATTACTCTTACTTAAAAATTAAACTCAATATTTTACAATTTTGAAGCCTTTTACGACAACCATCCAAAATCTGTAAGAAACAATGAGAGTTTATTTGCAAGCAGACAGACTGTTAAAATGGAAATAAATAAACAAATACAAAATTTACTAATTTTCTTGTGTTGGTGTTCAAAGGATTGTCCAGAGAATTGAAAGAAGAATTAAATGGGACATCCAAAGTAACTGCTACTGCTTTTTGTTCTGGAAAAAACAAAACAAAACAAAACTATGTTCACAGTCCACAGTATTATATGATGATACTGCCCGCTTACATAATTAGCCTAAACTAGCAATCTGTGTTCACAATTTAATAGAGTATAATTTTGCCCCTTTATAATACAAATGTTTTGGCAGCAGGTTTTTAGTGGGAATTTCAATTTCACCTGTCCTCAAATAATGGTTGGTGATCATTCATTCACAACTTCAGTGTAACAATGTATGTTAAAGGTGCATTATGTCACTTTTCTAGAGGAGGTTCTGCTATCTGCTTGTATTCCACAGAGATGTAATTGCATTGCCTGGAATGTCTGAAATAATTTTTTTCTACCCAGGATTTGTTTCATGATGGCTATTTTGTATTGCTAATGAATACACTGAAAAACACGCAAATAGTGAGTGGATTTGCCTCTCCACAGATCTGACCAGATGTTAACTGTCTCCATAAAGACAAACAAATGTATTACCATACTGTGGAAAATTATAGGTGAAGAATTAATATCTCAATGGAGACAAGCTGGTGAACCTTCTACTATAGTTACATAGTGCACCTTTAAAGTTATTTACATTTTTAGTTTTGGTTCTCTAGCAACTTTTGAATCCAGAAAACCAAATGAGCTCTTTATTTTGGATTACCAGATCTTACAGTCAAACCCAGTTTGATATTAACCTTAAAGGACTATCTGAATACTCGCTACCATAACCCCAGTAAATGCAGCGAATCAGTATACTGAAAGGGGTGTAACATAAGTGTCTTTTTCAAACCAGACTAGTACTACCTATAAATCAGTGATGTTTTTCTAGCCACCCTCTGACCACAAAATGAAAATATACTGAATTAAGTAGTTCAGTGTAAACAAACAAACATACAAACAAAAATACATTTAAGGGTGTAGTACCTGGAACTGGAATGGGAGTTGTAGTTCTAGTAGTAGTAGTAGACGAATGTGTTGTAGTAGTAATATTAGGTGCTGTCGGAGTAGGAGGAGGTGTTGTAGTAATATTAGGTGTTGTAGTAGTAATATTAGGTGCTGTCGGAGTAGGAGGAGGTGTTGTAGTAATATTAGGTGTTGTAGTAGTAATATTAGTGTTGTAGTAGTAATATTAGATGTTGTAGTAGGAGGAGGTGTTGTAGTAATATTAGGTGTTGTAGTAGTAATATTAGGTGCTGTTGTAGTAGGAGGAGGTGTTGTAGTAATATTAGGTGTTGTAGTAGTAATATTAGGTGTTGTAGTAGTAATATTAGGTGCTGTTGTAGTAGGAGGAGGTGTTGTAGTAATATTAGGTGTTGTAGTAGTAATATTAGATGTTGTAGTAGTAGTAGGAGCAGTTGTAGTAATCCCTGAAGTTGGTGGTATTTCATGTACAGGTTGATATAGTTGTTGCCCGATGGTTTGTGGTAAAAAGACAAAAAGAAAAGAGAGAGAGAGAGAAAAAAAAATTAGACTTTTATATGTAATAAAAACAACAAACAGACTCATTTTAAACACTCATGGTTTCCTACCTGGACAGGACTGACATGTGTCTGGAAAACATGGAAAAATACAATTATTTTGCAATACATTATTATAGTCGTGTAAAGTAATAATGTATTAATTATTTTAATATTTAAAGAAGACTGTTGTGCTTGTGTCTGCTATATATTTATAATCTATGCCACATGTGGATCAAATGTGTCTGCAAAAAATCCTACAAATATGACAGAATATTTTATAATAATTTGGACATTTTCGCAATATTTATCTAAAACGACTTAATAAAAAGAACGAATCCGCTGACTTCCGCGTTAGAAAACTGCAGTACCCAGTGGGAATTGATGTTGCATGTAAACGTCTACACTACAGAATCCCAATTATGAAAATAAAATTGGAGAACAAAGTAAGGAGGTTGACTGACAAAATGACGTCATCAAAATATGCGATTAAAGACTGCTCAGACATGCGCATATCACTCCAGGAATTTCAGATGAGTAAATGATAAGGGGAAACAACTATCTCAAGTCGATTTTGCACAATAGTTCCTCTTTAATGTTAATAAAACAAATTGATCACATAAACTTGGTGTACCAATCAATATATTCTGTCTTTTACAAAATATAATTTTATTATAAGAGTGTATATCACATATACTACAATATAGTGATAAATGCATGAATAAATCATCTAAGAACACAAAATATAACTTACTTGTGACTGGTTCACAGGTCTCGTTAGCGAGTGACCCATAAATATAAGCCGTGTCACATGTGGGGTTTATTGTGGTATTGGGACACTGGCTATAGTTGTAACACTTTTCACATGGCCAGCTGTACCCCTCCTCACACCGACACAGCATTCGATCTGGTTCTACAGTGCAAACTAAAATAGAAAAAAATAACAAAGTGAAAAAAATTAAATGCATAGTAGAGTAATATTTTGTGTAGGGCTGTGGGGGGACAATTTGGAACAAAATCTGACACGAATTGAAGACATACCACTTGCTTGTCTCCATGGAGACGATAATGCTTTGCCTCGAATGTGCCACAGACTGACATTACAGTAAACTTATCTCTCTCCATGGAATGAAGATGATTATGTCACCAGATCGAGTTACAGGTCATTGGTGAAGAGGTATTTTTCTAAATATTTTTAGCAGTAAAACAACACCTCTACTGATTAAATGCAAGATAAGTTTAATGCCAACCTGCGAAACATACAGGAAAAACTGCAATGCCTTCCCCTCCGCGAAGTTACACAAGAGCTTATGATGAGATTTCATATTTTTCTGACTACTTGGTTTGGTGGGATAGAACCAAATATTTATCACTCTTTTATATTTGTCAAGTGATAGTTGAGAAGAAAAGTGCAATATACAGGAAGTAGTGGTCAGAATATCTGTATCTATGTCATCAGTGCAAAATTCCATCCAAAATGCAAAGACAGTTAATGTGCAAAGAAGACATTTTTCTGATAGTGTTAGAAAGGCAGTAGGTTTGTTAGGAACACCCATTAGAGGTGCTGAGAGTTAATGCATGCTTTACTTGTCACTGCTGTCTTAATTAGTTCACGAGGCTCGGACGTGCAGCCATCTACCGCCTGCTCAAGTTGATGTCATGTTGATGAAAAGTAAGTTTATGGCATTCGGTGCCTTTGCCTTTGCTATAAATCCTTTGCTATTGATTCATTCATGTCTTGATGTGTTGTTTATGTTCCGAGAATAAGTGTCCAGTTCAATTTATAAGGGAGTTAGCTTAGCTTAGACGCTGATGCTATTTCTCGCGTGTCGTGCCGTGTATGTTCATTATAGTTTTAGTATTATGCCTTTATTCTGTGCCTCTTATTTAGTCACTCCATGTTTACTATTTTTTATGTTTGTTATTGTATGTTTAGGAATACACCTTTTACTGTGTCACTGTGTAGTACAGCAGTTTAGTTTGTTTATTCTTTTCTTTATTGACCACACACAATAGTAATGTTCCTATGATGATGCCTGAGCTTCATAAAAGCCTCCTAAATTTTACCGTCTGCATCTTGTCTCCTGTGTCCTGACCGGCACTCCAGGGCGGATATCTCAGTCCAAGCCAACACCCATACAGTTCTTAAGCCTGAGAGACAGTACTCTTCAACAGGTAGATTACTGTAAATTCCAGACTATAAGCCGCTACTTTTTTCTCACACTTTGAACCCCGTGGCTAATAAAACGACGCGGCTAATATATGGACGGATTCTTTGTTTGGCACATTGTCCATTCATATATATAGTCTGTGGTTTGGCAACACAGCGGATATGCACAGCCTGAGTGCAGAAAGCAACGCTGTCTGTGCTACACTAGCTAGCGATATTGTCAGTGCACTCAAATAGTTCATCGCAGTGTGATAAAATAAGTTATGCTGCTAAATGAAGATTAGTGAGGGGGGATACGTCTTCCCTGTATGCATAAATGACAAAAAGAAACGTCTCAAACTTCAGTAGCCAGACATCCACTCATACCACCTGATTGATAGAACTAACCTACCCCCCCGAGAGAACCTGAAATCTGCTGAAATCCTCCAAGACACTAACATGATACAGACAGTACAGCGGCTCTTGCAGGAGTCATGCGCAGTAGAACGTGGGGAGAGATGCGCCGACGAAGTTTTGAACAGTTATTTTGCGCTTCATACACACACCCTCTTCATGCAAGGTAGCCGGGGGTTCTTAAAAGTCTTAAAAAGGTCTTAAATTTCATGTTCCTAAATTAAGGCCTTAAAAAGTCTTAAATTATGTTGTTCAAGTCTTATTTTTTCACAAAAGTCTTAAATTTCATTAGCCTATTTTTTGTATACTCAACCCGGCTGCAATGTCTAATGCACGTCTAATTTTGAGTATGTGCAAACAGCAAAGATACAATGAGTAAACAGTGAGTACAGTGGAGGAAGATGTTGGACGGATCATGCGGAAGTTTAGGTTTAATCCACAGTAGCTGTTAGATTCTAGATATAGTACTGGTAGTTGGTTGGTCATTATTAGAATTGGATCGAGCATAATGGTGCGATTTTGGTCTTAATTTTCATTTAAGTGGTTTTAAAAAGGTCTTAAAATAGTTTTGCGGTAGTCAAACCTGGGGATACCCTCCTCATGGAAAACACACAAAGAAATGCAGATGATGCAGCTTTTGAGTTAACAGCGATTGATATGGCTGTCAAAGAAGGAAACAGAGCTGCTGCACGTGAGCTCGGCATCAATGGTGAGATTTTGGCGACGGCAGCGTGACTAACTGACTCAATGCAAAAAGATGATAAAATCTTTGAGGCGATAAAATCAGATGGCCTGAACTTGATAACGTTCCTAAAGACGTGGACACCTGCGGCTTATATTCAGGTACACTCAATAGTCTGGAAAATACGGTAAACCTTTTATCTATTTATTAGGCTAGTCTTAGTATAACTATTGCATAGATATGGAATTACCTCTACGTATGTCACATTTGCATCCCAACAGGAACTAGGAAGCACTTTTATAAACTCAAATCAAGCTAGAAAAAGCTGGACATTTTAGTAAAATCTTAAATACAAAGATAATAATGATGTCTTTTAGTTGTTCAACCTGTCATTAGCATTTTGAATTAGGCATCTTATACACATGTAAAACTTAAACGGCTCTGGACCAAAATTAAGTTGTTTTAACCTTAATGCAGTAGACCCAAATACAAAATAAATATATCATTTCCAGTTATATTCTGTTAGATGTTTTTGTGTTCTTATTTTCAATACAAAATATACAGTAAATTACACATTTGCAGCTGTTACCTGTAGTTAAGTTGAATACTGACAGCAACAGACTTTGGGACAGATTATAAGGAGATGAGTTGAGGGCACTCCTGATGTAGTCCGTAATGTTTTGGAGTGAGCCGTTGATGCTCAAAGAGAACGTCAAGGATACGTCGTAGTCTGTCACTGGAAAGGTACTGGTTGGAGTAGTAGTAGTAGTTGGTATGGCAGTAGTTACTGTGTAGAAAAAAAGGAAAATTAGTTGTGAAAAAATAAATAAAAAATTCCCTGTTAATTATGCATTTTTCAACTGTGTATCCAAAGAACTCAAGACCTACACAGTAACTGAACATCTGAGGAAGTTATAGGTCTATTATCTTTTTTTTTTTTTGGAATGTGCTGTTATAAAATTCGCAGTTCAGATTGTGTCAGTTATAGCATCATGTGTCACCAACCGGTTCCACTGTGGGACAAAACCACCTTTTTGTAGTTGGATTAAGCACCTCCCTTTTACGTACACACTTTGCTTTGACCCAGTTGTGACCTTATTTAGAAATGCTATAAAGAAAACACAGTCCACCAAATATTTATTTTTTGTGTTACTATTATTTCTGTTATGGATGCCATTTTAAGTACTTTTGACTATCACAAAGTAGAACAGTGGTTTTAGTTTGAGAGAAGAACTCAGCCTAAATATGCAGGATTTGTGTGATAAACATGTGTGAATGAAACAAAACTCCATGTATGTTCGTGATGAGGAAACAACATTATAACTCAATAAAAAATTTTTTTAAAAAAGCTTTAGTTTTAGTTTTACCTGGTGGCCTGAGCTGACATGACTGGTCATTTGCCGGTATAGAAGTGATACACCCACATGGATCTTGGACAGAACGATCACATACACTGTAATTGCTGCATACTTCTTGGGACCAGATATAGTCCGGCTCACAGCGGCACTCGTAGGATGTCAGGTTACCAGGTGAACACACTGGGAACAATTCAATTTAGGATATATGAATTTTAGAGTTTCAGAAAACCACAGATTAGAACACGTACCTGTTGTCGTGGTGATAGCAGTAATCTCTATTGAACTATTGACCAAAAAGGGCAGTGATAAATTAACCAAAATTGCCTTGAAACGTGCTACGTCATCGATTTGAATGATAACTTGATAATCTGCTGTGGTTGAGATCGCTAATGCTGGGAAGAAAATAAGAGAAGAGGAAAAGATTAAACATTAAAGGTTGCAAATATATTTAATTCACACATGGTTGAGTAATCCTACATTATTAGGCTGTCTGCATCCCCAAAGCTCAAAATGCTCTGTTTCACCTTGTGATGTCATGTAGTTGTAGTTTTTGAGTTAACAGCTATCTTTTACATGTTGGTTAGTATAGTAGTATATAGTATAGATTGGCAATTCCAAGTCTGAAATTATCCAAATGATTCTAGTAAAGGTGTGTGACAGCACAAGGTGGAAAAGAGTGTTTTCTGTTTGAGAGAAGAACTCAGCAGCAGGTTTGTGTGTTAAATGTGTGAATGAAACAAAACACAACATTATAACATATTACACAGATCAGAAAATAGCGCAATATGGGCTCTTTCTTCAGTGCATTGGTTGGGCCAGAGCAGTTTCCAATTAAAGACAAAAAAATTTTGAACCAGAAATACAAATGAAAAAAACAAACAAACAAACAAACAAAACAGAAAATAAAATTCACACTCTTTCAAAACAGATAGAAAACATGTATAAAAAATGTTTTGGGCATAAAAAAAATCTTTAATTTAGGGCTTTAGCTTCAAAAATGCAAAAATATAAAGTCTGTAAATAAACTAAAAATATCCCTATTACCCTCAAAAAAAAGAAAAAAAAAAAGCTCGTGTCAGGTCCAGGGCACAGAGCCACATCACGTCCTGCATTTCCCTGGTGTGTATTACATTTGTATTTGTACATTTTGAGTGAAATAAACCTTACAAATAAAAATAGAATGGGATGTGCAATTACGCAGACCAAGATGCTTAATTTGCCATTTATTTCAGAAATAACTGCACTTAGAGCGGCTTTTTCAATTGTTATGAACACAGACATTCAAAGGAGTCAACCATTTTGACTCACTACACTCTTTGGCAAAGTTTGGGCCAATGAAAATGGATGGAGCACATGCGTTTGGCAGAAAAGAAAGTGCCTATTGGACACTTGTTTTCCCTACGTCATCATGCAGTGTATGATGTAGGATAATGCCGGAAATATGCTCTGCATCTGTCAACTTTTCAAGGGGAAAAAACAGGTGGTTGCTGGTTTGGATGCTATCTCTGTGTCTACGGAGATGTTATTTCCTATCCTGGAATGTTCCACAGTATAGCATTTTTGTCTAGTTACATATATATTTTATTGCTGATGTCACCTTATCTACATGGAGATACTGGATGCATGGAACATTTTAGGCAAAGCAAAAACTTCACCGTCGACACAAGCAGGTGGCCCAGCCTCCATCAGAAAAGTTTCATAGTACATATTTAACAGGCTACTGAAATTCAGATAGTCATGGGTTTAAGTGACATACGTACTTCCTGACTGAACCTTTTGAATGATTTTGCACATTCAAAAAATATTATTATTTTGATTTATAGTTGTTAATTGCTAAGATAAAGATGGAAAAGAGTATGATGAAAATGATGATAAAAGTACTGTACCGATTAATCAAAAAGACTTACCAACTGAGGAAAGACCCACATTCACAGACTCCTAAAAACATTAATATTTCATTTAGTATCAATTCATTTACACAATATTCACATCTGTGAGAGTGTATAGACAATTTATACCTGAACCAAAAATTGTTGAGTCTCACATGACACAAATCCACACACCAGCACCACCACCCACAGGAGAGAGCTTTGTGGTACCATGCTCACTGGAGATAACATTTAAAAAAATCAGTAAATCTTTTTTTTTTTTTTGTACAAAAGAATGTAACACAAAATGCTTTACAGTTATGAAAAGCAATCTGACATTTTCTCCCCCCCAACCACCCTACCCCCACAACTCCCCAACCCCACACATCCACACAACTCAGACACAGTCACATAAAGTGTCACCCACATGTACGCACACACACACACACGAGCACTCACATACATTCACAAATACACAGACACACACTAACACGCAGACATGCAAACACACACATTCACAGAAACACACTCAAACACACACATGCTGACGTACATGAGGCTAAAACATGAGGCTGAGAATGATACACAGACACAAAAATTTGTTCGAATTATATCTCTGTACAGCAGAGATCTCCAACCTTTTTACTCCTCCTGCCTTTACAAAACTAAAATGCAAAGAGCTACTCATTTTAGCGGCCGCAAGAAACTGAGACGATTAAAAAAAAGAGGACAAGCCTTTCGGTAAAGTTAGATGCCTATAAAACATAAACCATTGTCCATTTATTAGTGCACAAACTTGGACTTCAAAATGATACATTTACAGTACAAGGCAAGTAATTAATACATTTTTTGTTATTCAGCACAATGGTGTAATTCTGAATTCCTCTGGCGTGCTACTGTTAAGGGGGTGGAGAGCTACTGGAAAGTCCCGGGCTACAAGTTCGAGACCCCTGCTGTACAATTTACTTGGCACATGCATAAACCACTGACAAGAATAAATGTGCTTTTTTGTTTTGAAATGTTTCATAAAGTATAATTATAAACATTATTTTCTGTCTGATTTAAGAGCTGATTTAAAAGCTTCCTAGAAAGCATATGATGATACAAGTATTTGAAAAATGCAGACGTCTTCTCAGGGGAATGACGTTAACATATGCTAATGTTTTTAATCTTACTCTGCAGCTATACATAAATACATACATACATAATACATACATATATACCTACCTAGACAATAGTATATCTGTACAACCCCTGCATTCATATGGCCATGTGACCTCTGTTTGGTTAAAATATTATGACAAATGAGTATACTTTGTAATGTTTAAATATTTAGTAACTTCATTAAATATGTTATCACAATTTCTAAGCAAGACAAGTTGGTCTCAAATAGAGTGAAAAGTACAAACATGGCTCATTGGACTATCAGACAAAGCATTAAAAACATACCCAAATGTAAAAGCAGTTACTATAAGAATATTACAGTGTTTTACCTCACTCGATCGTGGATGTCCTCGTGAAAAATCTTCAGAGATTTTCACTGCTGGAATCTCATTTAGGAGTGACACAGTCGCTGAGTTGAGTTCCTCATCATTTCCCATAACACATGCTCCACCTGTCTGTCCAGTTATGACAGGATCACTACAATCTATCACTAAACCAGCCTATTGTTATTATTATGTCAGTATTGTAAAGCAAAGTAAATACATGCCAACTAAAGTAAGACATATTTTATAATGGCTTTCTGTCACAATAGATGTGTTCTGAATATAGATCTGTAGACTGATTCTTTTAGTATGAGATCTTACATGACAGTCAAATATGTTTTATAACACTATCAAAAGTTTGGACACACCCTCTCATTCAAGTTTTTTTTTCTTTTTTCTTTATGTTTACTACTTTCTACATTTTAGATACAAAAGACATCAAATAGATATATGGAATTATTTAGAAAAGACAAAGAAAAAGAAAAATGTAAATAAATCTACTAAATATATATAGTTTTAGATTTTATATTCAAATGCTTTGCTTATTTGCTTATATTTAGTTATTTAACTTTTTTTTAAACTACAAAATTCCATATATTTTGCTTAATATATTTAATATTTCTACGTTTTATATACATACAGAACACATCAAATATATGAAGCAAGGTTTATGGATTATGTGATAAAGAGTTAAATAACTATACATAAAAATGCAAAGGGGTGGCTACTTTAAGCAAGTTTATTTGTATTGCACAATTCACACACACAAAATAATTGAAAGTTCCTTACAGAATAACACAGACACACAATACAAACAAATCAAAACATAAATAATTGTCATACAATTAACATTATTAATAAGTGTATTCCTTAATAGAGAGGAGTCACACAAGCCAGATCTGCGCACAGGACTTATGTGCTTGTACTTCCTGGTTCAAGTCAGGACCTGCGCAGGAGCTTTACAGTCAACTAACCTGCTGGAGATGAACGCATGGATAAGTCTCTCCAAGTCTGGTTTAGACAGTAAATGTTTTTTCAACAATGTTTAGATGGTCAAAAAGCCACAGATGTTACTGATTTGATGTGGCTGTTAAAAATGCATGCATTTTCTCCATGGAGATCTTATTGCTTTATCTGGAATGTTTCACAGTATGGTATCTTTCTATCTTCAAGGAGACAAAACCAAACCAAGTTACAGGTCAGATCTGTGGAGAGGTGACTCTGCTCACAGTCAGAATGCCTGTTTTTCTATGCATTTTTGAGCTATGACATCCACTGTAATTGAATAAATGTAAGGGAAAGCTGTTTAATGTCATACTGTGGAACATTCCAGGCAGAGCAATGACATATCCATGGAAACAAGCAGGTGACGGACACTCCACCAGAAAAGTTACACAATGCACCTTTAAAGTTCAAGTCTGAGTCCATAAAATTGCATTATTATTTTTTTCCCTTGCTGTAATTCCATATATCTTACTTCATATATTTGATGCCAACTGTATGAATATAAAATGTAAAAATAGAAAAAACACTGAATGAAATTGCAGTTTGCCCTACAATGCATCAAACTAGGTCAGGGGTCTCCAACCTCTAGCTGTCCAACCCCTTCTAAATAACTCACCAAGAGATTTCTGAAGTATATGCATTGGGCTAATCTGTGTATTCATTCATTCATTCATTCATTCATTTGTTTTTCAAAATAAAACCAAAAATAAGAAAACGAAAAAACATTATTATTATTAACATCATTATTTGTATCCAAAACTAAAATGAAAAAAACAGATAACCATTCATTTTTTCAGTTTTTGATTTTGTGTTTAAATGAATAATGGAAAAAATGGATAACAACTGTTTCCCGTTTACGTGACTTAAACTGAGATGCCAGACTGAACCAGGACTAAAACAGGTCTAAACCAGGACTGAGACCGGGACCAGACCAGGACCAGGACTAAACCCAGACTGAACCAGGACTAAACCCGGACTGAACCAAGATTAAACCAGGACTAAACTGGTCTCAGTCCTGGTCTTGGTCCCAGTCTCATTTCTGGTCTCAGTCCCGGTCTGGTCCCGGTCTTAGTCCTGATCTCAGTCCTGGTCTCAGTCCTGGTCTCAGTCCTGGTCCTGGTCTGGTCCCGGTCTCAGTCCTGTTTTAGTCCTGTTTAGTCCTGGTTCAGTCTGGCATCACAGTTTAAGTCACCTAAACTGGAAACTGTTGTTATCTGTTTTTTCTATTATTCATTTAAACACAAAATTAAAAACTGAAAAAAACTAATCGTTATCCACTTTTTCATTTTTGTTTTGGAGACAAGTAAAGAAGAAAATACATTTTTTTTTTTTCGTTTTCTTATTTTTGGTTTTATTTTGGAAAAACTGAATAACATGAATTTTTGTTTAATTAAATGGCTATTACCATTGTAAATGTATAATTTTGACGCCCAACTTTGTGCAGTAATAAATGGTTTATGTTTTATAAGCAAATAACTGTACCCTATTTAAGCCCTTAGTTCTTTTATGTACTCAATTTCTCATGCTGCTTCTAAACTGCATTGCTAAAATGAGTAGCTCTCTGGTATTTTTGTTTTGTAACAGTAGTTCACTGGAGGACAAAGGCTGGAATCTCCCGAACTAGATCATACCAATGTGTTTCAAAGGCATACAGGGCATTCGCAAGAAACTATATAAAGGCTGTACTGTCGTTTTGATTTGGTCTTTTTACTACCTCGAAATTACATCACTTCGGAGTTTCCTGCTCATTGTTTGTTTTATTATTACCAAAGAATCACATACATGCTGCAGAAGTATTTGATTTTTCTTTAGATCAGAAAGTACTATTACATGAACTTAAATGTTATTATGTATTTATTTTATATATTCACTCTACACTTCCTGGTGGTAATCTAACTCCAAAGCTGGGATCAACCAATGACCTTTTGGTTGGTGGGTAAACACTCTACACACTAAGCCGCTGCTGCAAACATGTCAATTTCCTGCTTGAGATCTTTAGATATTTTGATAATGCGTAATGTAAAACTGAACCTTGATAATTAGCTTTGTTTATCTGGTCTAGACCAGATTAAAAAAAAAAAAAAACTGTAGAATTCTAGGTGTGAACAGAAATAAAACTTGCTTGAGAGTTGTCAAGCAGTAAACCGCAAATTAAAAGATTCATGTTGTCAAAGTGTATTCAAACCTCTCATTAAACTGTAATGTTCCAGTAAACATGTTCCACATTCGATCTCATGCTCTTGCAATGTTTATTATTAGAAATGATTATTATTATTGCAGAAAGCACTCAGGCTTTTACAATATATCTGTGCTGGAGTAATTTTGCTGAAATACATGGGGAAAAATACAGTACAGGACCTTTAACCAAGTCAAACTTAAAAATGTAATTCTTCAAATATTTTAAATATTTCTTTACCCATTAATACCATAATATAAGAATTAAAATGTGTTAATAAGCCATGCACTTTCAGAAACAATTTGAGAATACTGATTGTTGCAGATGGCATTGAAAAATAAAACCCAATAACTCTAAATAGTGTTGAATGGTTTGATTAAAATTCACTTGTGCTCTTTTTATTCTCAGCTCTTCAAGGTACACTGTGTAACTTGCTTGCATGTTTGTCTCCATGGAGATATTACTGGTTTGCCTTGATTATTGCAAAGTATGGTAATAAATACAATAATGACAATGGAAACAGATCAAGCCTGCACATGGTAAGAATTCATGTTTTTAAGGTATTTTTGAGCTATTAAACACCTATAATTGAACAAATGCACATACTGTAGTTCAATGCCATACTATAAACCATTACAGGTAATGTAGGACAGGTAGGACCTTCCACCGTTTTAGAAGTTGTATACTGCATCTTTAAATACTAATAAACATTTTGTGTTTATTTCACTTTGAAACTATTTGAGCCAATTTACATAACAGGATATGAAACATTCTCTGATTGGACAAAGGAAGTTTATTGCAGCATTAGTCATAAGGGACTATTATAAATATAGGTGTCTATGTTTAGCGCAGAAGTCCAGGTCTATCATTTGCTGCAGTTAATGATGTAGGTCAGAGAATCCTGCAAATTACAAGATGAACTCAGGAATGCAATTGAACAGGACTGATAGCTCATGCCATAGACTTATTGTGAATGCCTTTGTATTGACGGACAATCCTTCAGCTCTATGTCTTTTATTGAATTTTTGCATTGGTTTGCTATCTTTAATTACAATTTGTGGAAATCTTCTTGTAATCATTTCTATTGTATATTTTCGACAGCTCCACACTCCAACAAACTATCTTATTTTGTCTCTAGCTATTGCTGATTTGCTGGTTGGATTTGTAGTCTTTCCTCTCACTATAAAATTCTCCATAAGTTCATGTCGTGTTGAAAAAGAACTGTTTTGCATTGTTCGCAGTACTTTTGACATGTCCTTGTGTACTTCTTCGATTCTCAACTTGTGTTGTATTTCTATTGATAGATATTACTCTGTCTGCCAGCCTTTGACTTACAGAGCTAAAATAACTGAGAGTGTAGCTTTGGTTATGATATCAGTCAGTTGGACAATTTCAGCTTTTATTGGAATCGGTCTCACAGTAATGAACACAACACCATGTAAGGGAAACTGCTTTGTTGATGTTGTACTTGTAAATATAATAGGTCTTATTTTTGGCTTTTATGCACCAGTGTTTGTAATGTTGTGTATTTATTTTAAGATTTTTCTTGTAGCGCAAAAGCAAGCACGCAGTATCCAAGGAACTCAAAGTGGAGTTAGTAAAATGGAGAAAAAGGCAACCAAGACTTTAGCCACAGTGATGGGATTATTTCTGTTATGTTGGTTACCTTTCTATATTTGTACAACTGTTATATCCTTTAATCCTCATTCACTCGTGCCCCTGGCCTTCATTGAGCTGCTAAACTGGCTTGCACTGATAAATTCAACCCTCAACCCTTTTATTTATGCTTTTTTCTATAGCTGGTTCAGAGCGGCTTTCAGAATGATCATCTCTGGGAAAATATTCATAGGCGATTTTGCCAACTTCAAATTGCAATGAGTCATGAGTTTGT